TTGAAAAGAAAAATGTTGGGAAAATTCATTGTTAATAATAAATTCTTAGTAATAGGATTCGAAAAAAGAAAGTCTTGAAAATCCAGTATTAATAATAAGACCTCAGTTATACTAAATATAGAATCGTATGTTATAATTGGTTTTTGATATCCTTTCTTATTGTAACAAAAGAGTTCTTATTAACATTGAAATAAGATAGAAGAGTATTTATAATTCGGGTTCTGGTAGCAATAATTTGATATATCTTTCCTTATGTTATAATATAACTCTTATAGATTTCTTATCAAATTTGATCTAGAAAGTAAATCCTTTTCCTTACTATAAAGTATACCAATTATATTTGCCCTCAATATTGATATAAATCTCGTTCTCATTATCTATTCAAAATACATTTCCAATGTATATTTTTTAACCACTTCCATTCTTATATTATATAATCTCCTGATTTCACTTTTTATCTTCAAATTATAGCCCTTTAATTATACATCTTCAATTTGCTTTTTCGTAATAATTATCTTGAAGTCCTTAATAATAACTTCAACGAATTCTTTAGTTATTAGATCTAATAGTATACTATAATTTGAGTTTAGACTACAAGCAAAATTGATTTGCTATGTACATTACTCTTATTCAACAATTAGATTTTGTAAATCGATATTGAAACGAAATATAAAATAATTGTTTTGAAAATTTTGATCATTTGATCATTTAAGTATTTTGTTTCATTTAACTAAAATAATATATTCTACTCAAATTAAAATTAAAATAATAAATTAAAAAGGAATATAAAACATTTATAATTCAAAATATTAATTAAAGTATATCTTATTATATAAAATATAAAGTCATCCTTGAATCCTATATACTATGTGATTTTTCTTAATAAGTAGTTGAATACTTTATAAGTTAATGTTTTAGTATTATAAGATGTATTTATTAATTAATTATTTTGAAATAGAGGTTTATTTAAAATACTCTTTTTAAATTGTATATCGATGTACTTTATAGAATATATACTTAAATTATATAGCTCCTTAATATTATTTATTATTGTAAAAATATTATTAATAAAAGCTAGAATAAAAAACAATATAATTGAATATATATACCTGGATATTAGATCCTTAAATAACTTTTATTTATAATTAAAGAATATATTAGAAAATATATTTTGAAAAGAGAAACTTATTTACATCTTTCCTTTATCATTTTGCTCATTTTTTCTAAGATTAAATATAAATAAAATACTCATCAACAAATAATTACCATTTAGATTTTACTATAAAATAAATTTTATATCCTTCAAATAAAGTTGATTGTTAATATCATCTTTAAAATTACATTTTATTATATCTTATATTATATAACTTGATTAGTTATATAATAAGTATATAATTTAATAATTATATTTGGATGTAATATTATATATATAAGTATAAAGATTAATAAAGCAATCTAAACTCTAACTTATTTATATAAAAAGTTGAGAGAATTGTTTATTCAAAGATAGTTAATTATATCCTTCAAATTATTGAAATTAATAATAAGCTTTGAATAGGTTTTAATACTCAAACTTAAGCTTCTTATTAAACTAATCTTTATAAACTAATAAATATCAATATAATAATAATTTAAAATATAGTTTAGTTTAATTTATAATATAAAGTTTTTATATTAAATCAAGCTTTTTATTATACTTTCATTTATATATTAATATGAAGTAGATTATATATTGAATTAGTATTCTTATAAAAAGGTATTTATCTAATAAATCTGTTCATTTCTTTATAAGTATAATAAAGAATCCTTTAAAAACTCTTAAAATTAGTTTTACATTTGTATTATTAAGTTATATAAAATAGCTTGATATAAAATATTAATAAATAACTTTGAAAGGAATTAATATATATAATCTACTTCTCTTAAAATTTCTAGATTATATTATAGTTATTTAATATTAAAGGAATAAATAATAGTAGTGTTTTTTTAAAGTTCTTAACTTCGAAATCTATAAGTAGATCTTTAAATAAAAAAGTATATGTTATTTTTATAATAATAAATTAAAAAAGAAAATAAGATATAAAAAAAGAGAAAATTCGTTTGAAAGAATTAATATAATATTGTAGTATAATGGAAATTATGAATTCGAAAACGAAAAAGAGAAAAGGGAAATGTTTAAATAATATAATATATAATATATTATATTGAATATTCTGATTCTCAAATTAATTAGAACGAAAGGTAGTCGATTGTTATTTTTATAAAAAGTAATAAAATTCTATTTTCAGGTTCTGAATTATGTTAGGAAAGAGAAAATATTTTTATAAAAATCTATATTACGAAAATAAAAAATATAATATGTTTATTTATAGAAAGCGGTTTATAAAAAACAATTTTAAAAGTAGTGGCTTTTGTAAGTATATATATATACTTTTTTTTTAGTATTTATATCACAAGAAATGGGCTTGTGGTTTAGTGGTATAAAACCTCTCTCACTTGGACATGACATTCATTGTGAATGCTGCTTGAAAAATGGTGAACTCGGAATCCGTAATCAGGGTCTATGTTTATACCATTTTGGCGATACTCAATCCCGAAAACCGTATTTTGAATTACGGTATTTTATGAAATTTGATGCTGGGATTCCGTTATGTCAACACAAGGATTAATCCATGCTTAACTGAAAACGGGAGTTCGTATACAGGCATTCGAATCCGCAGCAAGGCAGATTTTCACTGCCAAGCTGAAAAAGGAAGTTAATAAACCGTCATTAGGCAGTTTTTTCCAGCAGAGCTGAAAAATAGGGTTTCATAATCAAAGCCTAGCCCTAATTCATAGGGTAGAAAACGACCTGATACTTTTTTGTAGATAGTTGATAGGTACCTACTGGGCTGTAATCTCAAGGACAAATCTGAATGTGCATCGATAGCACCTCAGTCATATAGGGTATACGCGGAAGAGCCCCTGAATCCTCTCAGTGGGCTTATCATAAGTGCCATCAAGCGATGCGTCACTACAACATCGGGATCAAACGATCCCCCGGGCACACCGAGATCGAAAGCAAAGAAGTAGCAGATCGCTTAGCTAACCTAGGAATATCGGGCTCAATAGATACTGGCCTGTCAGCGTTGTCGACGGTAAGTAGTACCCGATCTGATCTCAAAGCTAGGTGTCGATATACAGAGACTTTCTGGTGGGCTTCAGCGAGCAATATGATCTCCCCAGGATATAAGATGTGGAGACCGGTGTAAAAGGTTACTGAACCACCCACTCTTCAGCTTCCACGCGGGACACTTCATAAGCTTTTAGCAATACGAACTGGCCATGGTGACTTTGCAGCTTATCATACCGGGTTTAACCACAAGAACAGCCACAACGAATGCTCATGCGGCAGTGACAAGACCCTTTTCACTTCTTCCAATGTCCAATCAATGACGAATCGCGAGCCGACTGGCCTCTCGCACCCAATCGGCTCCGCTCCGAACGCGGTGCGATCGAATATATCAATCGCCTCCTGCGCACACAAAACAGTTTCACAAAGCTCCTCTCCGGAACTGGGGTTTTCACTCAGATCTGTACTAACTTCGCCTAAAAAGAGACGAAGACAAACCGCTCACCCAACATGAAAAAGAGCACTTCATCTCTAACATCAAGTCAAACCGACCACCACCCATTGATCTCCCGGTCCACATCGATCACTCTCGTCACTCACCGCCCCCCGAATGACTACTCACCGGCTTCAAAGAGGCCCCTCTCAGAAACCGATCAGACGCCCTATCGAGCGAATCGATCCGGAGCATAGCCGAAGAGGGGAGCAACACCCCAGAAGGAAAAATTGCTAAACTACTATGAGCGGCAAGAGCGCATGCGCTCCGTAGGCCCGATCCTTAGTACTTCTAGAATACCCCTAGGGTGGTCATAGATTAGACCTTAATTACTATAAATAGACAAAATAAATAAATACTGGGTTGTAACTGCCAATCCCTGGTGGGGTAAAATGAGATATTTGACTAATAAAAGGCTTCTAGAAAACACCCGCGGTATCAAACGGATGCTCATTATTGGATACTAAATTCAACAGCTCGTTGTCAATTGATTGCGGCTTGTGTATGATTTGTATATAGCTCATTGGGATAGAATTCAGACTAATTGTCACTACACAAATCGTCAATTGAGCGTTCAGAGTTCGAATTGTTCTTTCATAGATTCGAAGTATCAAATCTATAGTCGTTCACCTAACTCACTCCTCTGTCCAAATCGAGGACTTAGAACTTCTCTCTTTCTCCTATTATTAGCATTCTATAAGCTATCACACAGATTTCAAGAATAGTGTTTTACAACATGTTACGGAAAACCTGGCTTTTCTTCGACATTTAGTGTACAAGTCATTTATAGAATAATATAGTTTCTTTTTGCCTAGCCCGTTGGGCTAGATCATTTATTCATGTATATAGAATATAGTTTTTTCCTATCTACAAGTGTTTTTCACCTGTAGATTATAAGTCAGTCATACAAGCTCTTCCTCAAATATTCGCTTAGCAAATATTTGAGGAAGAGCGTCTTGCGATCAAAATAACATGTAATCCTAATCCGTGATGAACCGTCACATGAATTTTGATACAATACTCCAGGTTTAATGGTCTAAGTGAAGATTGTGTAAATTAAAATGCATATCTTTGATAGCCTTAGCACCATCTGGTGTACGACTCAAAAAATATTATGATCGCCATAGCTTACTTCCAGCTTCTACTGTAACGCATATCGAAAACTCTGCGTTTAGCCGATAGATCATACTTTCTGTAGTCAGGGCATAAATTCAGGGACTCATATATCAAGTGCTCTCCAGTACCTCCCTATGGCTACAATCATCTTCTCTTGATCTTTACAAATAAAGCATATAGATTGTAAATAATACCAATTATCGATATACTCTAAAACAGACCCTGACAATTAGGAAAGGACTAGGATGTGGAAAAGGTAGATACTAAGGAGCTTTGAGTTTACTTCCAAGCATTCAACATATCCACAGTCTTACGACGTCCATATCGTTTAGAAACCAAAAGCGCAGTATCGCCATTGACATCTATAAAGGTCGGATCTGCCCCGGTGTTTAACAAGAGCCACACAATCTCTTCATATCCATTTGCAGCTGCCCAGAAGATAGGTGATCGTCCGGAAACATCAGTAGCATTGACATTGACGGATTTCGTTTCAAGGAGTAACTGGACTACCTCGATATGACCATACGTAGCAGCGATCCATAGAGGCGTCACCTTCCTAGGGTTTGGAAGGTCCAGTTCAACCCCTCGTTCTAACAAGCTTTGAATTTTCCCTTTGTTCCCAAATTTAGCTGCTTTATAGAATTGAGCAATTGCAAACCACTTTTCCTGAGATGATAGCATCTTTGAATGTGTGTCAATGATATGTAGAACTGATTCTTGCCCACTTGTAGCGGCAGCATTGATGACGTCTTCCGTAATTACCACTTCTACCCCTCGTTTCTCAAGCAAAAGCATCATTACCTCTTTTCCACTCCTTCAATTCCCTGCTGCTGCTTCCACTACCCCTTCTGTAATTACTATTTCTGCCCCTCGTTTCTCAAGCAAAAGCTTCATCACCTCTTTTCCACTATATCTATTCCTTGCTGCTGCTTTCATCACCTCTTCTGTAATTACTACTTTTGCCCCTCGTTCCTCAAGCAAGAGCATCATTATCTCTTCTCCACTCCTCTCATTCTCTACTGCTACTTTCACCACCTCTTCCGTAATTACCACTTCTGCCCCTCGTTCCTCAAGCAAGAGCATCATTATCTCTTTTCCATACCAATTCCCTGCTGCTGCTTCTATTACCCCTTCTGTAATTACTATTTCTGCCCCTCGTTCCTCAAGCAAGAGCATCATTATCTCTTTTCCACTCCTTCTATTCCTTGCTGCTGCTTCCACTATCTCTTTTGTAATCACTACTTCTACCCCTCGTTTCTCAAGCAAAAGCTTCATTACCTCTTCACCACTCCTCTCATTCGCCATTGCTGTCTCCACCACCTTTTCCGTAATCACCACCTCTGCCCCTCGTTTCTCAAGCAAAAGCTCCATCACCTCCTTTCCACTCGTCCAATTCGCCGCTGCTGTCTCCACCACCTCTTCCGTAATCACCACCTCTGCCCCTCGTTCCTCAAGCAAGAGCTTCATCACCTTTTTTCCAAACCGATTTGCTATTAGCTTCACTATATCTTCCATAATTATCACTTTTGCCCCTCGTTTCTCAAGCAAAAGCATCATTATCTCTTCTCCACTACCCAAATTCCCAAATGTTGCTTCCACCACCTCTTCCGTAATCACCACCTCTGCCCCTCGTTTCTCAAGCAAAAGCTCAATTACCTCCTTTCCACTCATCCAATTCGCCACTACTGTCTCCACCACCTTTTCCGTAATCACCACCTCTGCCCCTCGTTTCTCAAGCAAAAGCTCCATCACCTCCTTTCCACTCGTCCAATTCGCCGCTGCTGTCTCCACCACCTCTTCCGTAATCACCACCTCTGCCCCTCGTTTCTCAAGCAAAAGCTCCATCACCTCCTTTCCACTCCTCCGATTCGCCACTGCTGCCTTTACCACCTCTTCCGTAATCACCACCTCTGCCCCTCGTTTCTCAAGCAAAAGCTCCATCACCTCCTTTCCACTCGTCCAATTCCCTGCTGCTGCCTTCACTATACCATTTGTTACCAATATTCTTTCTGAATACAAACAATTTAGCAATTCTCGAAATACGTTCAAATTTGACCCCGCTGCAGGAATAATATAATTATCCCGTAGCTCTTTCGTCAAACTATTCGGGATCACATTTATAAGGATCCTTGCTAGCCATTCCCTGTCAATAATAATTGCAATAATCCAAATCGATATCGGTATCGAGCTACGTTGCAATTCATAACTCTTGTTTTTGTGTATCCAGATCGCCTGGCCTTTTGGATCTAAAATAGACCGTAATTGTTCTATATTAGGCAGCGCTTCTTCTAACGTATTAATATGCTCATACCAGAAGTTTGCGGCGTAAGAAAGAAAGCCGTCATGATCTCCCGCTGATTCCGTATCCCCTATTGTCGATGGATTCTCTTTTATATGATCGTTGAAATTCAAATAAGATACACAGGTATTTGCCAGGAGCATTTCTGGTCGTTTCGTTTTCCTCAATATTCCTGTTTTTTCCAGAATACCGGAAGTCTTCAAGAAGTCGCGCAGTGATTGATGAATTAGGAAAGGATTCTGATCGACAATGTCTACCATGCTGCCTAGACTCATTTGGATAACCTCAGCATTTAATGCAATTTTTTCCTCTTCGCAGTCTTTCCAGCTTGTCGCGTTTTTAGTCATGACAATGGCGAGGGCAACCTCTAATTCCTTAAAGCTAAGTGGACGTACTGCATATGTTATCCAGATTAATATTGCTATATCCTTTGGACTTTCTAACACCTTCCGAACAAGGCTCATGTACAAATCGTTAATCTCTATAGGAAATTGTTCCATTTTCTTCTTAATATCTTTGAGAGACGGTAGCCTCAAACCTCGGACTTCGCGAAGGAGTATACTTATCCAGAGAAATGTCGTACCGACTTTTTCTTTGGCAGCTTCCACAATGAACTCTTTCATATCATCGGTAAATTGTGTTCTAAATGAATGTAGCTCCGATTTGATAAATGTTGTCAAGTCCTTCTCCGAAGCATAAAGAGTTTTCGAAGGAGAAAATCCAATATTCATTACAAATTCTTCTGGCCTACTTGTACAAAATAGTTTCAGAAGAGGCTGTCCGATATGAGAGATATCAAAATGTTGTTTTAGATATAGAAGAAGGCTTCCCACTTCTTGATCATAAACATCGAGTCCATCAATGATAAAATATATACAAATATATATATCTGTTTTTATCAAATCAAGAAAGACGTTCCACAGATTATCAAGGGATTCGATAAAGAATTCTCTCTTTTCGTTCTTGTTTTGAAAGCGATTTGGAAGCTTCTGATATAATCGCCGGTCCTCACAAAGTTGAACAATAAAAGATCGGAGAATGGATGATGCCGTTCGTGAACTTTCCTCATTCTTGATATTACAAAAGTAATAGATAATCTTATTTTGAGGTTTTTGTTGTTCTTGCAAATGATCTATCACGAAGTTGGATAAAACAGACTTTCCCTGCCCAGGAGTTCCAGTGATCAGCAAGACACATGATTGATTAGAGTCTCGCCATTCGATGAAGTCGTTTTTTTGAAGTCTTTCGGGACGGTCCTGGAACTCTAAGGGCTGATCAGTAACCAACCATTGCAGAGTTCCCTCGACCGCCGTTCGCACTTTCTTGGTTTCTTTGAAATTTCCATAAGGGGGAACATTTAGGTCATCCCAATGGCGCTTTTCAGCCGAGGAGAGTTCTTTAAATAATTAGACTTGTCATTTCAACATTATATAGTTCAAGTACTACATACTCATAACTGAGGCAAACCTGTTTCCAACAAAATCAGGTGCTGTAACAACAAAATCTTGCAATCCATCAAGTATTCTTCCATAATCGTTATCAGACTGGCTAGAGAATTTGACCAGATCTGAATGATCCCTCAGGAGTGGCTCTTCTCGATGAGAGTTATCTGTAAGGCCGATTCGACAGGCCGATTCTTGTGTAACCATATAACAAAGTTGCCCATCTTTCGATATTTGTCCATTATCTATCTATAGGATATTATTAGTATTTATTTCTCATGACAGAAATTTTCTAACACACCCGAACCATTTTCGTCATCTTCTTCTCATAATAAGATCTGATCTGAAATACTTGTTCTTCACAGCATTGAATAAAATTCTGCCCTAACGTTCTTAAAAATGGTGTTGGTTCAGATTCATTATCCATATGGAGATCATTGATCAGTTGTTCGTTGAGTTGCCCAATCACAATCTCTCTCAGAGATGTATTCTTAAGTCCTAAGTTGGGGACACCAAAGAACATTAGAGCATAAGAGGACCTAAAAAAATCATTGTTCTTAGGCTCTCTCTTACCCCTCCGAGCTATAGATAGTGCCTAAATGTCTCGTCATTAATTTGTAAAGCTTTGAAAGGCAAACAAGTAAAACAAACCTCCTTCACTAGCAAGCCCCCAAGGCTATGGGCTACGAAAATAATTCGTCTTTGACTGGTCTGCAGATTGAATCTTAGTATATGAGTATGTATAACTAAGGATAACGAGAACCTTTGTAGCTGTACGAAATGCATTGATAGAGCTGAGGAATTCTTTTGCCAAATCAGGAATAGAATGCTTAGCATTTCCATCCAAAATTGATGTGTCGTATCCATAAACTAGAACTCGTGCGGATGGTATATCTTTAGGAAGAGAATCTCGGATCCAAACATAGTCTTTGTGTTTTGCTTTGAACGAACCGATTGGATGACTACCCAGGCCTGGGATGAAAATGATGCTGCCAAAAATGAATTACTATTGTCTCTAATATTGATATATATCTAACTCACTCTACAGATGTATTGTTGCCATCAGAGATAGGAGTGACGCCAGTGAACTTTTCATCAATAAGATAAGGAAATTCTTGTGGAAATTTAAGTGTATTGATTGTTGCAGTGAGTGTAGAGGAGGAATGTGCGAGGGTAAGATAGCAACCAGGCCCATACATTGACAGGTACCTTTTGAGGTCTGCTTCTAAATCGCTTCGTGTGACACCGAGTGGTATTTCCAGTATACGAAGACATCTGGGCTTTTCTGGTGATGGGTTTATTTTTGTAATTTTCGCATTTGGGGTCTTTGTGAATGCGAAATAAATCATGGCGACGACGATAACAGCCATTGCATATATAAGCTCCTTGGTTGGTTTGATGTCCATTGTTGTTAATTGGGGTTTTGATAAGAGGATTGTTAATTGTATAGATTTGTAAAAGAATAAAAGAATTATTAATTGTGTAAATCAATGAGGGAGTGGATTTGTTTTAATAGAATCATCTAAAACCCCATCTAGGTATGGTTTTAACAAGCTTTATCGTTATGGTGACGGGGTAATAGAATTGATTGGCTAAGGGCAAGCATATCAATTTATCCTTAAGAGCGCCTATGGCTGAGCAAAAATTGATTGGATGCGAAGGGGCAACAGCCTGCGCTGATAAGACGATGGATGGATGGACCTACTATGCATATGAACATTCAGCTGAGGCTATTCAGTAGTGCCTGTACTTTCCACATGTACAAATGGTTGTTCCAATACTACCTCTTGTCATACCACTCCTTGAATGTTATTTAAGTAATACATTGGTCAAAAGCAATTGATCGTTTTCTCTTATTACCAGAACAATAATAATCTGAATTTTCCGAGATAAAACAAATCCCTCTATCGCTTCAATATCACTCCAATGCAAGCGCCGCCATTTACGAAGGCTGATCAACTTAATAGTGAGCTTGATATTATAGCCACTTCAACAGCGCCTGTAATATCCACAATACGTCTACCAGGGCAACCACGCATTCATATAAACCAGCGTGCAAAAGTCGATGATTTTCTCAAGCAAGAGTTTCTTTTGAAGGACCTAGATGAAATCTCTCCGTATCTATGGATGATGTCAAAGTATGACAGCAGAAGTATCTCTCCACTACATCGCCAAAAGGTCAAAGGTCGCGATATCGTTATCACTGAAGATCCACGATTACACTTAGTCTGGCACCACGATCGCATATTTATCAAACCACTTCCAAAATACCTTCTATCCCATTATTTTTGGGAGGCCTATCTTTGCATCGATCGCCACTCGTCGCCAGAACAGATAACTCTTCAAAAGGCAGTTTTAGGATATCTCAGAACATACATCTATCTCATCAAATATGAATCAGATTTTCGTATAGCTATCGATGACAAACTTCAATTGATACCTCCTGGTATTACGTTTTTGAAATTCTGCGACTTTATCGCACCTTTGGAAAACCTTCTTGATGTCGATGTCGCTGGACGGTATGCCTACGGTGAAATTCGGCTTACGCGACTCAATCTCTATTCGAAAATCTTCTTAAGGAAGTTCAGCTTTCATCGTGTTCGTGCGCAATACTCTGATTATTTTGCTTCATTCTATGGGCCTTTACTTTTCGTATTTGCGATACTTTCAGTGGTGCTAGGTGCGATGCAAGTTTCTATGGCCATCGACTTTGATGTAACGAAGCAGTGGAAATCTTTTGAGCAATTTTGTCAATGGTTTAGTGTCATTTGTCTTTCTACAGTAGCAATTTTGGTTCTTTGGCTTGGTTTGTTATTCTTATATAAATTCATCAAGGAATGGGTTCATGCCATCGCTGAACATCAGAGAAGGAAAGACTGCTCTAAAAACTGTTCTAAAGTCTAACTAAGCAGATGGACCTTTTGAGCAAGGCATTAACAATTCTGAAAGAATCTCGGTTCGTGGATTCGTTGATAGGTGCAACGACTCCGATATACTGAGTATGAGGGGTGAAGTGGTATCGTGTCGAGGAAGCATGGATGTAGGGGCGAGGCATATAAGTACGTACACAGCATTCAAGATACCGACCCAAAACCATAGCATCCGTAAAACTCGATCGTCTTCTTCGCATTCTTAAACTTAGATAATGCAAGCTGATATAGAATGTCCCCTATTTCTATTAACGCTAGTGATTTCTCTAAGCTCCATAATATTTCTTGAATGCCGGACGAGGAATTGGAGAGATGCTGCCAATGGGCGGGAATAATACACAGATATCCATAGGATATCCACCAGGCTACATGGGATAGATACATCATCTTTACCTACTACCAATGAGGACTAGATTTTGGAATTGTCTACCCATGATCTTCATTAGTAAATATAATAGCTTATATCTAAGTACAACGGTTTAAACCATTCAATACAGCAGCTTTAGTTGCGGTTTCATACACACTCGAAGGCGTGGCAATTCTACTATCCGTCTCCGATGACACTAATTTTATATCCTCTTTCGAATCATCTCCCTTCCCAGTTTGTTCTCGATATTGAAAGTTGCTCAGTATATTCTTCGTAGTTGTAGAAACAGGTACTGGCAGCTTTTCTGCAAATGGTTTCGCGGGAACTTTAGGCTTTTGTTGTTGGTTCTGGTAATTCTTATTCTTCTGCCATGGCTGTCGAGGTGGTTTAGACTAGACTTCAAGTAGGAATTCGATAAGGTTGTAACTGGTTGCAATTCTCGTAACTATAGTATAAAACTAATGATCCATCTTGAGTAGGAAGCTCTACATTGTAATGAAATGGATTTCCTTATATAAATATTCGTTCCCTGCGCATGGACAAGTCGATTACCGCAAAGCCGACTTCGAAAAGTCGGTTTCCTCACCACGCGACACTATCCCTGTGATTCGCTGTTACCCTTTGTAGCAGTTCCCCTTACTCATATCTATATCCAAGTGGAAGACTTAGAACCTTACCGTATAGATCTTAAAAACCGTGTTCTACAACATGGGAATTTGAAATGTATTCCGTAATTGGTTGGTTGGAATTGCAACAAGAGGATTTCATAGTATATATATCAAGCAGTAACCTATCCTACCCCTCTATCTGTACCACACCAGTCAATATTATCTTTGTCTCAAACCTTCGATTTTAATAACGATTGGCTCAAAGCTACATTTACTGAAAGTGTTCCTTATATTTCTTTGTGGTATTAAAACTGTTATGTAACCATACTAGAAAATACTAGAATTGAGGTGACAAATCGAAAGTCTATATAATTACAGACTTCCCCCAACCTCTCTATTAAAAAGAGGGAAAAAAGAAAGGGGAAAAGAAGAATGAATATTATATTATAGATAATAATGGTATAGTAACTATTAGATAAACTAGACTAAAGCTTGTTTTGATCTAGAGGATGTAAAACTTTCATACTCAAGCTTCAAGATGAAAATACGACCGGAAGGAACTCCTAGAGCTAGAATTCCCTTATAACAAGATGTACTAGATGGTCGATAGTCTGGAGGTAGCCAAATCGTATTTCGCATTTCTCCATCTACTATTTCAACTATCCAATGGTTTGATATAGAGTAGCGTTCAAAGGCTGAAGATGCCTCTAGGCCTGAATGACCTTCGAGTGTTTGAAGCGAGTCGCCTGTTGCTACATCCCAGAGCCGAATCGTTTTATCATCGGAGCCGGAAGCTACCACTTTACCATCCGGCGAAAAGGCAACCGACCTAACCCAATCCGAATGGCCCTCGAGTGTTTGAAGCGAGTCGCCTGTTGCTACATCCCAGAGCCGAATCGTTTTATCATCGGAGCCGGAAGCTATCACTTTACCATCCGGCGAAAAGGCAACCGACCTAACCCAATCCGAATGGCCCTCGAGTGTTTGAAGCGAGTCGCCTGTTGCTACATCCCAGAGCCGAATCGTTTTATCATCGGAGCCGGAAGCTATCACTTTACCATCCGGCGAAAAGGCAACCGACCAAACCGAATCCGAATGGCCCTCGAGTGTTTGAAGCGAGTCGCCTGTTGCTACATCCCAGAGCCGAATCGTTTTATCATTAGAGCCAGAAGCTACCACTTTACCATCCGGCGAAAAGGCAACCGAATAAACCGAATCCGAATGGCCCTCGAGTGTTTGAAGAGCGGCACTCCAATTTGATCGTGTTCTTGATATTGTATAAATCCAATTGGGGATACATTCTTGAAATGTTTTTCGAATGATGCTCTCCTCAGGGGCAAAGACAAGGGCTGAACAATAGATTTGAAGAGGAGCTTGTTCAATTCCTATTCGGTTGTAAAGGACGAAGCGTTTGGCGTCGTGGGTAAAAGCGAAAAGTTCAGGAGCTTTCTCAACCTTGGCATCCATTAGTAGAATGCTTTTTTTCAAGCTATTCTGACTCACCGAGATACAAGATTCTAAACTTTTTATTGCAGTAATACATTCTGAAATATTTCCCATCAAACTCATAGCTTCAACCCAATGTAAAAAGTGCTCTCGAAGAAACCTGTAAACTTGGCAATTGTCCAGAAGCACATCATTACTCCCTTGAATATGATATACCCAGTAACGACAAGCATATTGAACATGTAGCGGCAGAGTTTCATTTATAGTATTCTTATCAACCTCAATTTGTAATATCCCAGGTTCACCTAGGCTGCATAGGTCTTGTTTAAGGCACTCGGGTCTGGACATGAGTTGAAGGCACTTGCTGGCTATTCTTCCATGCAATTCCTTCTCATTCATTCTGAATTTGTTTTCGTCATCTTCTGAATGATCAAGAAGAAAATCCCGGAACGAAAGATGAAAGAGCCTTACTGGAGCATCTTCGCTAGAAGGAACATCGAGAACTGAGTGCAGAGATCGAAGACGGCGCTCTACATAATTCTGATCGACATCAAGTAGACGCGCAAGTGAGACAATTGAAAGTGGATCAGCAAGGATTATAATCGCTCGAACTACCTCTCTAAATTCTTGGATAAGTCTTCTCTTTTCCTCCGCATCTTGATTGATAAGCTGCTGATTTAGAATTGGTAGATATGTTTTACCAAGTTGCGATATGTTTGAAGCCGTTTGATATTGAAGAATGATTTTCAAGCGGTCCTTTGGGTCCCAATTTTGATCTGCGATGAAACGGCATATTGTAGCTGCAAAAATAAACAAAGGAATAGCCATCTGAACTAGAGCTTGAATGCTTCCTTCTCCTGGCCAATTGTGAATTAAGTCTCTAACGTTGTTGGCCTTTATCTTCTCAAATTCGTGTCTTAAATAAATGCTCATATCGTCCCCGATAGTCGTTTTTGAAATCTTATGCAATACAAGATCCTGATGTATTTCCTTTGACATTTTTTGGAAGCCAAGACGGATTGGAGTTTCTGGTCTGCTAGTCACAAAAATTCGTGAACATACAGATTTTAATTGATTGATCTTTGTCAAAAGATGTAATATTGTTTTGATATCTTCTTCCCGCTCACATTCGTCTAGCGCATCGATCACCAGAACTAATGTCTGTGGTGAAGAATTCAACTCGGAAAGTGGCTTGGAAATCAATTGCTCAAATTGCTTTGCTAAGCTTTTGCTGGAAATGTTTGGATCGAGATCAATCGCTTTCTTAACAGACTGCACCATTTGTGGCTGCTTAACCACTAGTTGATGAGCAATAGTTGTGAAAAACTTGCTTGCCGTTCCACGATCACCTTCGCCTCGTTTGAAGAAAAAGCTTGCTCCCAATAGATTCTTTTCCTCGAAAGATTGAGCAACTGTACGAGAGATGGTAGACTTGCCCGTACCAGCGATTCCATTGAGCCAGAATATGCATTTGCCGTTAGGATCTTCGGCCCATTCTGAAATCTGTTCCAGTAGCTCAACTCGGGTACCCTGGAGGCATCTTGCATCATGCTCGTCTTGATGTGAATCGAAAGTAGCATTTTTAGCGATTGGTAGTTTTTCCAAATTTATCTGTTCTAAGATTTCACTAACTGATTCTTTGATATATCGCAGTTCTTCCAATTCTTTGAGAACCTTGCGAAGATTTTGTAGTTTTTGATTTGTGTGTTGTCGATTGAGGGCATTGAGAGTCCGGTCGCAATTGCTGGCTTCAATCTCCACCCTTGTAGCAATTCTATCGCATCGATTCTCGAAATCCAGCACTTCACTAGGCTGCCAGAAAGCTTTCCAAATCCTTTTTGAAGTATTTTCCTGATATATCTGGATTGCTCGGACAAGGAACTGTAACGCAACTACATACAGCTCTACCAATGATGCCTGGAAGTTTTCTCGTTCCTTGGTTGCTGGCAAGTCTTCCAAATATTTCATATATGCCCTCAATCTGTTCATTATAGAAAGCGCTATCTCTAGACCCGCTAGAAGTACAGCCATTTGACTGCCATCGGCAATTGTTATCTGTATAGCGATTAGATAAGATACAAATCGTTGTATAACATAATAAAGAAGGAGAAAGATGCTCTGTTATACCTCGAGTAGTAGCCGAATGGCAGCCCATGGCAATCCAGCATGGAGGGGATCCACATTCACAATAATATCTCCAACTTCCTTGAATTTTCGAAGGCCTCTTACCACCTTCTCAGCTTCGTCTCGTAACACCAAAGTGCGCTGTCCGAGTTGAAACGTCCATCTTTTTTCTTCGCAAAGCCTTTTCTTTTCTTGGGCTGTACTCAATGTTGCAACAAGAATAGAATCAATATCGTCTGTGATTTTTAACTGTTCGATTGTGACTCGCTCCTGTGCTGAAAGGCGTTCCCAAACCTTATTGAAAAAGTCTTGGTTAGGATCAGGATTTGACCGTACTACTGATTGATTAGATGATATCGGATTCGGAGAGTTTGATTCAGAAGCAGAACGGCAGAGAATGAAATCGCGAAAGCGCCGTCGATGACTTTTCGCAGTTGAAATGGTTGCGCGAGTCATTTTGGCAGTGAAAGGTTCGTGATTATGAATTGAAGCTTTCTCGATAATGAAAGTTAAGTGAAAGATTTAATTGAAGATGTTGGGCCAAAGGGCAGCTGAATGTTGAGCACATAATTGACTACCAATTGGAGTTCTTTCTAAATCTATTGGTTGCAACCATTGCTGAGAGACGAAGCAAATGAACGATAATTCTGAGCCATTCATTATTTACATGCATGATAAATTTGCTACATGGGTGTTTAAAACACTATCAGATATTCTTCTCCTCTTTCTTTTCCAATACACTATTATTGGCAATATGTAAGGCTAGATATACTTTTGCGATATTTTTTTTATCGAGATAAGAATTGAATAAAGCCAATCCGTAGTCAATCCGTAGTCAATCCGTTGCAAATCCCTCATTCTAAAGATCGAACCATATGCTGATATATAATGTTGAGGCTCCTCATTTGGCATTAAATGCCAGCGCACAGGCTGTGTGGCCTTATTGTAGCCTTAGGCACGTATTATCGCTGGGTGAATTGCCCAAATAAGGCGTGACTGAAATAGGTTATAGGTAAGCCACTCCTACATTAAGGCACAAAGTTCCTCAAATCATATCAGAGGGCAGATAAAAGGTTTAGGCAAATCGTAGTCAGTGACCAATCAAAATCTCTAGACAGCGACCGAAGGTCTCGTTCGAGTGCTTCTTATTGAATGCTAAATTTGAGCGACGTCCGTCTATGTGCGTCGTAATCCCATTTGCGCAGGGTTAATGAACAGAAATCGAATCGTACTCTCATAAGCTCCGGGATATCAAGTTATGTGCAATCTCCCAGGCATTTCAGCGCTTTCAAAGCATAGTACGAGTAGTTCGTCATCATCAATCGTGATCTTTCCAACGATCTTAGACTAATCGATTCGGAATATCCGAGCAGATTAAACTCGTAGTTAGCTTAATCGTCAAGTTTCAAATGTTGACATTACTATGTAAAGTGTATGCCATAATTTTGGTCTCACCGCCGTTAATTTGCCATCAATCAAATCATTCTGCCCATACAAATTGACTAAAGATAAGAGAATACCCCTCCATAGGTATGGCCTTGTGGTAGCGGTCTTAATAGGAAACTTTTCTGATTTACTAAGCACTCAGTGATTTTCAATACAGGAATGTCTATTAAATTCATATCAGATAAAATATCGCAATCCATTCATTTGAATTATTTATCTCATTATTTAAGAATAATCAGAATTTCAAAAAACCCCCAAATAAAAATTAAGTAAAAACCAACCAGAAACGAAATCCCTTCAATCGAATCCCAAACAAGCACACTAGTAAAGATATAAAATAGCGTCCTTTTCCTATTCCCCAACCCCAAAAATTCACTCAATGTCTACCTAACACCATTCGTCTCTATCTGCCAGGCTCTCTCATACGAGATATATTCTTATGTCACTCTCAGAAAGCAGGAAGATAAATACATCGATTAAAGCAACAGCGACTTTTCTTCCAAAGCACTTCCCCATATACCACCAATAAATATCAAGGCAATTAACGACCCCTAAGCGCAACCTCATTGTCCCTCAGTTCCTGTAGAACATTTCGTCCAGTGAAGAATTGTCGCCTGACTGCAGGTCCAGGTCGAGGGGGGATCATCCCTTGAAGAATATTTCCCTGATCATCCGTCACTTTGCAGTAGAGTTCTCCTCTTTGAAAAGCTCGTCGAATCTCTAAGACGGCTTCACCCATGAACCCCAGAGCAAGTAGATCGTTATCAGATTCTTCTGAGGAATCGTACAGCGTATACTGATATACGGTTTGATCGCCTTCCTGAACGTCACCTATCTTCACCCAAAATGTTGTACGTAAATCCTTCAAAGCGTCATCTGCTCGACGCTGTTGAAACTGATTGAGGTTCGGAGAGGTCGCGATCTTAAAGTGATAAGTCGCACCAGAGCTCATTCCCATCATAGAGGACTCCGCCTCAGGGATAACAAGCGCTGCGAAAGTCTGAAAGTCCGGGCCCGCATTTCCACAGAACATGGTAGATCTTTGCATTACCGCCCACCAAAACTCGTTCAACATGCTGGCGACATCGTCATCGGAGGCAGTGTCGATATCGTTCGGATCCGGGTTGATACGGTGAACCATCGTGGGCAGATTGAATTTGATGCGTAGTGAGGTAGTTAGGATTTGTGAGGATTCGTGGGGATTCATTGATAGTAAAGAAAGATGGGTTTTCAGCTTTGAGCAGAAAAAGGTGTGATTGAACTTCGTTTGCAAGAGTTGTCTGCCTAGGTGAGGGGTAATTACTCGGCTTCATGCAGGAAGCCGTGAATCCAGTGGATAAATCAGCAACGCATCTCCCAAGTGTGAGCAGTGAATCCGCAAAAGCAACACCAGGAAGATCAGCGCAACACTTGATGAGGCAGCAGTCAAGGTAAATTCAGTTGACGTGTAGTGGACACTTTGTTGCTGAAGTGGCTATCGCCAAAACAAATGCAGCCTTTCATTGATGTTTACAATTGAGGGGGCAGCATACAGCCTCCTTTTCTTCAATTTGAAATTCTCCTCTTTTTGAGGGTCTTGATCCAATCGTTTGGTAAGCTTAAGCTCTCTCGAATAATTCTCAACCATAATGCCCTGGGTGTGATAATCGACTTGAAGATTAGAGCGCTGATCAAGACACGTAATTATCTAGACAAGTCGAGACCTTGAAGCTGGCTGGGAGCAATAGTGATAACACAGACAAAGTTTCAAGCACAGGTAAAGGCCTTCCAAACTGTGAAAGAGCTTCACAATACACTCCATAACATTCAATCTTCAAGCAGACTGTGGGAAGCTTCAAGCTAATGTTCCATGGAAAGCAGAACCCTAAACTATCATGAATATTCCGAGAAAAATTAAGGTTTCCAACGTATCGTTTAGGATTCCCATTTCAGTACTATTGAATTCTCTACTAGCTGTCCTATATAGTATCAATCTCTCAGATAGCGTGATATTAGTTGATTCTTAATTTTCAATGAAGAGATAACATTTGCATTGATAAAGGTAGCTTTCTCATTAGGGACATTATGCAAATCTCATCAGAATATCTTTGAAACTCCCCCTTTGCCACAGCCCACACATCGCGCCTGGAGCACTTCTGCACTCTTATCTGAACCACAATTATGACAATAACCCCTCAGAGGATCGTTGATGAACAGTTGAAGTATATCGAAAGCGAAGGCTGGCACATCCTGTAGTGTGGCTCGTAAGATTTCAAGATCATCGCTTTGAATCATACTTCGAAATTTCCTTCTAGCATATTCGACAGTGATGGGCCTCAGGATGTTGGTTGACGTAGGTATAATATAAACATCTGAAACGACAGATAAGAATTCTTCGAGTGCAGGCCCTGCATTAAGAGTTGATTCGAACTTCCTCTTCAAAAGCCCCATCAAATTGGGTACGTTATATTTATCAGCCAAGTTATATGTCAAAACCTGAACCTTTAAATTTAAACGTAGCTCTTTGCCCTCAATGATTTGTTCGTCATATGTACCAGCATAGAAGTATTTTAACATTATTTCAACGGAGACTGGATCGTCGTCATTTAACTCAATGACACCTGTATCTGCCTCCTATAAAGAGTAAGATTTTGAGCTAAATAATGATTCATCTCGATATAATAACCTTAAAGCCTGTCATACATGCTGCATGCAAAACTTTTGATTGAGAGCAAACGATGAGACGATGAACATTCCAAGATCGATTACGACATTTGATAATCAGATCGGAATAGGTGCCATCCTCGAAACACCTATCTCATATTAGCCACAGCCAGTTCTTGTATGAAATTGAACACACCGTGTAATAGCATCTACGACACTTTGTGCTTCGTACATTTTTTGATATGTTTCAAGTCTAGGAATGATGTCTGGAGGCTCAAGATTACAATCAACATAACTTATCTAAGCAGATTTTAAGGTTGAGTGGGTGCAGCTAGCTCATGAGTCAAGCTTCACAAAGACAGATCCGTGCACTTGGTGCTGGTTATGGTAGCATACATATACAAGTATGTGTATTTCGGTACATGATTTGCTTTTTAATACCCTTGATAAAAGATACAATGGTAGCTTAATAGTATATTTACAATGATTAATTAATGATTAGCATTCGATATCTTGACTATAAAAAAGAATATCGCATTAGTTATTAGTAGCATTACAAGAAATCAGGACCCATTTTTAATAAATTTTAGTTTTACGGGGTAGTTAGTGGGCACCATTGGTAGTGACCGATTTTGACAAGCCGCGTCTAAATAGTCATCGATTGGCGAGATGGTTGTGGCTAAAACTATTTTTACTGTGGTGAGCCACATTTGGTCTGTGTGTCATTATCAGGACCTCCAGACAGAGTAACGAGAGATGATTGGAAGTCGGTCCACGTGGTCAAAGCTTTTTCCAAGCCTAGAGTAAGATTCGCCCACATTTCAGTATTGTCACTTTAGGCCTCATGTTATCACCTGATAAAATGCGATAACATAAACAGAGAACCTCTCAGGATAACAGAGCTCGAATCAGTAAGCATGTTTATCAGCCACAGCGTTCCGATGCCGTATGTTGATGTGGCTTGACAGAAGTGGTTGTTGATATGGCATGTGCAGGATAAATGTGGGGTTTTCAGGCCCTGATTGTTTTCTGTCTACAGGCTGTAAAAGAATCTTCAGAGAGTTCACGCCATTGCAGTCTAACTACACTGGTGTTTCTCCTCAGTTGTATAAGCATGATGATAAATCCCACCAAATATTTACCTCTATTGTAACATAACATTCATCCTTCTCTCAAGTCTTCATCCTTTTCATATATACACTTCTGTATTTTTATTTTCACAAATTCTGATATGAAAATTGCAGGCAGAACAAATTCATATTTACTGTATGAACGTTTCATCAAACTGGATACAGCGAAAGAAAAGAGGTGTATGATTGATGTTATGGCTTTACGAGAATTGTGCAAAAGAAGAGAATTGATAGGAGCAAGATGGATTCATAATCTTCATAATATAGCAGATATTATGGAATAGGCAGATATTGATAGAGCGTTGAGAAAGTTTGTCAATACTAATATCCTAATCGTATGAGCTGAAGGGTGAATGAATGAACATATGGGTACAAAGATCAGCTAGATCTTTGTACTGATAAACTAGGAACACATGTAATTAATAATATTTGGTTTTTTTCAATTTTTCTATTTGAAAAGATTTGCTTTCAACAAACAATTCGCGTTTCAAACCCAAAATCCAAAAACGCCAAAACCAGAGTTGTACGGAGCTAATCCACAATAAGAGGCTCACAGAAGCGCCATAAAGCAAAAGAGTTACTCTTCGTCCTGAAGGTTTGTGATCGGCCGAAGGGGGAGGAGTAGGACTTCGATCGGGAGATGCGTGAGGAGGAGGGGGAGTAAGACTTCGATCGGGAGATGCGTGAGAAGGGAGAGGAAGAGGATTGCGTCGTCTACCAATCGCAGTATTCTCGCAAATTGTATCCTCCGTGTGAGGTCGTGAAGTCGATGACCGTAGCCGTTTTTCGAACGGAATGATAGAAGGGATTATAGCTTCGTTTTGTGATCGTTTTCGCTTTAATTGACGATTCTCGACCTGCAGAAACTTGACATGAGTTAGCTTTATAGTATATCAGAATAAGAACAATATGCCTCAATACCAGGAGTATTGCTGGTTGGGGAAGGGAAAGGCTGCTTCGATTTAATATTCCTGTCTTTGAATACAGTTTGTTCTTGGGGAAGTAACATTTTTTCAAGATGTGCGCTCTCACAAGAGAATGACTGCTGTCTTGAATGTTGCTGCCCAGCCTTTACGCCTCGTTTTACTTGATGTGTGACCATATCGATTGGTAGGTGGTGGTGGATAGTCGAGGAAAGATCGTTGTGGATATCAGTTGACACTAGTCCAAAAAGGGACTAGTTAGTATTCAATCATTTGGGCTATCTGTCATATTGTGTGACCACTCCTGAACATTTATCAGCTAGAAAGTCACGAATAGAAAGCTTGTGCAATTCAATAGAAATGAAACTAAAAATGCTCCACTCTAGCGTATCCCTGCCTAAGATTGCACTGTGGCTACAATTCCCCGTTCTCCCCACTCTGCATCACGTACATCTTTTACTCTCCGAAATGGAGCTTTCCAGAAGGGATAAAGCTTGGAGGTGGAGCGTGATCGTCGGCGTTTGTTTCTGGCTTCCTCCGGTGTCAATGGAGTCACAGTATTATCAGCCTTATTTACCCCATGATTAAGCCACAATTACTTTAGAAAAAAAAGATTTTACTTTCTCCAAAAATTCCATGCACGTAGATCTGTAAACTGAAAGTGTACCGTTTGAAATGGAGGTTATATTTAATGAATCTCCATCAAAAGCTGCGGAAAAGTGGTTTAAGTACAATACCTGATCACCTTTTCTCTCTTCTTGGGGTAAAGAGGACTATTCCCTGTACGAATTCAAATAAGGTATGAGCTGATTTTGTTTTAGATTACTACCAATTCAACAATGAAGGAATCCTATCAATGTCTCTTGACAATCTTTCACTCGAGCGGGAAATCGTTTTGAGTATTTTAGTCTCTTTTCAAAAATTATGAGCTGTTACCTGTGACACAGAACTACCTCGGCTTAGAAAGTATAATTCATTTCTTTTTATGATTTTAATAACAATCGTGTCAGAGGCTAGCATTTTAAATGAATGATATGAGGAGTATAGCCTGTCTGAATGAGTCTAGACGTATTCATATTGACTGATGCATATACCGACCGATCTACAAGAATGAAGGGTTGTAAATTCTAGAGAAATGTCCTTGAGAAGTGTGAGATGCGATGTAATCCTAGTGCGGGGTGTTGGTATGGCGCTGGTGATGTTGTTTATGTGTACTAATCTATTTCAGGATATTACTTTGTCAATAACATTTAACTTCTACTTTCGGAAACATTGATATGACCAAATAAGTGATTGTATCTGCAATACAATAATCCGTCTTTCCATAAGTAGCAAGTGTAGAAACAAGTATTGCATTCGCATCTTTGTGTGAAGAACTGTCATCAAAGGATTCAATTCTACCTGAGAATCTGAACCTAAAAAAGGAAGAAAAGAACAAGAAGAGAACTGTAAGAGCTCCGGACTATATACACCAATGAGTTACGTGCTAGGCTAAGGTCCTAGAAGTTAGGTGACTAAGAAGGGAACCTGAGAGGGACCGAATCGTCACACTTCGCCACTAGGAGGTATTTAGCAAAGACTGTAATAATAAAATAAAGAATATCTAGAATCAAAGTATTGAACCACATCACTTTGATTATTCACAAGCATCCTGGTAATATCAATAGCATCGAAGGATACACTTTCAATGTTGAGCACAGCAAATCTTGCATTGATAGGTGCAGTATGTATAAGAATTCATCTTTCCCAATAACCTGCAATGATCATATTTACATACCAAAGTTAACTTTTCTATAACTATATAATACATGGAATACTGAATTTTGCATATGTCGGGCAACGTGAGAGACTCTCCATCCAAGAGTTCCTCAGCTCTGTTTGAAATCATTCCACGTTAGCCAAAAGACAATGAAGGGTTTTTTGTTTCATTGGTCTTTTTCGTCACGCAGAGGACTCTAATGTGCACCGGAAGTATTGATGAAGTTGATTCTGTATTGAAAATACATGATAGCTCATAAAATCTATCTACCTTAAAAAAGCTTCGGCAGTGTGTCTGATGATATGCTATGCACCAGAATACACTGCCTTCGTGAATGAAGATCGATTACTGTGTTGGTTCGATATGCAATGCTCGAATAGCTCTACCAGCCACGTCAAAATCCTGCTCCGAATCTAACCAGATAGCTCCGATCAGAGCTTCGACTGTTGTTGCAACGGTGTATAAAGCTGGCTCGTGCTGGCTAGCTGGGAGAACCATTTGATCCACCAAACCGTTGTGCTGACCGATCGTCCCGAGATTGCGATTTGATGCGTTCTTGGACACACATCTTTGAGAAGTTTCTAATTTATGATCAGTCATCGCTCATGGTGATGGTTCTTTAACTTACCGAGAGTTGCTCCCTCTAGATATCGATTGTGAACAAGCTCAAGACGTATCAATGCATCTCCAATTAGTGCAAGCCTTCTGTTGCCCTGTCGCTCGACAATCGAATTTTTTTCAGAAACAACACCGCTTGTTACAAGTGCCTCCTCGAGTAATCGATTTTCCTTGAAGTTGTATTTCAATTCATTCTCCACGAAAGTTCTGAGACACATAGCTGTCGGAATGTATTGTGTAAAATTATTTGGAGAGAAATCTGATTTTATGGAACAAATACAATTTTGCTATAATATATCATTGCTATGTCTCTCGTTATCCATGGCAATTCTTATATCACAGGTCTCTTTGAGTTTCGGCTATTACTCACTTAATCCAGAGCATACTCGAATCAAGGAACGCATCAAAAGCATCAGGATGACATATATTCATGACATCAATAAGCTGTCATGAATTGCACAAACTTTCGACATATTCGATACTATGATATTTTCTTCAAAGTACAATGAAGTCTTTTTTCCTTATAAGGAATCAAGTGTCGTGTAAGGAAATATAAAACTATGAGATCTTGGATGTACAAAGTTAAACGAGAAAGCGCAAATTCAATCAATAATGCTAAGAGCTCAGTACGTCACCTATCAACTTAAGAGTACCTATTAGATATGGATCATAGAAGCATGCACTGTTGAATCCTTAGGTAAGGTATTTTGAGATACCTCAATATTTGATAGTGTCAGAGGAACATATACTGATAAATCTTTTTGCCATATAGATTCAATGAAAAGCTGGTTAGGGCATCGAAACATACTGGTGCGAATTAGATCTATACCTCAAATGAGGAGATTTTGCTGGAGCTGATACTTATTTGAGCAAAGCTCATGATGCGGATTTTGACTTTACTAGATGGTAGGTATGAGTTTTGCCGTTGAAGCCAACCATCTTGTAGCATTAAAGCTGAAGATAGAATCAACAAAAATACTCATCATATTGTGAGGAAGAATCATGTTTGTCATAGCAAGTGACGTTGTGTATATCTCACAATCACAATATAATTCCAGTTCCAACTACTCACGAAGTCAGTGGGTGCACCATTACGTATTCAACTTCCACTATTTGGAAGAGTCGAATTCAAAGACTGTGATTACCTCTCTATACAAACAAGAGCGTTATATTCTGATACAATTAACACAACAAGCAGAGGTACTAAGTCGCACGTGATTCTCTCTTGTGAACCGCAATCATACTGACAGGGCGAAGACTTCCAGCAATAATTTCAGCTCATTCCTACTATATGAGAAATTGAATGGTAGTTTGAGGTCCACGTATATTGCTTGAGAGTTCTGTATCCTTCCTTAATGAAGATGCATTAGCTGGGTAGTCAGTAATCTTGGATTTCTTGAGGCCTAGCGTCTTCTACCAGAAACCATGACTCACTCATGGTTCACTAAAATCGCTTTATTAGCTATTCAGCATAATTAAAGTTGCTGAGCTTATCATATCACTGTGTAAACATTTTCGATCGTCAAAGGTGTACGAAAAAGTGTTGCACAAAGCAAAATCAGGTATTCACGATAATCAAGAGATGACGTGGAATCTTGCATTGAGCCAAAAAAGATGATAACTTGCTTAATTTTAGGCGGAATGGATGACGATGCTATCTTTGAATCTTATTTCGAATCACCATTGGTAGAAAACACGACTTGACATGCCATGAGGTAAAATATGTCAAGAAGCAAAGGGTGGAAAGCGTGGCTCAAACTTGCTATGAAATCTTGTCATATTGAAGCTGGAATTTTCCCATAACAGAGAGAACTCATGTAAAGATCTAATCACGAGAGAACTAGATAGCTATGCGCATGATTTTCTTTCCACAATTCAAGTATTAGCATTAGGATACCCACATGGAAGGACTGCGCCTTGCGTCAAGATGCTTTCGGCGATTGGTGTTTCCTTTATCTTTTGCTAGATTACTCGCTAGATAAAACAAGGTTCAAACAAAGTTGAAAAATGTGAGCCAGAAAGACTAAGCACGGTGTGAAAATGCGGGAGGTTACAAGAATGAATGACATAAATTCGAAAATGCAATCAGTATATTTGTCTCCCCTGTTCCTATTATAAACCCATTCAGCAACCTTAAACAAGCCGTATGCCATCTATTACTTCTTTCTTCACGTGAAATGCTCAGTAATTCCGATAAATAGCCTGCGTTCCCATTCAATAATTTAACATTATGTTTATTCCAAAGTTCAAAAGCAAAAGCAAAAGACTTGCCTAGTATGGATAAAGTTCTCTAGATATATTAATGCACCGTTGATAAAAAGGAAGATCTTGTGCATAACTGTCTAGAGTTGTATGCAGATTTAGCTCTTTGCTGTTTAAAACATATTTGTTGGCTTGCCTCTGCAGTATTATGCACCTGGTAAACCACCACATAACAAAGATTGCCACGTATATTCGAGTAGCTAGCCAATTCTTGTACAACTGTTCGATAATGCTGCTGCAAATCTTGACACCGTAGATAAGACGAGACTTTGAGACGGTTGTGATAGACAATCTCAATTGAGTATATAACAATCACTAAATATCGTCTGAACACCGCTACGACCAAGAGATTAGTATTTCAGACTTTACGAAAAAAAACATCGCATTATCGTAATTGCAGCAGCAATATCACATCATCATGGCCAGGAAGACAGCCAAGCTATTTCGAACCAACAGCTTAAGAAGCCTATATTCTGAGAATCAAATCAAGATAATGAATACCATTGATAATCTTCGCTCTCAAGGTATCAATCATAATATCTCCTTGCCACAAATCATTGTGTATGGCAACCAATCATCTGGGAAAAGTTCGCTTCTTGAGGCTATTTCAGGCGTGCCTTTTCCTGTCAAAGGAAACCTTTACACAAGGTTCCCAACTGAATTGATCCTTCAGAAGACGCCTGAGGTCAGCGTTAATGTAAACATCATACCATACCACTCTTCTAGAGACTGAACGGACGTCTCTGAGCGAATCCAGCCAGGAGCTTGATGCTTTTGATGGTCTGGCAAAGCTGATTGAGGATGCGAGAGCAGCAATGGGTGTCTATGAAAATGGCAAAGCTTTCTCCAGAAGTGTCCTTCGAGTTTAGATCTCTGGTCCTGATCGTCCTCACTTGACAATAGTCGTTTTACCAGGATTGATACACTCGGAGACAAGCAACAATCGGCTTCCGATATCGAAGCAGTACAAAGCATTGTCCATACTTATATGAAGGAACCACGAAACATTATCCTTGCGGTGATTTCTGCCAAAAATGATTATGCAAATCAAATTGTGCTCAAGCTCGCACGCACTGCTGATCGTGGTGGTAGTCGAACATTAGGCGTGATTACAAAACCCGATACTCTTGTCGCGGGTGCCGAGGGCGAGAACTACTATGCTACTCTTGCAAAGAACCAGGATATAAAATTCTCTCTTGGGTGGCACGTACTGAAGGATTTGGATTTTGATGTAGGAACTTGGTCCTTATCACACCGCGACTCTGAGGAAGAGGAGTTTTTCTCCAAAGGCATCTGGAAAGAGTTCCCTGCAACATCACTAGGGATAGTTAATTTACGCAAAAGGCTTAGTGATGTTCTTTTACGAAAAATTATAGGTGAAATGCCAGGGTTGATTAGAGAAATCCAAACAGAATTCGAAAGTTCTATGAAATGATTTGAAGAACTTGGGGAACCGCGGACAACTTGAGAGCAACAACGAAACTACCTTCTACACACCAGTCTTGAATTCCAGAAAATCTTGAGACTAGCTGTAGATGGAACATACAATGATCCATTCTTTGGTGATGCCAAGTCTGAAATTGGCTATCAAAAACGATTACCAGCTGTACTTCAGAATCTTAACCTCAGTTTTGCAAATACATTCAATCAAGAAGGCCATAGATGTTGCATTACTGATCATACGCCGAACAAGAATGAGGGTGATGGTTTTGACTATGAAATTGATACAACAACATCATAGACAAAATCGAAGATCTCATGAAGAGAACAAGAGGTCGCGAGCTACCAGGGTCATTCAACTCGCTGATCATTACTGATATATTTCGGCTGCAATCAACCCCCTGAGAAGCTATTACTCAAAAGCATGTCAAAGAAGTCCTTTCCAATACTCAGACATTCATCAAACTCCTGAATTCAAGTACTGTAGATTCTTCGAAATCAGAGGCGCTATTTTCCAGAATTCTCGAGCCGGCTTTAGATAGCTTGTCGAGAAATTTACAGTCGAAAATCGCCGAATTACTCAAACCTCATCAACAAGGCCACCCCATAACGTATAGCCAAAATCCCGTCCCATCATCATCGTCTACGCGTCAACAGCGCCTTGAAATCGAATTCAAAAGGATAATTCAGGTATTCCCTGATGGTTCTGATATATTCCGTATTCATATAAACAGCTGCCGAGGTTTGCGCCCCCTGATCACGCAACTGGTGAACGAGGCCGAACCAAACATGACACGACCTAAATGCTATGAGGCTTTGGAACGGATGCTGGCTTATTACAAGGCAAGTACAAAGCAAACTCTTCATCTTTTTTGTAGAATGCATGGCTGATATGAACTATACAGGTTGCACTGAAACGATTCATTGATGATCTTGCTGTGGAAGCCATTGAAGATACGCTAGTACCTCATCTTCACACTGTTTCCCGCCTCTATCTGTTATCTCCATGGATGATGCTCTCGTGACTGATGTGTCAGATGAAAGTGAGAGTAATCTTAGTCAACGTGAGGAATTAACCAAGAAGCTGGAACTTCTCAAGAAGGGTTCAGAAACCTGCAAGCACTTTACCAGCCAAGGACTTATATGATTGCGTATTCAAAATCATCAAAGATATGCCGAAATTAAATTTAATTATCAAAGCTTGAGATTCATTCTCTTCTTGAAGTCACAATGTATACGTCTTCTCAGCAAGGCTTTCTGGTTCATCAGATCGAACTTTCTCTCTACGATGTGCTTTGAGCTTGTATATAGAAAGGTTGTAAAAGATCACTGACATATTGCCATTCTTCAAAGTTTTGATATGAGAAAGTAAGACGTATTAAACCTGTCATAGACATTCATTGTAAAGAAACAATAGTACAAGCTGTCAAGTCTACAGGCTAAATGGTAACTCACCTCTTCAATATACGATGTTATCCCCTTATTCAAGAACAGGGTTATCGCATACACTCCAATCCCCTCCAACTTTTCTTTATATTTATAAATATAAGTGAAACATCTTAAGTGCTTCATCTACTATCCAAAATAACAAATTAATAGTCTTCTCAAGATTAGCTTGGTAATCTGTTTTAGAATAAGTATCGAGATTGTCGAACAAGATAATTTCGGATATGGTTCAAGCTTTCGGTTTGGATTAGTAGAGTATAGATTACTGCACATCTATAAATAGATGAAATTGTAAAGAGAAAGATGATTTTTAGAGCGCAATAATTTCTGATTTGGTAATCGTGGAAGATATTGGTAGTGAAATATATTGCATAGAACTATTTCAAAGTCAGCGTGAGTTGAGAGTTCTCGTGGTCTTGCCCCACTGACCCCGCTCTCTCCAACCAGTCAGATCTCTTTGATTCATACTACTAAGCCTTACACACAATGCATAATTGACGCTGATATTCCGATATCTTTTAAATAACGCTCCTCTCAGAAATGGAAACTTTGAACTTTCTTTTATGATACTAACACTCTGCAGGCTATACTTCAGGGCTTCCATCACTAACAATGAACTTGGAGATTTGACCTCATTTTGATATGTTGCCTGCGGCTCATAGAATCAAACGGATACCCTGTAATCTCCTAACCCTTATTTTTTACCCAAACCCCAAAAACCTCAACCCCCTTCTTCCAAACTCCAAAATTCCACTACCAATCCACAAACCCAACTCTGTAAAGTATATCAAATCTTCGTAAAGTGTGGGTTTTGACGCAGAGCGAATCGTTGCTCCAGATTGCTTCACAATATTTGTATCCTCATATACAGCCGCCTCCAATCCTAACCTCAGCATCAGATATTTATAGCTCTGCTCCGTAAGCCGAGTGTTGTATGCGGGCTTGTTCGATCGTAAGACGAAGGGCGAGATTTGGAAGACATGGCTCAACGAGATATAGGATTGTCTGGGCATACCTCCATTTTCGAGAAATAATCCGGTATCTTCGTTTGGTGGTGACGCTAGAAACGTTTGTGAGATTTTGATACGATCAATAGGATATCTGGTAGTGCCTTTCTTGGAAGTTAACTATCAACAATTGTTAGCTGAAAGCAAGGCATTCTTTTGATTGGAATTTCACTTTAGCAATATAACACCTGATTTCTCCATCATCCGATTGAAAGACATCTAAAATCACAACATAATGATTATACCCCTCTTTATCCAATTCTGATTTGTTGCAGCAACATGTATCGAGTATACATCTGACGCTTTCATTCCCTTCCAATCTTTCGGGAAGAAATAAAATGCAGCCAACACAAAGCTCTCTGGTTATTCTGGATCGGCGTGAACTGTTTCCATTGTGTCCTTTGCCTTGTTGGAATATTCTAGATTCTCGTTGGTGGCTGATGGAAGGCATTTTTTACCGTTCAAAAACTTTCGTTCCAGCTTTGTTGAAGAATATTATATCGCGGTATATGGGCATTGATATATAATAGATTTTTGTTTTGAATTAGGTGAATCACCTTGTGCAACAACGGCAAGGCTAAACAAGGTAAATCATGAACCAATGAAGCTTCATATTGAAGGTGACACCAAAACAACTTTCAATGGTTTCAGTCGTAGCTGAAATGGTAGAAAAGGAAGCGAATGGAATGCAATAGAAAAGAGTCTAGAGCAGAAATGATTTAGGAAAATATTGTTCCCTAACTAGCTATACTCATCCGCAGGAATCTCACCCTCGACGAGATATTCAGTCATTATACAATATACGTGATAAAACTTCAGTGAACAAAGCTCACCGGATTTCGAGAGCAGTCTCATCCTATTTATTCGCACTTCGACATATGTAATTTTTCATTACAAATTTCCCTTCACATACTTTTGAGATTCCACAATAGTCCTAAAATTTGAATATGACATTTCAGAAAGTTTATATACCAACTTCAATCTCGATATCGTAATAAGCTGCAATAAGAAAACTTGGCACCTTTAGACTTCAATAGTCTTGCATTTGGATAGACTAGAAGCTCATAAAACAACTCACATTGCATAATGGCGGATGGCAAAAACTAATAACCGCGTTTGTTTGACTCATTCCACCTCAGATTCAACGGCACATCTTTCTTACACAAAATTCCGTATATCTTCTCTGTAACCTTCATTGATATACTTTCCTATTGAATAACTTGAACTGACATTATGTGAAGAAGCATCGTAGAAAACTTCAATCCTACTTGAGAATCTAAAGCTAATGAAGGAAGAAAAGAATAGGAAGAAAAATGTAAGCACCTTGGAATATAATGCACTCATGTGACGTTTATTGATGATATTGCTTTTTATATATTTGCTAATTAAAGTGGCATGCAGCAGTTGAGTTGTATCAGCACTATGGTTGATCATAGCCGATACAACAAAGATGATTCATCATTTATTTATTTTTATGCAAGGGATGAATTGAAAAGAGAGACAGCAAATAGAAGTCGTCTCTTCTTGGTTGGCTACATGATTTCGTCTTCCTATGGCGTTTGTGCAACCCATGTATTTGCTCTCTCTAAGTGTGGGTGTCACCAGATAGGAACCCCTCTTTTGGGATTTCCAGGCCCGCCTACATTCAATCTACCTATGTTACTATCCTCTATTTAAGATTGATTAAAAACTTTAGCGAATCTTCAGTCAAGCCACCGAAATAACCACTTTTCCCAAATGTCGATCAAAATTTCCAATTAAGTCCACATAATATTCACATTCAACAAAATAGCAACATGGCCTCATCTTCCATCATATTTCCATTGACGTGACTCGACTAGAAGTGAGTCATGTCATGATATGGGTCAAAATCACTCCCTCATTTTCTGTATCTTATGCGTTTATTCAATACATGGTGGATCAGAAGTCGTTAAATCCTAGAGAACCTGAAGATAATATTCAAAAGGCTATGGATTAGAAACAATAAAAAACTTACCTAAAAGCGAAATGCTGCCATTGATTGATTGGTTTAATATACGTCCATCTTCATTACAAGACTATGTAGGACGGCTAGAACTTTTAGGCGTTAGTGGATAACCCTTTATTTTACAAGAATCGATACATTCGATTTGGGGAAGTCAAAACAAATATTGGACACCAATAACTTTTTATTCCACGCATTGCATATAACGTAACGTATGGGGAGCTCGTGCATATGGGGAGTTCGTGCATTTTGCCCTACCACCCTACCTACTAATCCCTACAACCACCCACAATGGGCTATAAAAAAGCAACTGCTAAAGTGTATACCGAAGAGGATATGCAGAAGGCAATAACTAGCTGGAAAAGGAAAGAGTTTAAGTCGATTCGGGCTACAGCACTCCATTTTCAAGTTCCAGTTCAAACACTACGTGACCGAATAGCTGGACGGAAAACTAACGCAACAGCCCATGAGGAGGCCCAAATACTATCAAACGCGGAAGAAAAGACCCTAGAACGATGGATTACACGTCTTACCAGTACTGGATATCCAGCAACTCCAGCGTTGGTCATAGAAACAGCTGAACAAATTCGCCAGGGACGCGTCAAGCTTAGCCCCTCCTTACATCCTCAGCGTACTCAACTACCTCCAATTGGCCACGAATGGCTCTACCGGTTCTTAAATCGATACCCTATACTAAAGGGAACGTACTCTAGACAATTAGAGTCGGCAAGACAACAAGAGGCTACATACAATAAGATCTCCCAGTGGTTTAATGCGTTCCGATCGCGTTTTGCTGAACAGAAGTACGAACTCCAGAATGTCTACAATATGGACGAGACGGGATTCGCAATAGGAACCACCCAATCTACACGTATAATAGTCGATTCTACTCAGAAATCTAGCTGGAAGGCTACACCTGGACGGTAAGAATGGATAACTGCAATTGAGTGTATCAATGCTGCTGATAGGGCTCTCCCACCCATAATTATATTCAAAGCCAAAAACACCAATTCAAGCTGGATATTACAAGAAATGCCATCGAATTGGAGATTCTCAATAAGTAATAGCAGTTGGACTTCAGATAGTTATGGATTTGAGTGGTTGCGGATTGTATTTGAGCCTGAATCTCGACAAAAGTCTGGAGACAAACTACGACTACTCATTGCAGATGGCCATTCCAGTTATATAACTGGCAATATGATCAGTTTCTGTATCGACAACAACATCGACCTCCTTATTCTACCTTCCCACTGCTCCCACTTGCTCCAACCGCTAGATGTAGGGGTGTTTGGCCCAATGAAGAAATACCACGCGCTTGAGATCGATTGGCTTGTTCGCATTGGCATCACGCGATTCCAGTGGGCAGAATGGGTGACACTATATCAAACTATCCGTAAAAAGGCTTTATCTATCGAGAATATATATAGCGGATGGAGAGGCGTTGGTTTAGTCCTGTTTTGTAGTGGTAGAGTGCTTAATCAGCTACCCATACCCTTCCAGCCTCAACCTATTACCCTCCAACAACCAAGAAAAACCCCTCAGCTAGACCTCTCAATGTTGAAAAGCTCTCCTCCTGATGGAACAGAACTCCGAGAAGCAAACTCAGTATTTAATTCAGCTCTAGCAAGTAACAAGCCTGCTGCAAGTCCAACCTGTCGATATGCAAGACAAGTAACCCAGCTATTCGAAAGGCAGAATGCCGAACTTATAATGATTCGAAAGGAACTTGAAGAATAGAGAGCGATACTCAATCAACGAAAGACTCATAAAAAGGGCAAGAGGGTTAGATTGCAGGGCCAATTTGTCTTCAGTACTACTGAAGTATTGAAAATCGCTCGGGAGGCTGAAAAGAGACCGGTCACAAAAAAGCTACGGGGACGGCCACGTAAAAGGACTATTGAAGAGGTAGAAGAGGATGAGGAAGAGGAAGAGGTACTAAGTGATTCTACTGATTCAGATTCTACTGGAAGCTGTATTGTAGTCGATTATAAGTAGTTTTTGGTAGGGTGGTGGGGCAAAATGCACGAACTCCCCATATGCACGAGCTCCCCATACGTTACGTTAATAAGAAAAGTATAAAGTTTTGAGAAATAATGAAAGGCGTGTCACGAGCATTATTTCGTCACGCTGAGCCAGATAAACGTATATCTTGAAAGATGATAATCATTAAGTCGACGTCGATCCTGTATCACTATGTGCACATAGTAATTCTAGCATTGCTGATATGCCTGTTTCATCCCCAGAAGCCTTATCTTTCAATGTCATTTGATCATTGTCATCGTGTATCGCCACCAGAAGAGGATTCATCCTGCCTACTCGAATCAAGGTGTGACACATGTCTATATCGCCAAGTCGCATCGCTTCCCTTAAATATTCTTGCTGCTCATCCCGAAAAGTGTCTCTCTCATCGGTTCCACTTTCTGATAGCAGTATGCGTGCTGACTCACTTCGATTCTGCGCAGCTGAGGGGCTCATGATAATTCGCATTAAGACTGTATTGTTTTGATCGTCCTTCTGGCATACAATGTCCTTGCAAAGAGGTACCAAACATCGAAATATCGCGGGATTACAGAAACGAGATGCTAGATGCAGCACATTCTCACCATGTGAATTCTGGTATCGAAGGTGTGCCTTGATATCGTGTTGCGCTAATAAGTATTCCAAAACGTCCACGTGATTTCCCAGAACGGCTTCTGCAATCAATTGATGTTGGGATTCGCGCTTATTCAACAATTCGGATCTAAGCTCTACCGTTCGATAAGCTCTATCTAGTAGCCGCTGTATCATAGGCATACAGCCTATACTGACAGCCATACGGAAGAGTTCATTGCCCCATCGTTCCTCGACCATTATATCTGAAACATCGTCAACAAGATCAAATACTACGCCCCAGCCTTTTCGAGATTTATTATGCGCCATTCTACTAGACCACTGTTTCATGACGAGCAGAAAAAAGTCAAGGTTCCGAATCTGATACCCAATCTTACTTCTCATTAATAGCCTGAGTCTGGACAAATCACCCCATTGAAGAATTTGCTCTGCAGCACCTATAGCTGGATTGGGGAGGAATTTGATTTTTTGGAAGTCTGAGCTCTCAAGCATAATCCGAAGCATATCTTCTGACCCGTAGAGCGAAGTGATACTGAGGGGATCATAAAGACTACTGTCGAATACGAACCTGGGTTTGATTGTGCATTTCGGACGACAGTTTTGTGTGATCCAATTATGTAGACGGGTTGAACCAGCTTGGCATAGATTTTCTATGCTTTCGAGACTTGGTAATAGAGATTCGGTTGAGACAGCGCTGAAATGCTCAATCCAATGACAAGAAGCGTAGACAAATAGCTCACCAAAGCCGCGTTCAGTCGGAAGGTAATGTAACATGTTTTCCTCCCAGGTTTCCCATGTACAATAAGGATCGTAGTCTTTCGACTCATTGTTGTCATCAAGTAGTAGATTAAAATCTTGAGGCAGCTCTTCGATTGCCACTTGCTCTTCAGAGAATAGATCAGCATTGCCGACATGTTCCAAGAGAAGATACTTGATGCATGTATTCATGATGCCTGCCTCTAGGCTCTCGGTACGTTGCTGGATAAACACTTGATTTATTCCTCCTTGAGTAGAGATAGCCAAAGTTCCTGGAGCAGGCGAATCTGGGGACAATTCCTTGAAAATGAACTCTTTTACCGACTGGTGTACAAGTCTAACTTGATGCTTTCTGACATCGCTGAAATCAACTTGAGCAACGAATGGCTGAATTAGGCCGATTACTCTCTGATGATCTACGAGTTCGGCAAGGACATCTATACTAATATCTTCCTCCTCATACGTATTCACGAGGACGGCCCAAGCGAGTTCTAGTATACTCAAAGGTCTTCGGGTGATGGCGAGGGTTTCCAATGCTGCAATGGCAAGCTTATGATTCTCCGGATCTTTGAAAGTGTATCGTGAAAGTAGATTAGCGTAAAGCTTTGAAAGCTGTTTAGGCTGTGGTATTTCTTCCAAGAAAGCTCGCATCGGACCAAGCGCCCGGATTCCGCGGATTTCTATGAGCTCAATTGTCATCTTTGTCCAAATAGCGCTTCCTTGCGCCAAACGAGTTAGTGACTGCGATATGAATACTTTAACGGGCTTCGATAAGTAAGACAACTGCCTCTCAACTGTTTTTTCAATAATGATTCTATCTCGCTCAGTGTCAGAATTCAAATTGATCTTGGCCATACCGCTTAATAGCTGCAGGATCTCCTCCTCGGGGCGTGAAGAGAGTAGAACTTTTAGTCTCGGAGTTTTTTGAGACAGATCTCTCAACGACTTGAGAAGAATTCTCCGGGAAGCTCGATCGCACTCATCTAGACTATCGATCACAAGGAAAAGTGGGCGATCGAGTGTTCCTAAGGCTTTTAGCAACCATTCGATTAGTTGTTTGGAATTCGTCGCTGGCTCGATTCCGGAAGCCGTGGCTTGCTTATACCATTCGAAAAATGTTCTCTTCAAGCCACATAACTGTCCAAGAAGGGATAAAATCAAAACCGAGAAGATACAAATAGCCTGACCAGTCTCATCATCCCGACAGTAGTGGTAGAATATCTTGGGCTGAGGCAATTGGTGCTCATTTTGTTGGCGTAGCTCATCTATAAGATATGCCATTGCAACTGATTTTCCGCAGCCCATATCGCCAAGAATCACTAGTTGTTGGGAATTGGTGGCACGGCACCAGTCAATGAATCTTATATCTTCCAGCAAAAATTTACAAGCCTCGTCGACTCGAATCTCCTGTAAAGAGACATGGTATTGGTTTTGTCTACTCATCTTCTCACTACCTAACCACCTTCCAACTAAAGACAAATCAGGCTGTATCAACATGACTTAGTGGGGAATAACATACTTTCGTAATCATAGAGCATAGTTTTAATATCCTCAACAATCTCCCATGTCGCTTTTTGCACAAGTTTTCGGAGGTTGTCAGCATGGTCCAAAAAATCTTTGACTATATCTGGTAGATGGCTGTTCTTTAGAATTAGTTTCATAACCAGTTTTGCTCCTTTTCTAGTTAATATCTCGAATGCGGTAACGTAGAACTCTAGAAGTTTCTGATATACCAATACAAGTGCCTGTAGACTGTTAAATAGGCTTTCAAAGGACACACAATGAACTACCTTGTGTATATCTATCTTGTTTGTTTTTTGACCAAGAGTGTCACAATCATCAATATAGGAGAGCTGTTCTAGCATTTGCCCGATTTGTTTCGCGAAATTGAGATCAGCGTTTGAAATACTAATAGCAATCTGTATAGTAGGTGTGAGTTAGTGCTTTCTATGTAGCATTTCTAGCAGAAACTGCAAATTGAGAAATCTCGGTGAAATAGTCTTACCGCTGTTACGCCTTTGATAATACCAAAGACCATCGAGGTAGTGGGTTCAATACTCGTCAATGGGCTGGCCAGGTCTAATGCAAGCTTGAAACTGTCCAGTGGTACCTGAAGAGAATGCAAATATTTTACACCTCTCAAGAAAACGGATTCTTGAGTCACCTCTCTGTCAATAGTCTCGAGTTGTTTAAATAGCTCCGCAAGATTCTCGCCCTTAAGGATAGTAGAATCTATGTCTTTCCCAAGACTATTTACTGCTTCACGGTATGCGGCGCTCCAAACGTCTAAAGAAACAATGGCTGAGTCGATTTCAACGCCAGGCGTTAAGTGGTTGGAAGAGGAGTCATCTTGAACACCGCTTGAATGGATTCTCGGAAGGGCAGTACTCTGATCAATTTGGGTTTGAGTTGTATCGTCTCTGGTTGTAGGTAGTTCCTTTGAAAGATCATGTGCTTGGCTTAGGGAATTGGAACTGACTTGCGACGTTAGACGTTCCAAGCTTGAATGTGTACTGCTTGATTAATTAGCGTAGCCTAGTTGTCAAAAGATAATGCTCACCTAGTCGCAAGCCTATTCGGATCTGTCGGGGTTCTCGACGTTGAATTGACATTGGCATCCCTCGAAGAGTCTCTAGATTTGCGCCGCAATCGATTTAGTCCCTGACGCAATCTGTGCCTGAAACTTTCATTAAATGCTGGTGAAGATGGCATAGTGCTGTTGAGCTCGCAACTTTCAACACTCGAGTAGTCTTGTCGGAATTTAGAATTGCTGTAGCAGGAAATGATTGCTTCAAGTGTTTGCCAATTCAACCATTATGGTTGGAATGAGTATCTGCGCTGGCACTTACCCCGCAGTGAGTTTACGAAATATAACTTACCCTGTAGTGCCGAGAATCCTTGTGTGCAGGGTGATAAAGTCTCTTGAAATTTTCCACAGATTTGTAATCTTATCAGCTTTCTCAATGATTCTGCAAAGACTGTATAAATTAAAACGCCTCTGAAAAGTATTATCATGATAGATTGATTTAAAGGGGACACATGGTATTTATAATATCATCTAGACAGAAAGTTGCAGGTGATATACTATGCTAACAAAAATCGCATTTTGTAGTACCTGGATCATACAGTTGGTTAAAAGTCGAGATATGGTTTATCAGCGAGCGGACCCACATCACCGATTGAACCATTTTACCTCATGCGCTCCGCGCACGTGCACTAATGGTACCGATCACGTGTTCATAGTTTGCGTAGAAGACCCCCAAGTTCTTCGAATTCTAATTGTAGATTGCATGGAAGAATTGAACCCTGTTAATTCAGCTCTTTTATAGCAATCGCGTCACAATATATTTATTTCAATTTTAATGTATAGTTTATTAATCAATTCAATAATGCAATCTGATAATTAAAAGATTTGAATGTTTTAATGATTGAAATTGTTTGCAAAGTGACTCATGGTAAACTCGAAGGCAAGCAAATCAAATCTTGAATTTAGTTCTAGCAAATAGTGATTCGCCTGTCTCACTGACTGACTTGTCAACATATTAAGCAAACGATTAAGCTTGTAGAATCTCAAAAAATGCTGAGATAACCCTGCTTCGGAAACAACTTGCTGATACACAGGAGCTAATTGAGATTCAAAAGAAGAGAGCTAATGGTAAGAGAATTAAATTTTAAGGCCAAATTACATATATCGTGCTTTCCACTTGCTGATTGTTGATTATTTGTGATTAATTGATTTTATGAATCAAGATAGGCTAATCAAACTGATAGTTGTATTGTTTAAATTGATATAATATCGACAGTAGTTGTACTAAACGAACGACTAAGTCACCTTCATTGCCCTTCATCATCCAAACGAGACAATCCACTGAAGCTGTTGCATCATCTCCTTCACTTCATGAGTAGGAGATCCATTGTAGAATCTGACGATGATCTTTTTAAGTGAAGGAATGGCATTAAATTGCCTGTTGACCTGCGAGAAGACCTCTTGGATTAATCGCAAGTCATCTGAGTCCTGGCTCGCCTTGGCCAAGCCGATAGGATTGTAGCTATACACGAGTGCTTCCAGTGTTGTCAGTTTGGTACACTTCTCTTGAAGAAGCTTGAGACTACGCAAATCATCTTCTCTGAGTATTATATTTTCTGGTTGATCTTTTACATTCTCTGCGACCGGAAAGTTGATGCATATATGAGATAGATGACTTGCGTTTATAGACCCGATACAAGTCAGAAAGGATTGTAGAAGGTTAGCCTGGTGCTGTGTTGTATTCATAAAAGTAAAATTATTCAACTGGTACAACACCGCGCAAGCCTCTTCGTGTATCTGTCGATTGGTATAAAGTAACGCAAGCCATCGGAATGGTCTGTCCGGGGCAAACATCTCGACCGCTTCCGCACCTTTCTCCTGAAAAAGATATAATGGATGCGCAACGATAAGCAGCCTTTGGTAGATATCGTCACGGACTTTGCGAGGTAAACTTAAAAAACCAGAGGGAGGAGATGTCGTAATCGAATTGCGGATGCTATTTTCTTTGGAAGAATCCATAGTAGGCCGAGCTGGAGGGATAAAGTATCCTGACAGGTGTGTAGTGGAGCGATAGCAGTGTATTGACTTCTATCTCAGGCACCTGCTGGATACGCAGGGCTTTCCTTGAAAATGTGTCGAATGCGCAGACAAATGTTTCGACAAATGCGTTTTTGATTGATTGGTGGAAGTGGTAGGTTTGGCAACGAGCGTCTGAAAGTAGGTATGTTAGACCGTTTTAAACAGGATGTATTCATTATATACGAACTGTGACGATTCAATAATTGTACGCGGCAGCAAAGGTATTGTAGTGAATCTGTATTTTATGCTCATATAAGTGTAGATATGCTATTCTTAGCAAAGCGATACGATTTTAGGAGTGTTATGTTCCTTTAACTGTGTATTATTGTATAGTATCGTTGTCGTCACCGTTGGTGAGCGGGGTTAAAGAGTAAAGAATTTTGATTGTGGGTTCGCAGGCTAAGTGCGCACGGCTGAAGTGTGAGCGGTTGAGTGTATGCTTTAACCTATTATGGATTAGTGTCATTCACATTTCTCCCCGAATGTTTCCAACAGTCTTTTTATATCGATTCGTTTTGAACCTTATCAAGATTTTTATATTAAAACGAAAGTTCGAAGACTGAACGACAGGAAACTAGCTTTGAATAACTACCGTTTACAAAGTACAGATCAGAGTAATGCATTCTATGGTCTTTTCGGCCAGAGGGGCTAAACCTGAGCAACCATAAGATCCGCTGCCATGGCGGACGGATGAATAACTTATGACCTGAAGCTGTCGCTGCGGTCTCTATCTACGATGATCACACAGCGAATTGGAAGTCCATCCGTTGGTCCGCTAACGACATAAACACCAGACTCCTACTACCACCAAGCAAGAATTATGCTCTCGATGATAAACCTATCCAACCCAGAATGTTTGTCGATACGTCTGAAGCAGTGACCAAGTAGCCCATCAGGGTTGTCTTTATTAACAATTTTATTCGAAAGTATCGAGACCATAGTTTTGTTTACACAATCCTTACCTCTCCAGCATCTCTTAATATCTCACTCTCTTCAACGTCTCTCAATACTTGCTTCCTATCCTTCTCTTATAATAGCTAAAAAAGAAATATTGTTGAAAAAAAGGTTAGAAATATCTCATTTGACGAGCATTTTTGGATAAGGAATCATCTATTTCTTTCCAAACTTATTGGAACTTCACGATGTATGTAGTTTGGTTTGAAGCCTCTCATCAAATCATTCTAGTTTCCTTCTTGCTTGGGTACACAAACTTTTCACTTCAATGGGACTCAAAATGGAAGGGCGATGGAGCGTTGGGAGGGGGGAGGTGTTATTCGTGTATTTGACTTCTTGACAACGGATATGTGCGAGATCATACACGTGATTACAAAATCTTTGAGAATAGACTTAGCACCTTCCGCAAACCTCAAAGCTCGGGATATCCATTCTAAAATCCTTATGCATGTTGATCTTTTTTTATTGCTAGGATTGAAGCAAGAACATCGACGCACAATAAATAAAGGTGGGGAAAGGCGATGATAAAAGTAGAGTCAAATCCTTAATTGATTGGTATATTTTCAATGTGGCTTAATATAGAAAGCGAGAGTTAGTATGCGGAAAATCCGAATGTTAAACCATGATTGACAAGATAATTGTAGCTAAAAGTTTTGCCTTAATCTGAGGCTGGCAGTCCAACGGATTCCCGAATACCAAGAGAGGTGATCTTGAAAGGCCAAGAATCGATCGAAATGGTCAAAGCTTACACAAAGCCTAAAGTAAGATTATCCTACAGGGCTGGAAACTGCAAAGCTGAGCAATATGGCCTGTCAATGATACACTATGTAATATATACCCCTCATTCACAATACCGCAAACAGAAACAAGTACAAGATAGTTTAATGAAATCAATTAGTCTTACCAACTCTACTAGCCAATATGAGTGTTTAAACATATACCAAGGGTTTCGCTTTAATACTTGTTATTGGGCACTACTTTCAGGTGGCTTTTGCTAAGACACGTGCGACCGTCCAGGCAATTTCAGCAGTTCCAAATCATAATGGCTCAGCATCATCAATCATGATACGATATCTCCAACCATCTTAGACTAATCGATTCGGTACATGCAAACGCATAAAATTCATGGCTCATCTAATATTTTACTATCGTTATGTGCAAGAGGGAGGAGTACATGTTACTATTTTTGTTTCATTGTTGTTAATCTATCAAGGTCCATACTTTCGGACTTTTGAAAATATCGAATGTTTGCGGACTTTCGGCAACTTTTCTTCTCCAAAAGTCCGAATCGATCTTTTGATAGTACGAAACAGTCAAATTCCCAAGCAGTGTGCTGGCATTGCATTGTGACAGAAAAATATGTGCCCGATCATTGGCTGTACTGCTGCCTAACTTTAAGCACCTAGGTAGGTAGGTATTTTCTTAGTTTCTGTATTTAGTTAGTCTCGCTTGTTAGCATGCTTACTAAAGTAATGTTAACTTGCTTTTCATCCTTGTTTCCTTCGCCATCATTTCTGTATTCTCGTATCCTCTATCTCTACTTTCATCGATATCTTTATTCCTACCTCACTCTCATCATCAATTTCCATCACCATCGTATAACACTGCCTTTCTATCAAATTCCTCGATTCCTCGATCCCTCCATCTCTATCGTACACCATCTCATATTATTGTCGTATACAAGAGTTGTCCTTTGCTGGATCTGCTGCTTGAAGCAACCCTGCTCGTGGTAGTCCTTGTGCAGCATCTGCTGCTTAGAACAACCCCGCAAGTGTTAGCCTTGAGCAGCAGCATCTACACCTACGTTTAGAACAACTCCAACACAACTTATATATTCTTTTGGGCAAGAGTCAAGGCTGCTCCATAGCCTGGGTGGGTGGGAATCACACGTAAAGTGTGGGCTTGCATTATTTTCATCCAATCTTTTTCTTAGTTATATTTATCAACGGCTAATTATAGTTTAGATATAGATTATGTCGAATCCAACGGATATTTTGATTGAAAAACTCAAACTACATTGTCTTTTTCGCGAAAGAGTGTTTGTCAAATGGGAAGATCAATCGGGTGCACCCTGTACGCTAGGTTCTCGTCTGAAGCGTAATGGACAGAATCTCGAATTTTTCCTGGCTGTATACTATGATGAGGAAGGACGCATTCATATTCACTTTTCTCTCAAGACATCAATTATACTTGGAGGCAATAAGGAGAAAATGGAGATCTTGTTGGTTGTTCCCCCAGACGCCAATTTTGCAGAGTCACCTAAGCGTCGTTTAATATCGAATATCGGTAATTTATCTCGTCTTGATGCTTCTGCTATTCACGATGCTGGACTTAGTGATTCAACACACATCATTTGTTTACAATTCGATTTAACAACAAACGGATTCGTCGTTGTAAAGGGAACGAATACTGCAACAATTAAGCCCCGAAATTACACTTCAAAAGAATTGATTTGTGGTCTTGAATCTCTATCTGATACGAAAACCTTCGCTGTATATATCAAGCCAAATGATTATGCGCTTGTGGGTCTGGAAGAAGTTCGCAAACGCTTGAACAACACCCCCGCCGACATACACAAAGCCAACACGAAAGAGATGTATTTTCGACAAGTGCCTGAATTAGTGGCATGGAGTAAACTTGACCCACTATCACTACTACCACCATATACCAAAAATCCTCAGCTATTCCCGGAAGTGCAGGCTCCCCAGTCAACACCAATCTTCGAACAGGAAACATCATCAGGCAAAATTGTTGAAGCAGCAATTACAGAAACACTACCTCATAACTCGACATTGATGCATGGCATTGTCTCTCATGACTGTGAAGAGTTGTTGGACATTCAAGTAAATTTGGATGATGTCGAAAACGATCCCAGATATATGGAAATGAACTTCGGTGTGGATTCGGACGAGGAACAGCTCGCCAAGGAACAGCTTGCTAGTTTAGACTCTCGGGGATTAGATCAGCAACTCGATCATAGGTCCACAATATCACAAGCTCTCAATTCGCGGCTGTTGAAATGGATACAAACCACAATACGAATAAACTCAAATGTTTATGAACACAAACATTTAATTACCAAGTTATCAATTCTGGGTAATTGCGTTCGTATATCAGACATTAGGTTATTTAATGTAACTTTATTCTGGTGCTCTGCATTGTTTTTCTACGATCCACTCGATTCCGACCCTAACAACAATCTCGGATTATGGAAGGAGACAAATACGTGGCTCATTTCAGACATAGCCAAGCTGATTCGATGGGCTAACGATAATGGGGCTCATCATGATGTCGAGATAGCCCCGGCATTGGTAAAGCATTTCATAAGGTTGGGTGATGCTGCTCGTGCTGTTGCTCTAGATGGTGGATGTAACAAAGAAGAGTATTATGATCAGAAAGGTGTCTGTATTACTTGTGTGTTGACAGAGTTTAGCAAGCTTGGTAATAGTGATAGCAAAGAGAACGACAAATCTGTTTGTCGGAAACGGAAAAGCTTAGGAGCTCTGCTTCTAAGCTAATCAAAATTTAATTATTCAATACCTGCCTGAAAAAATTGTGTATTATGCTTCGGTGATGTGAATAGCAAAGAAATGAGGTCCAAAAGTTAGACATGAGCGCGCTTGCCAAAATGGCAAGGGGCTGCGTTGGGGTTAAGGGGATAAGCTGTGGGACTGATATATTAGTTTACTAGGAGTAAGTGTGATCCTACTGGCGAGAATGTTTCCCTCGTAATAATTTAAGTGTGGGGGAGCAATGGGGGTTGGAACCGCGTACATGGTCTGCAACATATGAATTTAACGAACTATGAGTTGCTACCGCTCGGCAGCGGAAAAGAGAGGGCACTCTCTTTTATAGGAGTGTGAAGAATTTGAACGTGGTGATAATTGTTTTTTATGCACAGGCTTTAAACCCACATTTTTCTGAACCTCATGCCTCAGCCCAGAAGGCTCTCTTCTTCTGACGTGCCCTGTTGCAGCCCCGGCCCCACCTGGGCACGCCTGTCTTTCCCACCTTCACTTGCCACACTATTTTCAAGCCACAAAAAAAGGCAACGAGCCACACCTGCAGCCATCAACTTACTCACCCTGCTAAACGCAGTTCACTAAATGATAGGTGTATGTTAGTGATAATCGTGGTGGAGAAAAATGGATTTTATTTAATGGACATGGTTACCATTGGACCAGCCATACCCCGAAAGGCTCTGGCTACAAGCTAATTATCTAATATATATGCTTTTTTAAGCTAGCACCTTCCTCTGTGGAGCTCCTAAAGATAGAACACTATAAATAGATTCTTGTGTGTATCTAACGTCAGCTTAGGCCGAGTCCAGGTCGAAATAACCATCATAAAGCGACTTCTGTAACGCCTTCGTAAACTGGTGGTCTCTACGTCAGCGAAAAAACAGGCGGGAATTGACCATCATTTGAAAGAACTTTAACAACTAAGATCTTTTCATAATCTGAAATTAAAGAATGAAAATGCTCATCATTGATACAAAGAAAACTCAAATTTTCGATTGCTTTTTTCGAATCTTAATAATTTATTTGAAATGAATTTATAACCTATTAAAGAAGTCCTTTCAAAAGGTACTCAATTTCCGCCTATTTTTTCGCTTATGTAGAGGTGGTTTCCTTTCGGACTAACGAGTATTTTTCCAAGATCTCTTTAAACGAATCATAATCGGAAATATCACAACCTTGAGTTCTAGTTACAAGATGTTCCAGAGTATTTACACCTGTCTATCTATTGTCACGGAAAAATTGGACATTGATCTCCCACAGATCTCGCACCTTTACAGCATCTTATACCTAAGATATTATTATTAATGAAGAAAATGTAGAAATTAAAGAGCCATATCAATCGAAGGCCTTGGAAAACGAGTCGAGGTAAGTAGAATCACAGGCTAGATATCATATTCCCAAATAATAATCCAGCTTGATGATAAAAGATGATATAAGATTCTGTAGTATCTATAGATTTGGAGAATTGAAAAGATCTTTCGAAAAAGCTAGCTGATGCTGCTTGTATTCTTAAGGTCGCTTATTACCATGAGCGGAAGTTTGATGGCGCTGCAAGTGATGAAGAAGTTTGTATCTTTTTCCGCATTGTTTACATTCTTGAGGTCGCGTTTCATCGTGAATTATATCTTGATGCTGCATCAATTTAAAAGGAGTTTTGAAACTTTCTCCACATTGCTCGCATCTACAAGGTCGCTTGCTACCATCATGAATGGAAGTCCGATGTCGTCGCAATTGACGAATATGTCTGAAAGAATTTCCGCATTGGTCGCATTTAAAAGCTTGCTTCCCACTGTGAACGATACGTCGATGATCCTTCAGATAACGAGGAATTTTGAACATTTTTCCGCATTGGTCGCATTTAGAAGGTTGCCTGTGACTGTGAACGATGCGTCGATGCTCCTTCAGGTAACGAGGTATTTTGAACATTTTTCCGCATGGGTCGCATTTAGAAAGTTGCTTGTTACTATGAACGACATCTTGATGCTGCTTCCAATATCGAGTCTCTTTAAATCTGGCGTTGTAGTCTATCGAATAGCATACATACGGTTCGAGAACCTGCTTTGGCTTATAAGATGAGATGTCTTTTGTTGCGTTGAAATTAGATTGTTGACACGATGGGTCGTCGTAGATTGTACGACTCTGGGAAGATGTTCTTGTGGTCACCATGTGTTCAGATCCAATTGAAAATTCAGGAAGAATTTTTGTCGTCTCAATGAAGCGATTGTCGAAGGTTGAGAGTCCGTGATTGAGAATAAAGGGTTGCAGAGCATTCTCGAAAATGTATACAGAATCGTCCGTCATACACTTTTCAAGCATTCCCTTCAACTCTGAAGTAGCCTCATCCAATGTCGTCATTGTTTTGTTGGTCCACCATTGTACAAACCATGCATAATTTGTATTGGGGTATCTGTGTAGGAGTTGGCTTTGATATGTATTCATAAAGAGACTAAAACAGTTAGCAGAGCATCATCGTATATTTCGAAGTAAAAGTGTAACTGACAAATATCCCCCTAAAGAACGCTCTCTGACTATAAAAGTTCTCTTTCTACTCAAATCATTCTCTGGGACGCATCCAAGTAAACGAAATAATCGGCTCGGCAATTCTGGGATCTTAAGCTTCGTGTGCAAGCACTTTATGCCACCATATTCGGGTTTTGCCTTTTCCAATCCCTTGAAACATGCAACGAAGTACCATGACATATTTCATAGATGGATCTTTTCAATCTAGCAAAAGTCCGTTCAGAAATTTGACAGATACTTTGTGAAGAAGAAAATCTAAATCCGATGATTTGTGAGCTAAACTGTCCTTTAGCCTATAGAATTTTTGACGTCTTCGAATTCGGTTGAGAGATTAGGTAGGGAGAAGAAGTACAGCTGTCAATTTTTACAGACCTCATCAAGAATTACCCGAGACAGAAAGACAACAAAATAATCACCTACTGATGTCTACATCCTTTTATCGAACATAGATTGCCATATTGTAATACAATTTTCGTTTAGTATCCTGGGAAACCCAGGGGTTTTCACAGGGGTTTTTCTCAAACTAAATCATTTTCATTTATTATATACATCTTTTACAAAAAGGTTAGCTTGAGATTGTACGGAGTAGATCCTTTTATCGAACATAGATTGCCATATCGTAACACAATTCTCGTTTAGTATCCTGGGAAACCCAGGAGGTTTTCACAGGGATTTTTCTCAAACTAAACCATTTTCATTTGTTACATACATCTTTTACAAGAAAGGTTAGCTTGAGATTGTACGGAGTAGATCCTTTTATCGAATACAGGCTGGCATATGGTAACATACTTAGGGAATTGTTAACTTCAACTTCTTTACATAGCCATTTACTCAAATTCTCCCCCTTCCATTTCGTGTGCTTGTCTCCAGTGTAAAGAATTCCTCATATAATTCCAATATGCGATCGATTGCCTCTTTCGAGAAGACTAAGGGGTATGTGTGATATAAAAGAACATCTAATTTCTCCCATTGCAAAATTATTTGAAACCAAATGCGATACTTATCTTCTATGCCTTTCACACCAATAAGAGTTTCTTTCATATTCATTCCACATATCCGGACATGGTTATTGAACGGCCGGTCGAGGATTCCAACAACGAGATCGCAAACGATGAAGTCCCTAATAACGATGAACTAATAGAGGTTTCGAGTAGTGCTCTTCAAAAGAAAGTAATTGTTGGATTTTACTGTCATGAGGTGAATTCAAGTGCAGCTTTATTTGAAGTTTCCGATACCTAATGAGTGTTCCTTAGTGCAAGAAAATAAGCTACTTCCGAAAGGTCAATGGCTCTCGAGATTATGATTTGAAATGCCGGAATTGCAACCACAATTGTCGCGAAACGTCAAGCGGGAAGAACCTATGTTACGGCTGTTACTGGTATTTTGGTCACGGTGAAGTGAATGTTATTGAGAGCGATGGTGGCGACATGTGAAGATTGGGACGGGTGGGATGGAAGGGTGTGTTGCCACAAGCCTGCAAGGGGTGTTTAAACGGAACTGCATATAAGCAATATACTTGACGTTCTTCATGCATACCAAAGTGTGCCAGGCATAGTGAATGGCCAGGATGTAACAACCATTACGTAGCCATTGGTGAACTATTGTACCCCACACTACCATCCCGTCATGGATTCTTCGAAAAGAGGAGTACTTGTTGGTGCAACACAAGCGAAGAATGATGAAGAGTGGTTCTAGGTCCTTTTATGGCCATTCCGGCGGGTAAAAACATGCTCTGGTGACAAGGGATAACCAATAATCGAAATATCGTATTCATCATATTGCACATTTTATGGATCCTTGAATGGCCAACCCATACATGTTTAGATTTGAGCCCTCCTCTTCCCAGTTTGGCTCGGTAATTTTCCTCCAGGAAATCATGATTATCCGATACTATTGTTATACCACAAATTCTGCTTCGAGAGCTTGTCAGCTCTTAAGAGGTAGCCGGTTCGCAATCATCATCAAGTACATTCGTTTCCTACATGCTCTGTAACTTCTCTGGCTTCTCCACAATGTGGTCTCACTCACCAACACATCTTGCAATTTCTCCACCGATATCTATAATCACCCCTTCATCAATCCTACGTCAAAACGCTTGTTCTTCGACCCAGGAAGCTCAGAGCAAGCATTTGCCTGTGAGCAACGTTCGTTCACCATGCGATATAAGTTATCCTCAGCCAGCTTGCATCCGTCAATCAATGTCTCGAGCAAGATCTCTCCATGAACCTGCAAAACTTTCATTGTCCACAAACTTTACACCATCTCCTCCACCACGATACTCCCTCTTTCCATCTCCATCAACATCTCCGTCAACATCTCCGTCAACACCTCCGTCAACATCTCCGTCAACACCTTCATCAACACTACCAATGCTTATGCAACGTTCATCTTGCAGGCCTTGTGCGCACGAAGAGATCTCTGGCAATGCTTCCTTGAAAATTCACGAGGTTTTTCCCAGCCAGCGTGTTATCGTTATTGAAGTGGCATTCCAGCACTTCTGCATTCCAACAAACCTTGTTATGTTGCATCCTGTTGGACACTTTGTACTTCTTCGAAGTATACATACTATGGGACAGTGGAAGCAATATTTGGCATTGTGGAGACAGACACTTTGGTTGTCAGCTGGTGGCCTTCGTCGTCTTCAATTGGAATACGAGAATGGGTATTGGATCATTCAAAATACAGATGACATGTGTTCCTGTGCGAGAAAAGTGGCATTCACAGATCAGTCTATTGGGAGCACATGGGAAGGTAGAGCTTTGTTGGCATGGGAGAGGAATATTTTGTTCTTTTTCTGGGAGATGACTTGTGATATGATAAAAGGTCTTTTCACAATATTTATCCGTTTTGTATACTGGGTGATAGATGGTTGAATTTTAACTTCTTTCCTTGAGAGTAGAAACATACAACATAGCATTCCCACTGTTGAAATAGCACCCTTTTTTTGATTCTCTATCTGATATTGACACTAGAAGAAAAATACTAAGAAGATTTCTTGGTATGACACAAGGCCATTTGACTTGGAATAGTTTGAAGTTCGTATCCAATCTATACAAAAATGTGGATGAAATTCTGGAGCTCATAGGACAAAACTTTCTTGGAATAGAATCTTGATGGACACATTGAAGACAAGAAAACCGGGATTGTTGTTAGAAATAATGTTATTTTGTATTGGCAAGAAGTAATATAGTTCTTGAAAATAAATACATCATGCTCTCAAGAAAGTATTTGTAAAGACAGTAAACAAGTAAGTTTTCAAGATCCATTCTTCGACCACATCCCATGTAACAACTACACGCCTGCTAAAAAAACACGCCGTTCTGTCACAATCCTTCTTCCCATCATCGAACGCTGAACTCTCTCAACCCGCGGGCTTCTCGGAATCTGTGTGGTAGCAAAGGTCAGTATAAGGTTGAAGAGTTTGAATCACAAGCATACCAGTCTTTTGCTCGGTACCAGCAAGAGGGGCCACGGGACCAGTATATCGTATAACCCTATATCCAAGCTTTTTTTTCTATGAGGATTCAATTTAGCAATTGAATCAAGGAACAAACGAATAAGAGGAGCATACCTTTTCATGTATTTTTGGGTCAACCTCTGGAGTGGTACTGTTGTTTGGATCCATAGCGGCGTCGGCAGCTCAATACTTGCTCGAGTTGATAAAGTATTGGGAGGTAAAAGTGATATATTGATGAGAAGTTACTTTGGAAAACTTCAATATGGGATTTTTCTCAGCTATAAATACAGGAGAATATACGAAAGAAAATGATTGATCATGAGTTTCAACAACGGTGTAAATTGCTGGTGTGACCAGAATTCTAGCATTTATTTTCGTATTGCATATAGGGTGGTATCTCACAATTTGGTTGGAAACGAGTGAAGTCTATCATATTCTATCCCCTGGCCATAGTTCATGCAGTCCAGGGTCTCCAGCTATCTCATAATTTCTATTCTCCCATAAGCATTCATCAAAAATGTAATGACCTGAGTGATCGTTTCGAGAAGAAGATATTTAGATATTGCATGAATAGTGACTTGGAATGAAATACTATTACTCGCAGTCATTGTGGAGTGGATTCTGGTAGGAAACACGATAAGGCATCTTGAGCCCATCACGAATCCTACAATGTGACTTTGTTGCTTCAGATAGTATCAATCTATGCATGTCGCTAGGGTTAGGAGAGAACCAATGCAAAATCAATGCTACTATTGCTTTAAACTGTATAGGTGACGAAGGCTCAAGAGGTAAATAATTGGGTGAAAATAGTATGGCAATATTTCAAGGGGTGTTAAGCGAGGCGGAAATCTAACATTGCCGCTGATCCTGTACCTACTCCGTGAAATCTCAAGCTAACCTTTCTTGTAAAAGCGATATATGATAAATGAAAATGGCTTAGCTTAGAAAGGATCCCTGGAAGAACCCCTGGACTTTCTGGGGTCCTAAGATAAGACTATTCTGTGTCAGCAATGCGCTGTAACAATAAAACTTCTAACCTTTTTGATAAACTATGGGGAGAAGTGAACCAACATAAATTAGCCCAGACTCCTACGAACTTCCTTCATTATTTCAATATGTCGCTCGATATGTATACCGTTGGTGACTTTATGCAACATATGGATTATTTTGATAAAGCACAGGCTTTTGAAGGTTTATTACGAGTGAAGGAGGTATGTAATTCCCAGTCATTCTAATAGTAACAGAGATCTAACTTAGTTCGCAGTTTACAAGCCTTATTGTTGATGTCTACACATCCTTTTCTGCCGAATCGAAAAGCATAGCTCAAGAACTAGCTAAAGAACTCCTTCGCAAGCCCAACCAAACCAAAAAGAAGCAATCGAAGGGCCGTGCATTAACAACAATTATCAGAATTCAAGATATCACTTTGCCAGCTAGCATACAATCTCAGTATGAGATATGGAAGAGAGATCCCGTACAATTCTGGCGATCTATTCAGAATTCAGATTCTCAGCAATCAACTGAGGTTATTGCTATTGAAGCATATCTTACAATGCAGCATCTTCGTTCACGACAAGAACACGATGTTATTCTTTGGAGATTTTATGTTGCTTTCTTCTATCAACTTGCATTGCTGATAGGACATGGGCAAAAAATGATGACGAATAATTTACATAATATTCTTTATGAACGATTGAGCAAAGTATTCACACAATCTGAAAAGATTACTGACAAAGTGGCTACTATTCAAGCAAACTTACATTATTGGGTTGGCACTGGATTCATATATAATAAAATATGTTCAGCTCTTGATAAAGGCGCTTTATTTTTAATTCCGCAGGTACCAGACCAAATGTGAGATAATACTATACTTATTCTTGAGGATCATTCACTAATCATTTCTTCTAGATGGGAGGACTCAAAGTCGTTAAAAGGCACAGATTTTGATGAAGCTATGGCTCATCTCAAATCCTTAGGCATTATGGAACTATCCAAACAGCTTGGGGCAGATGTTTTGGCCAGTCAGATTCTAGATTCCGTGCTCGAGCCATTCCGATGGGAAGTTATTGACACCACAGCTATCGCTGCCAGTCTAAATATCAAGCCAAAGCCCTTTTCTGGTGGTCCATCCGCTAGGGGTCCCCCTGCTTGGGGCTCATCCGCTGGTGATCCGTCTATTGGGGGCTCGTCCGTTAAGGATTCATCTACTATGGGTTCATTCGTTATCCAATTTGCTGGGAGTTCATCCACTGGGGGTTCATCCGCCTCAAGACCTATTGGTGCCAGCCCATTCATCGAAGCAAGTCCTTCTGGTATCAAGCCCGTTTCAATATCCTCGATTTTAAACCCATCACAAGCGGCGCGGTCTTATAATAAGGCAGAAAGTTCAGATACACTAGTAAAGCTGGAAACTGAAAACAAGAAAGATGGCATAGATTCACCATTGAAGCTGTACAACACCGGTGGGAAACGGAAACGTGTTGATTCGGTAACAGCTTCTGATTCAGAAATGGGTTGGATATCAAAAATGAGCATCTCTGACCGTCGAATCCTCGAGACTTGCCCGATGAACAGGAATAAAATCGAAAGTTTTTTTGGAAAGCGCCTTGTCGATGGTATGATGGAAAGCCGGAAGAGGATTCGAGATCATAACTACCAATTGACCAATGCTATTCGGGTGATTGCTCCGTTCACGGACATCACTCAGGATTTCATATACCAAATATGGGTATGCTCATCCCTTGGAAAGAGTATTTCAGAGATCAATATGGGAGGAGGCGACTTGAGAGAGGTATTCCCTGACATAATTTTGAACGGTCTCGAAACGAGCCTTTGTAAACAAGAAGAGGCAAGACAGAAAGAACCCGGAGGTCCTCATTGTTTCAAGATATTTCCTATCAGCAATGATGATGACGATGATGATGATGATTATGGGATTGAAATAAGATTGGGTTTCATGGTTGGTAAATTCATTATGTGGAGTTTATATAGGTCCTCTTAATTTTTAACTATCAATTTAAATTTCCTGACATCTGCTACAAGTACCGACCATCCACTAGGAAGCTCATAATCTTCTTGAGATATATTGGTATTGAGATGTATAGAAATCACATTCCCTATTCCAATGCCTATATAGCTGCGGTCAAAATCGGAGGCAGCTTCCCATGATATCAATCTAGGCTGATCAATTTCCTCGAATGTGTGCCATGTAATGTTTTCGTAGTCCCCACCAATGGTTTGACTGCCCTAAAATCTCTATGTTAGAATTGGACTTTGAGGCAACGAACGGCAGCTGTACGTACATCAGGCATTGCGATAAGCTGGATTTCAACGAGTTGTTATTCTTAGGTGTGCGATAGTGTTTCTAGCTGTTGTAGAAGTCAGTAGTTACAATTAAAGTCTTGGTGATTATATGCACATACTCTTGAGGGGTGCTAAGCAAATAAATCGGATTTGAATGATGATGCGATTTTGAAGCCAAGACTTGGGGATATTCGATCTAAATACGCCACAGTTAGCAGATGCATAGTCTATTAAGAGCAGGAAATTTTCACTTGCATCGGGTGTTTTGGCAAAGAAGTTCCGGATTCAAAGAAAGGAAAAAGAGGAAAAGATGAGTCGAACAAGGACTAAATAATAAGAATAGAGGATGAGGCTCACAGAGGATATGACAGCGCGGACAAGGCTAGAAATTGTCAAATGACCAAAAGTGGTTACCGACTGCCGCACAGTCTTTGATGATTCGTTAATTAAGCATTGGGCTCGGAATCGGTCCCACTACCTACACAGCCTGATGCTTGGTGACCAGACCAGATATTCTAAATTGAATGAATGAAACGATAATGGCGTTGTCTGAAAATAATTGACCACGTATAAGAAAATTTGGTATGATTTGATTCGTTATATCTCACAGGTTTACGCCTTCTGGAGTGAGTTCGTCACCTTGTCTAATTGTACATGAGAGTGACTTGCTTATGGAATAAGTTTTTTGGAGGGACTCATTTCATGTACGATTAAAGTACTTAGTGAAGCACGATTCTAACTGATTGTAAATCATGAAATTAATGTAGAGAAAGGAGAGAAAATTTTCTTTCTTTCAAAATTAGCTTGGTAGAAAACGAAACGAAGTTGAATGGATCGATATTTAACATTCCATCCGCTCACGAAATAGTTGCATTGAAATCCTCAAATTTTATAGAGGCGAGGATCTATTGTTGAATCTTGTGCTTCATCAATTTCACCTTCGTTCCCATCTACGCTATCACCCGTTTTTTCAATCTTCTTGTTCATCTTCCTCAACCGTAATCGAGTCTTTCGGAGGGCAGTCAAAATATCATTGGCTTGATCCTCAATGTCGTCTCTCCCATCAGAATCCATTGCCATCAATTGCTCAATTAAGACTTCTTCGGAACCCCCGGTTCGTTTTTTCGAAGTACTTTTGGAGGCTATACGTGCATTCTTAGATGGAGCAAGAAAGAAGTAGTCCTTTTGTGCTAAGGGAAGATTCAGTGATGGTTTTCATACATTGTATAAACAGAAAACTTACGTCGTAAGGAGCAACGCTTGCCTAAATTGTTGACATGACAATTCGCACAAGAACCTTGCAAAAACCCCTCTAATGCTACACATTCTTTCCATGGCCCAGCCGGTCGACCTTTATTACCACAAGAATTGCATCTGGAAGTAAAAACCTCGCCCCTCTCTTGCACAAGATGTGCTTCCACACTAGTATTGTTTTGTGTTCCATCAGGCTTGAGTACCGCGCTTGTTCTGTTGGGCATGTAATTGAGATTGCGTTGTATCTCATGGCTCTCAATTTCCCGCATGCGCTCAGTGGACGTGATTGGGATTTGGAAAGGCGATTCGAATTGCTGTCGATGTACAGCCTCTGAAGATATCGAGCGAGTACGCTTAGAAGTTTGTGATGTGCTGGGAACTGAATCTTTCGCTTGCTTTCTCTTTTTTGTTTCTTTCGCTCCGAGATTCTCGATTTCCTCGTTTCTAACACATGCGGTTCCTCCATCGATCACCTTATTAAATTCACGGGCGTCGACACTATCAGATTGCTCAGGCGCCTGAGAGCTACTGCGTGCATTGTCGATTTGTGGAACAGTAGTAGAGGCGGTATTCTCCAAGTCCCCGAAGATACGAGGAGCATCTAGGACTTCGTATTGATGGATATTATGAGCTTCAGTTTCTTGCGCTTGATCATTGTCAGGCCTGGCCCTTTTGTCAGCTTCTTGATTCACAAGTAGCTTGGGCGATTCGGGTTGATGATGAGCGCTGGCAGTAGCAGCATCTGATGCTTCCATGATACCAGCATTTCGAATGGCTATATTCAGCGTCGCTTCGTTTTGTTTCTTGTTCATATCTTCTCCGATCGTTGATATCATCTCAGTTGATTGACTTGGTGAGGGTTCGCCCTTCATTGATTTGTCAGCTGCTGATGGTAAGGAAATCTACAGTGGCAAATCTTTCCCTTGGCAACAGCCGCCCATCCGGGCCGCGATGCCGCCCCTCAACCGTCTCCGCTTTTCTACGGCTTTGGACATATCTCTCTTGGTTGTATAATTACGGATAATTATAACTATTCGAAATACGGATACACACTGGATATATTCATTCATAATTCTGCCTCGAGATTTGATACTAATGTCCCTGCATGAGTATGATCAGTTCTTGGTATTCGATAGGTGGATGAATATTCTCGAACGTGGCTTAGTACTCAAATGAGTACGATTAGGTCTCTTTGTGCGCCTTATCACTCCAACCCCTTGGCTCTAATCTTTCTATGAAGCAGTACTTGTTTGAGTACGAGTAGTTCTTGGTATATGATTGATGGATAAATATTCCCGAGTGAGACTCAGTTCCTGCATGAGTACGAATTCTGTGGATTCTGCTACGAATAAGGTCTCCTTTAAGTACGATAAGGTGTTATTATTTGAAAGCAGCGTATCTTATCAAATTAATCAGCTTAGTACTTGTTTGAGCACGTTCAGGTCTCATCATCATGGTTGGCTATTGTGCTCCCGATCGAACTTCTTACTCGTACTAATTTAAGTACGAATCGGCCTTACCATTGATCTCCAGACAACCCCCCCTTTCAAACCAGCCAGCATCAGTACACGTGCATGAACGCTTCAAAACGGGCATAAATCAATATGCATGCTCTTATACTTTTCGATGTAATCAAAAGATTGAATTGAAGTAAACATATATAAACCCTCTTCTTTCCTTTCGACTTTGTAATTCCCAACCATCAAAACAACTCTTCATCACCAAAACAAACCCCTCGGAAATTATCAATCGTTTCCCTGCAATCGTTATGCTCAGGCTACGTCAAAATACTATGGACGCTGTATCTGCAGCTGTTGATGTAGAAGACAATGACCCGCAGATACAAGGTATGTTATCATATTACAAGATTGAGTTTATCTCGCTGAATGGAAATGAGCAGAGATCGAGGAAGGTCTAGGACATATATTGCAATACCACCTGAAAGCTACTCATATCAATTATGGATCTGTCAATTTGAACAGAATGGCTTTTCGTGTCTTTCAAGACTCGTTTCTACATTTTGAGCTTAAAACAGCGATTTTACAAATGGCAAGAGGTATACTATCTTGTATTTACTCAGTTAAATGACTCAACTTACAAATTTCAGAAAGAGACGAAGGATTGACAGGTCATGATAATGCCATCGACCTGCGTCAAGATGAGGAAATGATCAATTTGACAGGCGAGGAGGATGTAATCGATTTGACGGGCGACGAGGATGTGATCGATTTGACGGATGACGAGGTCGTCGATTCGACGGGTGATGATAATGCCATCGACCTGCGTCAAGATGAGGAAATGATCAACTTGACAGTCGACGAGGATGTGATCGATTTGACGGGCGACGAGGTCGTCGGTTTGACACAACATGAGGGTCTTACACATTTCCGTTCCGTCCGCTCAGCGTCATATGATCCTCCCCCTCCCTATTCCCCTTGATTCTTACAGAGGGTATGAAACAACGTATGGATGGAAGTTGTTCTCGGTGGTTGAGTGTTATGTATACGTCTGAGATGGTATCATGTTATGTTTTTTTCATACAGTTTGAATTATTTGGATGTTCATGTTTCGCGTTTTAATTTTCAGAATGTTATAAGTTGCATGTCCTTTTCTTCATACGGAACCAAAAATAAAAAGAGAAGATGTGAGGTATCTGATAGTTTTTATGTAAAGTATTTACAAAAAGAAAATGATGATTGCCTCCCTAGATGTAAAGGGAACCATAGCCCAGCATTTAGATCTAATATCCTGTTCTTAATGAGAGATCACCCTTTATGGGGACATTGTTTGTGTCCCCTGTGAAGAGTTTTCTCGTGCCCTTTGCGCTAACTTTGTTCTTCTCCTCCGTAGGTTTGGAGGCGGTGGATGTGGAAATACCGTAAAGTGATCTTTCCTATCTTGATGATTCCATAGTCTCCCAGGATGCCTAAATCCTTTGGTACACTTCCCGAAATCGCACTTGTGGATGCGATAGTGAATTTGTTTGTGCCTTTTCAGATGTCTATCTTGCTGGTATGATTTCTCACAGCCTTCAAAGCTGCATCGAAATGGTCTGTCATTAAAGTGATGCGATTTCGGTTCCGATTTTCGTTCAAAGACCTTCTCGCAACCACGTCCTAATGGTGCAATTTCTAGGGAAAGTGATGTGGTTTGTTGTTTAAGAGATGCTCCTTCCTCTTGCCTTGTATCAAAATTATGAATCGGAATTGATTGTTGATACTGTGGATTTGGAACGCGATTAATCTATTTTATCAAGGGTCAGTGATAGTCAAGTTGGGGCTTTCATGATTGCGCTAACACCTTGTCCATCTTGGGAATACCTGTTGTGACAATCCAATAGATGTTTCCAAGCCTGGTCAAATGAGCGAGCTGGGGGCAAGTGTATGCAAATAGAGCACTTCATGGACAATTCTTTAGTATGCTTCTCTCTATGAGCATGCAAAGACTCAGCACTGGAATGTAACGCGCCGCAATGTGGAAATGGACATCGATGTCCTCGAGGTGTTCCAATAACAGTCGGCAGATGATCTTCCAAGATCAATTCGGTATATACGTTTTTGGAATGGGAAGATTCGTGATTTTGCGTGCTACCATTGGTATCGTAGTCTCTCGACGTGTTTGGGTATTCTCCTTGTAGTCGATGTGGTTTGACAGATTTCATATGTTCGATCGAGAGTTCAGGGCGGCAAGAGATGACGGGTCTCAAATCAGATCGGCGTCGAGATATGCCGTTCTTTTCTTTTGGGTCTTCCTGACTTTGTATTAGGCACTCGTCTCAAGTTTTGGGGATGGAAAATTAGGGATATTTTGCTCAGTTTAGAAGAAACTATACTAACTTCGGAGCCAGATGATCTCTCACATCTCCCATATCTCATAACAATTCCTCGATTCAAGTCATGCTCACATACCATTGAGCAGCGCTCATGTGTGTGAGTGTTTCCTTTTTCCATAACAATTATCTCAAAGAATTGTGCAAGGCTCGTATGAGTTTGTTTGAGTGGAAGCTCATCAATTATATAATGGAAATCTGAATACCATTGAGCTTTTTCGGGAAGCAATTTTTTAAGATATACCCTTGCAACACCCCCCCTCCCCCAATCCATCTCATTTCCTTATCACTAGCCTCGCACTCCAGCCCTGTCATCCCTCCCTTTTATTCGCCCATACAAGTTGCTTCTATGCGTTCCTATGCATAAGTTCAAGGAGCTAGGATGAGACAGGAAAAAAATGATTTATCCATGACATAATTTGGTGGCGCGCAAATTGTGACATTCACACTCAAAATGAATTTCAAAACGCTGATAATAAGAACTTCCTTTGCATTTGCACTAGAGTATCAGGAAAACCAACGCGGGAAAAACCTATACTAAGGAACCCCCTCCATCCACACGATATGCCTACACTATACTTTGCTCTTTAGAAACTCCAGAAATCAGTCAGCCCAATTTTGATTAGTTGACTCTGCCTTCATAGCTTCGCAATAATCAGGGTTGTTGATGTGCCACGGGCACAATATAGTCTCCTTGAAAGAATTCTCAATAAACTCAATGGTGCGGCGTGGATCTGTATGAGGGTTCGCAGAAGGATGAATCTTGTTATCGTCGTGAGGATTCCTCCCCCCATGCATATCAGCATCTAAACTATGTTAGAAAAATCATTTTGGAAAACGGTATCCACTCACACATGGACCAAATAAGTCCATTTGTCATTTTTTGGATTGCGGCCTTGTTTGCTTGTGTTTGTGGATAGTCTTGAACATCTGTAAGAATTCTGACTGTGGCAATCATATCTTGGAGCCTTCGATGTAGTTTGAGGTGTTGTTCCTCAAGTACATGCTCTGGAAATATGAACAATGCTAGTTCTACATGGAACCGATCAAGAGACCCATAGAATCTTCTGACAGCCTCATAGACACTTTCTCTCTGCATGATACCCTCTGTAGTTAAATCCCACCATGATGCTGTGGCGGTGTTGATTTTCCGTACAACAACTTCGTGGATGCTCTGGTCTGATTGGGGGTTATATTCGTTCGCCTGCATATCGATTCTAGAATGATATCGATGTGAATTTCTCTGAAGCATAGACCCGAGGGGTGCGTCGAAGACTGAAAATAGGTATAACACAAATTTGAACGATCCGATGATGAGAATAGAAACGGAAGTGTGATAGCTATTGTACTTCATCGTGCTATTTTTATACTCCTTTCCTCTCAAAGCCACCGATTAATCCGGGAATAGATCGAATTATATTGGAAAAGTGTTAATAAGTAATTTCGTTTTCAAAAAACCTAGGGCTTAATGATCTATTGGTTATGGCTAGGTCAAAAAAGCTTTCCCCCCTGATTAAACCGTTTGGCGATGGGTGTCATATAAGGATGAAGACTTGGTTATCCCCGAGCCATTTAAATTTTCCAGAATATCTATTTCAGGATGTGGAAGACGCATGCTAGGCCTAGAACAGAACGGATTAAGAGATGAGAGCCTGAACACGTTGTATTCTGTCCAAAAACCTTGGTGGTTATACTTTCGCCTTAAATTGACAGTCATCGAGGATCCTATTCCTTGTTTAACTTTCCTTGTTGATGAAGCCCTGTTCTACTTATTTTCAGCTATAACTAACAGAGAATAGAAAAGTTGGATGAAGAAAAACAATCATCACCTCACAGCCACAAATAACTATAGAGTATGCCTCATGAACCTAATAAGGGGCTAGGGGGCCATGATTCCCTGCTACCGAGGGAATCAGACCTTGCCGACGAGGCATAATCACTTTTGATACATGAATAGAGATAAGAGAAAGGCGACCATCCTTGGAAATGCTAGCTTGGCGGCGGAGATACTCGGGAGTAACATGGTCGATCTCAAAACCTGGTACTAGGCTGAAAATTGAACTAGGATTATTCAAGACCTGTGAGAGTAGCTTCATAGATCGACTCCCTTATTTCTAGCTTCCTTTCAACCAAGAGCTCTGCTTTGATCACAACATCGTCTTGCTTCTGAAATTTCTACCATCCGCTTATCATATTCGTCAGTCAGAATGAACGACACCCAGGAGTTATTTCCAGAGACTACTTCTTTCCAGGAAACCCAACCGGAAAGAAGTTTGGAAGGCTTCTTACAACATGTTAATGGGTTGGGAAACCCCCCTCTTTTGACCACCAGCAGTATGGTCACATTACTATCGCTATCAGAGAAAGAGGAACATCTTACAAGAGCTCAGGTTGCATTGAACCGCTGGCTTGAGTACGACACAATGTACGAGGCACCATGCTGCAACAATCATGACGCAGAATTTGCCAGATTGCTCTTATCACAAAGATCTGGCCCCGACCCTGCCCCTCCCGAGAGACAATACGGCTTTGATCCATATTTCGAGGAAAATCACAAAGACTACTGCAATCGCCCGGAGATCAAGATGGGTATTCTGGATCAAACATCTTATACGAGTATGGAAAGTGAATGGGATTTTTCTATAAACTCGATTAGATCCTTAGAATGCTGTGTTGAAGCCTCGAAGGATTCTATCGTTCCAATCATGATTGCTTTAAAGGTAGTACAGAAATTAGTACACAAATCAAAGGAAGAGTGTGCAATCCAATCGAAGCGAACCTCACACGATTACAAATTGGCAGATGAAATGTTGCAATCAGCCACTCTTTCTACCCAGCGCCGGTCAGCCTTGCGAACTAATATAAGGCGACAACATAAAATCGAAAGCACGAGGATTTCAATGGACAATGCGAATAGTCAGATTAATAGAGCTTCTTCGATGCTCCAGAACATGCAAAACAGAACGAAATACTTGGGCGATACATTATCGACGATCAATAATACTAAGTCGAGGGAGCTAGGGAGATTAATGTTATTTGTCAAACGTGTGAAGTTGTATGTAGTATCAAAGGGGGAAAGACAAGAGAGAACGTGCTAACCATTGGCTATAGTGCAAAAGAACGCCTCGTTCTCAAAAAGAGACACCGAGAAGCTTACCTTCCTGCAGAGACCTGGTATAATATTCTAGAGAGAGTCATACCGAATGGATACAACACAAACGTCAATGGGAAACCAAAACGTTCTCTCGAGAGATGGATGATATCGAAAACATTGTTCCAAACGGCAGTTCTCGTCTACTATAAGAAGACCATGTTCTGGTGCACTCCTGACATATTCATGAAGTTTTCTGCTTTCCAAAACATCAGAAATATTACCATAAACCTGTGGTCATCTCAATGGAATACACATGCCATTGGTTCGAAGTGCGTCTGCCATTTGCCAAGAACGATAGCAGCAGTTGAAACATACGACTTGCAACAGCGATTGAAGGAGTGTACTTCATTATTGAGACTGCGATTCATAATCGGCCCTTGTGGAAGAATTGAAGGTTCTACTACAGTGAGATGTATCTCTTTATCTAACGCTGCTCTCCTCGATCTTCAAAGATGGGGTGGTCCATGCGGTTGTTGTATCTTCAGCAAAAAATCCAACAAATGCTCTTCGCATATTTCGGTCGTGGTTGACGGGGTTATTTAAATAAGAAAATGTATTTTATTCTTTCAGTCAGTTAGTAGAAGCAAGCATCTCATAGCATAGATCATATGATAGGAAATTGTGATATTGAATAGATTCATTTTTACTGAATTGGCCTCATTTTTTGTGACTCTCGGCAGTGAGGAAAAAATAAAATAAAACGGAAGTCGTTTAGGGGTTTTATAAGTCCGATTCGACCTTATAATAGTACGAAATAACCTAATCAGTCCCCAATTCCCCCGCATCTACAACCTTAAATCAATACTCCACTCGCTCATGTATGTAATCAACCCTGAATTCCGGCCCCTCGTGATAAAAGTAGCCCCATCTCAGCCTTGCGTTCGAATTCTCACTCTCTCCAAATCTTCCGTCGCACATCGTATAATCTGGCTTCCCCACAGTAAGAACCATATTGATAGGGAACAGGATGCATCCATCAATATTATTCTCTGTTACCTGTTTCGCTGGAAAGAAGTCAATTGGGATGATCAGAGAAGTCCGGATGAAAGTTTACCTTTAGATCCAAATCCCGCTCGAATTGGAATAACTTTTAAGTTGACCAAGCAAGCACGATTGAACTTAACACTCATGAAGGATGGATGCCCACGATATTTCCAATCGAGTCTTTCATCGCAAAGTACGTTCCATTCGTAGACGAGGTTTTCTGGCTCGAAATGTTGCAATCTTAATTGCCTGCGACGATATTGTACCTGAAGCCCGTAAGCGACAGTATACCAAGAGTATCTGCGGCCCGTCATCGCATCTTTGAGTTCATCGAAGACTTGTTGATCGGATAAAAGATTTATCCTTGACACCTCTCGAATTTCATTTTCAATATAGGAATACATTTTCACGATGGGATTTTGTCCATAGATTTGATTCATCTAATCCAATATATACTTCATAGAAACCAATCCCGTGTATCAATAACAAGTACTTGTAAACGGTTTACCGTTATCGCCCTTCCATCTTTCGATTACTCTTCTAGATAGATTCTAATGATTTTATGCCTTTCATGCCCAACCCGTGCCGGTCTTGAGGAATTGCTTGAATTTCTCGTACATTTCTTGTTCGTCCATAACAGGTGAACTATCGTTGCTTATGATATTTTCTTTGGCCCCATGTCCTCTGCTATGCGATATACTATGGAAAGTTAGTTGTGTGATGTCATCGGAAGCAATTAAACCTACACGTAGTCGTCCCATGTGCTATTCTTAGAATTATCATTCAATGGGCTTGAGTCTTTCCATCCATTGTGCCTTGAATTCTTCCATCCACGGTTCCCTGTCACTTGCGTTTGATGTGCCTCTTTATTGTAATCTTCTATAGCATCTTTGATTTGATCGCCAAACTTTGCGATCATATCAGATTTGGTAAACCACTTTTCATCGCCCTTATGAGAGATAAAAATATAGGTTGGTGGTGCACGGATGTAAGAAGTTGTAGTATCACGACGACGAACCTGAGCAACCCCACCAAAACCACAATCCCTTAAGGAATAATTTTCGAGTTCATATTTTGTCCCAACTGCCATCTTACCACCGCTATATTCCTTGCGTTTACCTTTGTAAACGCTTGATGCAACCAACTCAAATGCATTTCGTTCAGCTCCATGGTTCCGCCATTCAAGCAGTAGTTGTTCACCATTACCAACAGATCGAAATCCCACGATTTTCTTCTCAATGCCGTTATCGATGATGATTCCGGGGGGGGATTTCCATGCGGTTGGTGTTACAAATCGGGAGTTCAGATTGTTGTCGTTAACCCTGGGAGGGCTATCTTCACCCACCAATGACGTGAATCGCGGTGACGGTTCCTTCTTTCTTTTGTCTAGCTTGACTAAGAATTCTTTATAATCTCCTCGGACAATATCAGCTAGCTCTTTTTCGGCCTCTGCTTCATTCCATAAGCTCTGCAGATGTTTGAAATCAACATCCTTCAAATCTTTCAAATAGACTTCCTTAGCCTTTTCTATATCATTGCTCAACGTCGTGAGAGCCACAAGCTTATTGTCATCTATGATATCTTGTTTCGCGTCAAAACCGTTGTTATTACATTGGCTTTGAAATTCATCGGCAAGTGTCTCCAGCTTTCTTTTTGCTGCTATAGCAAGAAGATTGTCGTCTGCGTAAAGGTACCCCGACAAATGATCACCATTCTTAATTGTAGTATAATACTCGGCCCGAAGGTTTTCATATTTTTGCTCTATTGATATCTGTTGGTTATCTGTTGTTGGTCCAGCGGGCTTAGTTTGTGCATTTTCGAGGACCGGACTGATGTTACGATCACCTCCTATTATAGCGATTGCTAAAGATTCAGGAAATTGATGTCTTATTTCACCTTGAATTTTTTCGAGACTCCGGAGGTTTTCTTCCCCAGAATTTTTCAAGTACACTTCCTTAGCCTCTGTAAGCTGTTTCTCCAGACCTTCGGCAATTTGGAGGTGCTCTTCGGTGACGACTCCCTTACTCCCATCAAACCCATGCCTCTCACATATCTTTAAAAATTGATTCCCAACATCGATTATCTTTCTAGATAAGTTCTGCTTACTTTTCGGTGAAGCTTGACTCAGGTAAGATCTCAAATTCCCGTTCAACCCGCCAATTTGATCATAATACTGGCTTAAGGTTTCTTCTAAAATTTGATTATTGGTGGCGATGTGCTGATCTGAAGCTTGGTTGGTGGTGAGAGATTGACCTGGATTTTGATCGTTTGCCATCTCCACATCAGTTTGATCTGGGCTTGAATGACTTGAAGCTGTCAATGCAACACTAAGATTTTGACTTGGAACCAAAGTTCCACTAGTGGATGCAAGATTTTGATTTTGACTTGGGACCAAGGTCCCACTTGCGGATGCGAGATTTTGATTTTGACTTGGGATCAAGGTCCCACTTGCGGATGCGAGATTTTGATTTTGACTTGGGATCGATTCTTTGTTTTTGCAAAGATGTTTAATTTGAGGAGGTATCATCGCATCCACAAAATTCTCCGGGAAACGCGCTTCATTTACATCGTATTCGATGGAATGAATTAGTCTCTCGAGGCTGAGAACTTTCTGCTTATTCTCCGATTTTCCATTCAGTATCGAATTGAATGTACCGTTTCTCCATAAAGCTTTGTATCCCATTGTCAGCATATAGAGGCTTTTATGTATTGAATATGCAAATGTAAAGGGGTTTTGGAGTTGAGCTTGATGATTTTCTCTTGTGCCTTCGATCGTTGAACCATCGAATTCTGCAGCAATAGCATTGTCAATGGGCTGTATAAGCTCTTCATAACGGTCTCGAACAGGACTCTCCATCTGGCCCCGAAAATACTGTGTCAGTGGGCCATCCCATCCACCTAGCTGGGCCTGGAGAGCTTGAACTTGCGGTGGTGGCGCATCTCTCATACTGGTTGCTAATTCTGGTCCATCGTCATCGCTACTTTCCTGATCTGATTCAAGCGCAAAGTCTTCCACATCTTGATTACCTACCTCTTGAGCAAACTTGCTCGCGTTGTAGACTTTCTGTGCTGGAGATCCTCCTTTCGGAACGTTGATCATTCCCAAATTCTTATATTCTGCCCATGTCGTGTTGGCTTGTCCCTGAAAGAGAGAGGACTTGAACAATTGTTGCACTTCCCAGTTTTTTTTTTTCTAGCTTCCTTCCTATCCCTTGATTTATAGTTCTGTTGAAAAACTCGGGGTGCGCCATGAGATCGTTTCGATGAAGCATTAAAGCCGCGGCCAACGACCACATGGGAGCGATCGCATCTCTTTGTTTTGAATTCAATATAGTAGAAAGTAGTTGAAAGTGATTCTCACTAAGGTTTTCATCCCATAAAACTTCCTCTTCCGCGTCGTCCAAGACTTCTTCATCGGAATCATTGACTTCGCCTTTTTTTTCCCGATTTGACTGTGCGCATTTCAACTTCGCCTTTAGTTAATACTTCCAGCTGTGGTCCACGAAATGGGGTAGCTATAAGATGACCAAATTGCTCATTCCTTTTTGATTTAATGTTGTTCTTCGCAATTTCCTTGTTCATTCCAGCAATTTCCTTTGTGTATTTCTGTATTTCTTTTAGATATTCTTGATGTCGGTTGGTCAAAGTCACAGCGTCGATTTCCGTTCCAATGAATTTTGCGAAATTTACCCATGCGTTTTGCTGGATGTTGTTGTGCCGAATGAGCCTTCCTGTAAGTACCAGCCCAGTCGTTACGTAGTTCTCGGGCTGGTAGTTGAGAAATTGATTCAAAATCTGCAGCATTGAGAAGGTTCGGCCTTGCCAGCAAGACTTTCGACTGTTCAAGGGCTTGGGAGTTTGATTTCCGTCGAGTTTGAGTACTGCTCATAACATCGACAGGACCATCGATCTGACCTGCAGTATCGAATTTGCCGAGTGCTTGAAAACCGGAAGTAGTTAAGGCCATATTGATGATAAATCAGTAGTTGTTTGAGAGAGAAGATATGTAAGTTTCGAGTTATATATTTGTGCTTTATTTTTGAAAATGACAATACTGCTTAAATTCAAAGCCCTTATATAGAAAAAATCAACCCACACTCTCGTCAACCGTAAGACGTCTGCCAGATTAGCGGTTCCAGAAATCACGATTTCGAAAACCCGTTTATGGAAATCCGGTTAAAATTTGACTGATATTTGACTAATATTTGCCTTCCCCCTTCTCTGCTTTCTAAAAGATCATTTAAGTTTTTTACATCATAAAAATGCATTTCTATTTGTTCCTGACCACAATGCTTGCTATATTACCCGAGCTTCCCGGAGCGAAGTGCCTTTCTACTTCTATGTGCCCTTTTCAGACAGGCACAGCTACTCGAAATACCAGCACACACTCAGTGATTGTTGGCGCCGCAGGTCGGCTCGCTTTCAATCCATCAAGACTTAATGTTGCATTTGGCGATAAGGTTTTATTCGAGTTCTTAGCACTTAATCACACTCTGACGCAATCTTCGCTTCAAAACCCGTGTACATGGAATGCTAGTGGGGGAATCGACACAGGTTTTAAACAATTCAACCCCAGCAACACATCAGGCAAATTTGTAGTGGAATACACCGTAGAAAGTTCCATTCCACTGTGGTTTTTCTGCTCCCAAAAGCGTCCAATTTCCCACTGTCACGAAGGTATGGTTTTTGCACTAAACCCGGGTATGTCGTTCGGCACATTTTTGCAAGCTGCAACAGGAGCCATTGTCACGGCTTCAAACACCAGAGCATCCGCATACTCGATTGGCTCTGTTGCGAGCAATCCTTTGCTCTTGCCAAATTCGAAGACTTCATCCAGCTCCTATACACAGTCGTATGAAAGTCGAACTACGTCGTTGTTGAACGGACCTTCCAATTCTTATACCCGATCAGTTGGAAGCCAAACAACGCCCACATCGAAAGCCTCACCGTCGTCCGATATATCGATGCCAGCTTCGGCAACAAAAATATCGAATGGAGGATTTAGGAACGGAGGTTTTGGAATAATCGCGTTCTCTTTTGTCTTGGCACTTGCCAATTTGTAAACCAGGATCTTTTCATAATAATATGTTCGAGAGGGTATAGCTAGTGACAGATTCCATAGAAAAAGAGATTTCAAACCATTATCAAAGTTCAAATGCAGTTTATGTTGTATGCCAAAAATCATTGCGTGCTTTTCACGTCTTATAATAGTCATGCATTTTACTAATAGGCGAAGGCATGATCTTGAGGCTTGATGATGCTTAGGAAAGAAGAATCCAACAATGTCTACTTTCTCCTGTCAAGAAATCGAAAGCTTGGAATCAGACTAGAGAAAAAAGGGACTGGTAATCTGATAATGCAGACTGAAAAAAATTACGTCCAACGCACACCCGAATATTAAATTAAGCACTGTATAGACATTAAACCTACAAAGATACCAAGAATAATTACCAGTTACTAGCGTCCGGCCCGTTCACAACAATACTCGACCCCCCTTCCACATCACAATAAACTCGCGCAAAAGACTTTTCCAATCGAGCGGGATCGACTGGTTGATACATGTGTACAAGATCACATGAATCGGCAAGTTGAGTGTTCTTCAAACGTTGCGATTCGATCCGCCACAACTCCGTTGGGTCTGGGAAAGAAGTACCGGACCCAACTCTGCACAATCGTAGTGGACCCATCGTTGTCGCTAAAATATCAAACCACGAGGTGTCTAAGTCAAAATGAGACCCTTTCTCAAGAAACAAGACACAAGCCTCTGCTCTATCAATAGTGCTTAGAAGTACCGATGTACTCAAAGTCGATAGGATGTGTTGGAATGAAGGCACCTGATACCACACTACCCCTGTGTCGAAAGATTCGGTGATGTGTGAAGTCCACGACGGTGTTTGCTTTCTCATCTCTTTTCCTACTTGTCCCACAATTACTAGAAACTTCATTCGAGACGGGTCGAACGAATAATCCCAGTTGCAAATTGCGCTTGCAAGTTCAGCGATGGATGTACCAAAGAGAGTCGCCGTACAACTCTTTTCCTCCAACTCATCAACCCACTTCAGGTCATGAAACAACTGCTTCCATGGAATCATATATTTGGCAACCTCAAGGCGAGTTAATCGAATACCTGTTGACATGACGAGGGCGACAATATCCATCGGCCTAAGCATTGAAAATAGGGTCGTTCTGAAATCGTAATTTTGTAATAAATTCCGAGATAGTTGGCTGTCGTAATTAACATTCAACTTGCGAAAGTTGTCGGAGCTGCGGTTGTTGTTTTTAATAGGTAGCTGAAGGGTTGATACTATTGATGCGATAAATACGTCATCTGCCCAGAGGATGCTCCTCCCGTTTCCTCTCGCAGACGCCATCCAAGTGTTGATTCCGGGAGCTCGGTTCGTATACATCGTATAATCTTAAGTTTTCAAAATTCAAGGATGGTAAGGTATGTAAGTAAGTAAGCTCGTTTTGATCGCGAGAGACCTCGCCCATGCGGCAACTCATTTTGATATAAATTTGCTAATACTTTTACTTTGAACGGATAACCGTTGACCTAGTTCGATCTTTAGAAACCGGTCTTTGCGATGAATTGAGTAATTGCTGCATCATTCAACTTTAATATCTGTCATTTTATTGTGACCAATAGAAGTTGTGCATGTTGCCGCTCACATCAACCAACCATAGTCGACTCCACACCCATGAAGCGAATCATCGTGGCTAGAACTTTCCTTCTCACAGTCCCTGTGCCGCATTTCGTTTGCCGAGTGAAGCGGAGGTTGAAAATGAATTTTGGGAAAGACAACACTTGGACTTTCTCTACTCATCAAAAACACTGTCCAAAATTTATCCAACGTTACGGACCAAAATGAAAGGCCCCAGCTTTTTATTAGTAAGATTATAAAGTTATTCAGAGAAGGGCCACCACTGACTGTCATTGAGTAGTACGAGAATTTCCAACGACTACTGGACCACAAATATAACTCTAGTACTATTGCCATACTTGAGGACTTCATTTACTTGCTGTTCCATAATAAAGTCTTGTCAACATCCGTGCTACAGACTATAGGGGATAGAATCGAGCGGTTAGAAAATAGCAAGGAAACATTGCATTTGAGACCACCAAATGAATACTACATGGCTGAACTCCCACAGGAGTGGCTTCGGGCCGCGTTTGACACTTTCCAAGATGAATTCATATCTTTTCAACGTTTTACTAGCGGGTTTATAACAGATCCTATGAATCTTCAAAAATTGAAATATCCTGCGTGGCTCAATGACGAGATTCTAGAAGAATACTGCCGGTTAATATCCACAGCTTGTTCGAATGCGTATATAACCAATTCATTCGCACTGGAAAATCCAAGTATAGAATTGAAGAAGTTTATCAACAGAGACAACTACCTTATCTTACTCACGGGCATAGCTATCATTCCAATCAACCTCAACAATGTACATTGGACCTTCGCATGCGTATGGCTAACATCAAAAACCGAACTGTTGATTGAGTACTATGATAGTAACATTGATTCGAATCCATCCTGGGAGTCTTTACCCTCGATCCTCCAGACTTGGATTCAACGTACATTTCCACCTACAGTTGAGAGGAAAATGTGGGAAGGAAGATCTCCACAGCAGCGCAATAGCTCAGATTGTGGACTGTTTGTACTCATGGGGATACGAATGAGGGCAATGGGCTGGCGTGTGTTCAGCCAAGAAGAGGCAGATAAAATCATGCCAGAAGCTCGTCATAGAGTTTTCGCGGAAATTATTGCCGGTCATCTGAATCCATCCTTGGAGGATATGAAGATCTATGATTCAATCGTGAGCGGAGAGATCCAGTTTCCAGATTTACATGAAATGCATTCTGTAAATTATGCTATCGAGCGGGACAGCGCAGGAAATGAATTCATAAACTTGGATTCTCCAGAGACCGAATTATTCACATTTGATGGTAAAAATGATGAGGTAGAAGATACGCATTACCAATTTACACTCAGATCAATGGAATCTGCCGCAGGAAGAGATCTTACAGAGAATGCCGATAAATCTGCATTCGATCCAATGGAAATAAATGGTGCGGGGGGCTTAATCGGGAATTTGCACGAGTTCAAGCTCGACTCGATCGAAACCAACGACGAAGACAATCCGTTGGGAGACACGATAGGACATGTTATAGAGAACCCCCACTCGACTAACTGCCTCAGTTTGGCAAGAGTCACCGATCAAAAGAATTCTGATTTGATCATAGAATCGCAAAATCAAGAACTCGACATGGAACTAAATTCCAATGCTCGAGCCGAGGGTAAACTTAGCATCAAGCTCGGAAATGAATTCTATAGCAATTCAAAACTTGAAACCCGAGAAATCGCTTCAGAGGAGCTTTTTTTGGCCGAATCCGAAGAGCGAAAATCACAAGATTCTATTAAAGACGTGGGCGGGAAGATAGTGGCGGCCCAAGAGGTGATACCTGAGAATGTGGCTCAAAGCAATTTACTGTCTTCTACAGATGCAGGGTTTAAGAAAAACTCCTCGAGAAATCGCTCTCGAGATGACGGAAATCATGGTGATGTTGGTACGAGGATAAAACGACAAAGAAATGAAGGTTCCGACTTAAACAGAGCACTTTTAGCTGCCGATAAATTTGCTTCACCAACTGCCCTAATTGAAAATCTCAGAACTGCTATTATTGCATATAGAGGTCGAAGTCGTCAAAAGCAACGTCAAAAAACATCTCTTGCATCATTATGGAGTAACATCCGTCCCGAGGAGCACAACCCACAGACAATCTTTCAACGAAATACGAGGTTGAACTTTGCACGCCGATGGTTTGAGGTCAAGGCACGACTTCCGAAGAATCCACGTGAACAGATATCTCAAATGAAAAAGATGTTGAATCTGAAGGGCAACTACGAGGAACAGAATAAAGAATTCAAGGCAGCAAACACCTACGCTAATAGATGCTTGTTCTGGGTGGAACTCATTGGGAAACTCTCATTCTTGTCTGATGGATGCCATGAGGTCATTGTGTGTGCTTGTGGCGAATCTACCACAGAGCTAGAAAGGATGAAAAAAGATCATCGTGAGAAATATTTCGAAAGAGTTCTCTTTCGAATTCGACAGGAACCGAATGACATCATGGAAAAAATTCGAGCATCAGCTCCTTTGTACAGAGCACTGATTGAGAATAATCTGCCTGATCACCAACTTGCATTAGAGGGTAACCGTCAATTCGATAGTATGTCGTTTGCAGAATTAGTCAGTCTAGACCCAGCTCCGAGGAAAATGGCGATTTTCCAACACGATACCATCTCTAGGTAGAAAGTAAATACATGAATGAGAAAAAATTATCTTAGTGCTCTCTTTGTATTCTCAGTTCTTGATACCACTGCCTAAGGCTTACATTATAATGAAATGGATTTATGGACTTGAGTTCAATGTGACAATCATGTGATATACGAGCAGTGGTCGCAACGGGTGGGTTTCGCGTCGATTTTCCAATCCATTATGATCCACTCAAAAACCCTGTTCATACGGGTACCCATAAATAAATGGTATTCATGATTTAGATGTATTTTCTAGCTTGTACAAGGGCCAGATACTTTATTTATAACGGTAATCTTTACTATAATAGGATATAACAAAGCTTACTAAGAAATTCTTGTGCTATACATACTTTAACCGCTCAATCCGCGAAAATGAGGCTTCACTACTCATTGGCGGGGATAGCTTTTTCCATCCTCATCGCCACCACCCATGCCCGCGGGGTACGTACCCCATAAATCACGACTACTAGCAAATAGATTAATATTTTAGAGTGGTGGAACAACAACCTCGATACTTTCACCCTCATTTTGAATGCAATTGATCTTACTCATAAATTATTTGAAAAGAGATTCGTAACGTTGATTTGTCGGTAGGCTTTCATATCAATTAATCATTCCTTATAATCAATGCTGTCGGTTCATTGGTGTTTAAATCTAGTATTCAGAGTCCGGTTCGTGCATATCCAAGACCGAATTATGATGTCACGCAAATAACAACGAACTTGTGTAAATTTAGAGGTACCCAATCAAAGATTAAAGTCCAGTACCGCCGGATCTCAATCTACCAAATCTATTGGTAGGAGACAAAGCTACCTATCTAAAATCAGGCAAAAATATCAACTAGTCGAAAAGCATAAATAAACACTAAACAAACTTCCGCACAAATTCAAACGCAAAAACCCCAGAAAAGAAAATTGTCTCTTTGTATGTAGTAAATGACCAATTCCACCAGTCCAGAATGACTTCTTGTCTCCTACCATGGAAAAAAAACAACGACACCTGCTATAGTCTAGACCTTTTTGATTGAGAGGTGCACCAAGTCATTACATCGCTAATTGTTGACAGCTTTCGCTTATTTCTTCTATTCTCCGCATGATTACAGTCGGTCGCTGAGGCAGAACGATCATTGTGCTCGTTAGCCTGGAGCATTGACGTAATACTCACCCGATCTAACTTGGTCTCCGGGGCTTTTGAAAGATCATTGCAATCGCTGGTAGTTGCTAGAGCGAGGTCGTCCATGCCCAAGTTGTGTTGAATTGTTGGTGTATCATTTCCTTGATGAACTTCCTCAATAAACTCAACATCCGGCAATTTGCTCTTCGGAGTTTTTGGGAGAGTTTGATCATCATGGATGGAAGTTGACCTAGCACCCACGGTGAGTTCAGGGTTTGTCGAATCATCTCTCGGCATGACATGCTCGATTATCTCTCCAGAGTTGACATCTGTTGCGGCGGAGTTTCGATTATTAGAATCGTTCTTCGAAGTTTGGAAAGTATGGTTGACAAGGTCAATTCTCTGAGCGTGGAGTGTATGGATATTCTCCACACTAGAGTTACCCGTGACCTCTCTTGTCATATCTCCAGGATCTCCATTTAACCATAAGGGGCTGATTTGGCCATGTTTTGACGTACTTCTTCGATGCCTATTGTCTACACTTGTTCCCAACTGGACTAATGTTGGTTGATGTACCTCATGTATTGTGGGTCCAGATCCACCTTCACACACGCATTTTCCATCATCCACTTCGAGAGGGAGTTTCAACCTGAAGTTGAGCACTTCTCGAATGTCCCTGCCAGTACAAGCGCAACTTCTGCCTTTGATATCCAAAGGAATTGTAAGCATGATTTGGTCTCTCTCAGGGTGTTCCGTAGACAATAACTGCTGGAATTGTTAATTTTAAATGGTAGCGTTTTGGTAATCGCATTCTTACCTGAGATTCCGCTACCTTCATTTGACAGAGATTTAAGGCTCGCTCGAGAGCGCAAATTTTCTGCTAAACTTTTTGTCAGTTGAAGGGAACTGTCAATTTATAACATCATATTCTTACCTGAGAGCCGGTGAGTTGCATCTGACTGACATGTAAAGCCTCTTCTGCGATATTGGTCCTCTTTTGGAGATCTTTGTTGCTTTCATAAAGCTCTGATGAATAGATATTAAGGCTGGAAGCGTGACCTTCTGCAGCGATAAAAGCTGCTTGCATATCCTGAAGCTTTGAACGAGTATGGTTGTGTTCATGAACTTCCTTCTGGAGACAGGAACTCAAAGTCTTTTTGTGGTAGTTTGACAATTCGTAGTCGCCCTTTCGAAGGTCACCTCCAACTTCTATGAGACCATAGGGACCGACTGCAGCAGCCATATTATGATGATACGAGCTATCCAAGGCCTCTGTAACAACTGCGTTACGAGGATTATGGACAACCATATCATGAGAGCTGTGCGGGACCGCCGCGACAACCCGCGTGTTAACATGGCTTGTGTTTCTTGGCATGGCAATTATTTTGCAAATGGAAGTATTGCGCCTGATGGGTGTAGTGATGGAAGAATGGAAAACAGAATGAAAGGTAAGCTTTCTGTCCAAACGAATGTGAGAGGGTAACATATATAGATATCAATAATCATCTAACAACAGAAAGTTCTGCTTATGGCTCGTTTAGATTCTCATAAAGCATGGGCTGTCGCATTCATCGGTACCGGCAATGTGGAATCACACACAGCTAGCGGCTATGTCACGAAAAAACCTATTAAAATAATCTTGAATTGATATACTATGAAATCGCACCAATAAGAACACAAAACGAGAAGTTGCTCATATGGAATACCCTGACTATGAGCCCTGATGTTCCATCGTACATGCAGGAGTTCTTGGGGGGGTTTGCTCTGTCACTATTGTAATGCTTGCAATGCTGCTAGTTCCAGAATTCACCGAAGATGGTGAACTTGTATTGGAAATGGAAGAGTCGATATTACTGGTGGGGACTGAGGTAGATAATGATGTTGAGGATGAGGAAGTCACACCATCCGGGGATTCAGTATCGACAGTGGCGGTTGAACTAGACCTTGCTGTTACCGAGGATGTTGACAAGGTGCTAATGACAGAAGCAGTAGCACTGGCACCTGGCCATGTTGTGGATCCTGGTTTCGAGATATGACCTGATCCCAATGGGGTGATTCCCGAGCTCTGGAGAGATAGTGAGCCAGAAAAAGAGAATGATGAAGTCGTATCCACTTCTGTTGCAAACTCGGTAGTAATCACCGAGCTGATTATGGTCTTTGATTGTTGAGTGATAGTCGAAAGCGACGTAGATGTTGCTGTCGGCATTAAACAAGCTACTTTACCCTTTTGTTGGACATTTAGCGCATGAAAGTCGGCGCTACCACCTTCAAGTGATGCTTTGATACATCCAGTCGCTTGCTGCCCTGCACATTGCCTAAGATCGGACGATTAGAAAATGGATGATTGACGGGAGAGAATTGGTTCAAACCATAAAAATGTAGCGGGTCCGTTAGGTACCTCAAGGGGTATAGATATTTCAGCTTCTTGGAATGCAGAGCATGCTATTGGCTCAAATGTAAATGTGACAGGCAGAAAGTCGTCGTCAGAGAATAACAAAGTGAGTTCGCAGGGACCGCTAATTGTATTCTCGACCCTGGGAGCTATTAGCATTGTTCTGTGATAGACAAGGAATATTTGATCTACCCTGTGATTAGCTTATCACCAGCCTTGATGGTAACAAGGGGCGACAAAATACACGTGGAGGGGGCTCCAAGTGTATGCGCAAGACCTGCTAAGAATACTAAGGCTGTTGTTCTTTTCATATTGAAATTTATGTTAATTGATTGTTTTAGAACGTGTCGATTTCGTGGAATTTTGATATTTATTGTACAGAATCATGACACGAACGCGTTATATATGGCAAAAGACTAGGAGACAGAACTTCAGAGAGACAGCAACGTCTTTTCGTAGCCCGTCTGTTCGTTTCCCGTCTTCCCGCTTTCAGTTTACGAGTACCATCTATACGCTAATCGACAAGGAATTTTGTTTCCTTTTCCTCCTGGTCATAACCCATGCACGAGTGAGCCGCCCCCTGGCCACTGTGAGCCTCTTATCTGCCGCGGTCGGCTTTGACCGACCAAGCAGTGGGCGCTAAAGTGGAGTAAATCAATGTCAGCCGGTCCTTCAAATGCCACAACCCTAATGATATAAAGCACCTCGACTTAACTCAGTAGAACAGAACAAATAACATTAATCAATTACATCTATTTGGATATCTGAGAAGACAAAAACAACACCCACTTACAGAAATGACATCGAACGATGCAGCAACATGGAACGCAGGCGACCTACCATCTGATGGAACCAACTTGGTAGACTGGTCTTTTGATATAAATGAGATGTCCGACTGGTCTTTCGGAGATCTGCCATCAATGGCACCCACTGCACGGACATCGTCCGGCAACGAGATAGAATTGCACAGTGGACCCACCGAAGGAACTGCGATCACCCACAAAATATGTTGCCAGTGCGCAAACGTTAAGTCGTATGTACCTTGTTGATATTTTTAATCCTCATTACGGCTAATTTAACGACAAAACAGGTTTGAGACAATGATGGACGAGATTCGCAAAGTTGTTGCACAGGCGAGAGAAGACCAGATGGACGCTGTCGAAAAAAGAATTACATCCTTGGAAGCTAGAGCCGTTCTCGTGGAAGGGATTGTTCAAGATGTCAAAGAGGGTGCTGGGAAGTTTAAGGGCAGATTGGATCGTTATACCGATGAGGTAGATGATTTGCATGAGCGGATTGATAAAGTCAATAAGTGGCTTGGTGACGCTCACGAAAAGGTGGAATTTCTGATGGATATGGAAGATAAGAAAGGATAAGCTATATTTCCTGAGTTTGGTACTCGTGCGGCCAGAAAGTATGACACACTCCACTCACATGCACGTCCCAGAAGGTGGTAAAATACAAGATGATTGGTGGCCCATATTTAGGTTGGGTGTTGTATACTTTCTGGAAGCATTAGTACATTTGCGCGTTTTATTTTATCTGAAATTAAAGCATATTTTGAGATCAAAATTGTTCACTCTAATTATACACTACATTCCCAACAGTATGGTTCATATCCATGTTTTTGACCCATAAAATCTACAACTAGAGCATTCTATCACACGGGGAGTCCGGGGTATTTGATCTGTCCGTAGATGACAAGGGACTAAAGTCAACACGCATCTTGATTGGTAGCTAAACAAACTATTATGGAGAACGGTCAAAAATTTCTATCCCGAGATCGTGGTTCATCCTGGTACAAGTATGAGGATGCACTAGACAGGGGTAACTACTAGCTTATCGCAAGTGCTGACTGATTTGAAATACATTCTCGAGCAGCAACCCTCTCAGCATTGTGTACCAACGGTATCAAACATTCATACTGCATCTCTTTGTGTTTCAAAAAAGGATGCTTAGACTGTTAGCTACATATTGTAGAGAATGACAAAGTGGAAGGGGAGACTGACTTTCAATAGGTTGTGTATATCTCCTTCATAAGAGAAACACATCTCATAAAAGTCTAGAAATTCTGGAGATGGTTCGAAACTAGCGTCTAAGCCTTTCCCAGTCGCATTCCCCGACAGCATCTTTTGACGAAGAGTGTGAGCGTCCGGCTGATCCGAGCTCTGAGTGATTATGTGGGTCGCCAAGTTACCTAGCGCGTGCAAGTCTGTGCGGTAGTTGTTAGGGGTGTTCATTTTGGGGATTACGCGGGAACCGAAGTTTGCGAGTTGTACTTTCCCGTTTCGTTTAAGAAAGACGGTAGAAGCATCGAGATTATCGTAAATCAGTTCGATTCCTGATTCGCGGGTCCTCTTGTGGAAATAACAAAGTGCGGAAACAACCTGTATCAGCACAGCTGATAAATGATGTTCATTGAGATGGATTGTACAATGAATGATGTCTTCCAATGACATGTCTGACAGCTCTGAACCAACATACATCCTTTCCTCATACCGGAAGACGCATAAAGTCTTCAGAAAGAACTCACCTTTAGCCTCACGAGCTAGATCTACCAAGCGTAGCCTTTCTGGGGTATAGTTTCGAATCGTGCATGATTTTAAGACGTATTCGGAATGCGGACCCCTTTTCGCCTCTTTCGGGTAAGCAATGAAAGTTGAATTTGTGTATCCTAACATGAGAGTTTGTTGGTGATTGAAATCTTCCCATTTCATGTTTTGATAATTGCTTTCGGTAGTTGAGTTCTTGACTAGGGTCTGCGTCTGCACATGATCATAATCGTTTGTAATTTTATTTTGATCAAGGGTGGTAGAGTGGGCCTTGACTGTGGGGTGAGTCTGCCCAACTAATCTCTTGGTCCAAGTGTTCATATTCTTCGTGGTATGAATGAAACATCAAATATACATTTCGAAGATCTCATTCGAAATAAATCTGTATATATATGAGAATTTATCAAACTGTGAATTGAAGGTTGGACCAGACTGGAAAGATTGAATTTGAAGTACGGTTATTGTGTACCTAGCTATGACTTTGAAGATTCGGATTACCGGAAACAGTTTTTGACTTGAACAGATAAATGTCCGTACACACATATATATATATCACAATTGAACAGAACATTAGAAATAAAAGGATCGATTTCAGTAGTTCTCACATTTAACAAACAGATAGGTACCCAACATAAATAAAGATGACATTATCAGAGACAACATGGTTGACATTTGGAGCTGGCTCCGAAGGTCTACTGCTACAAGAGCATCACCGTCCTTACACCATTCTCGGTGATTTGTCTCTTGATCGACAAAGACCACAAATGATAACCTTCATTGGAGAGCAAACAAAATCACGAGTGCTGACAAAAACTCGATTTGGATTCCGGGAACAAAAAGGGATTAGCGGTGAGGTGCAACTTCGAGTAGACTACGAAACAATTGGGGACCCAGAACCGGTTTTCTATGCAGACTGCGAGTTGCACAATCCGTCACACCCAATGACCGTAATCACTGAGAATTACGGTGATATCACACCAAGGGCACTTCCATTCCCACGGGACTTTGATTCTAAATTCCTCGCCTATCAAATTTATTCAAAGCTCCTTTCACCGTTCAGTACCGTGGTTTGTCTCTTTGCAGACGATCTTGGAGGCCTAACTGGAATTTTGGATATCTTGGCGACTTGGTTAACAAGCTTGCCAGAGGCTCCAACTGACCTTCCAGCCTCGACGTATCCGAAGGTGTTGATCTTCAAAAGTACTGGAGAAGTGCCGAGTGCCCTTGAGTGGGAGAATGGAGCTACCAGGAGATTCCTATTAGACTTGAGTAAAGAGGTCGCAGGAAGACAAGGAGAGACTCCGAGAAAAAAGGACTTGAATGTATTGCTGGCAAAACATTTTAGCGGACTGCATGTTTTAAGTCTTCCAGTATTGACCTCTTCGCAAAGAAATTGGACCCCTGTGAGGGATCGTCTCCTCCAAGAGTCTGACGATATACAAAAGCTCCGCATCAATCACCAATTCGCATTTTCGATCCGCCATTTCAAAGCTTTTTTCCACTTTGCAATTCGTCACTTTTGCTCAAACGAAGACTCGAATTTCAGTTTTATAGAGGCATCTAGGTTTTCAAATCCCGTATCAGAAAGTTTTCTTGCCCATCTAACTCTATTCCTAAAAAATGTTGACAGGAAACAGTTATTAAATTTCGGGGTCCCGATTATTGCTTCTGCTCTAGTCTTTGATAGTTATCCTCCTGGAATGCATGGTAATGTTATTAAAACTCTCTCATGAGAATCCTTTATTGACAGCTACCAGCATTTCACCCTTTACTGGTTTTTCGGAAGTTCTTTTACCAGACTTGTCTCAAAATTGACCCTTTCAAATACCCTCAATTGACCAGAGGTATTGAAACGGCATTTTGCCAGTATGCCGTCAATGTAGTCAGCTCAAGTGATGAAGGCTCGGTTCATAAAAACACACTCTCTCGATTCAACAATGAATGGAAAGACATTTACAGTAACACTACCTGCTTCTGCTGTATGGCTCGAAGACCGGAAAACACTATGTCTTGTCGCCACGCAATATGCGACGAGTGTACAATATCTGTAGGCAAGGAACTCGAATTGCATGCTTGGACTTTTCTGATTCCGCACTGCATCTTCTGTGGAAAGGCCAACGACAGAAAATTTCGTCTTAAGCCAAAGACAGCTGGTGTAAGGTCAATTATTGCAGAAGGTGGCGGAATAAAAGGAATCATCCCTTTATCGTTTCTTAAAGAACTAGAAACCGCCATCGGACTCCCTACTAGTATTCATGAGCACTTTGACTTGGCTTTTGGGAGCAGTTCAGGTTCATCATCATCTACCTTCAACTTTAATATGCATGCTGACCGCTTACAGGTGCTTTGGTTATATTGGGATTATTCTTCAACAAATGGACTGTAGACAAGTGCTTGACACATTTCCAAGAGTTTTCTCAACTCGTATTCCAGAAGAGAGTTAATTTTGGTAGAAGCCTTCCAGGATTGAAATATTTGAATCGAGTTGTCGAAGGGATTCTATCACTTGCTGCAGATAGCCGCTACAGCTCCGCAGGAATTAACAAAGCTTTGCAAGAATCATTTGGGATGGAGTCCTCCTTGTTCGAGGCTGATTCCGGAGTCAAGATAGGGGTCATTGCTACAACCACAGATGATTGTTCCACGTGTATTTTTGCAAATTACAATGGACATGAACCTAGGTCTGAGAATTGCGGTTTGTACAACGTGCGAACGCTTTCGCATCATAGCTGACATATCTAACTCAGGATATCGTGTAATTCGACCTGAAGATAAGACGAAGGAACTATTTGCATGGCAAGCGTAGGTCATGGAAAGATTTATGGTATACATTTACTGACTTTTAAAGAGCACGAGCTAGCTCTGCGGCGCCACCGTAAGGTTTACAATCTGATGTATGTATACATGAAACTGACCATTGTAGTTATTTTAGATCTTTTGGTGGCTACCAAGATGGTGGTCTTGGCGGCCATAACAATCCGATAAATTTAGCCATTTGGGAACAAGATGTGATTTGGAACCGATCTAAGAAGCAGCCTGACATTCTGGTCTCACTCGGCACAGGCTTCATACAGATTACCAAAGAAGAAGCCGAGAAAAACTCTCGACGAATCTCTTTTTTCAATTCTCGCTGCGTCCCTCGACTATTTGCTTCGTTCTTGAACCTCTTCGTGGGAGAGAGTAGATGGCGAGAGTTGTGCAACACTCTGTCACCACAGGTACGGGATAGATACCATCGTCTCAATGTCGAATTTTCGGAGTCTGAGCCAGCACTCGATGATACACAGGTTATACCAGGTCTCCGTCAACATGTGCAGTGGCATGTTTCAGCCAACAACGAAATTAAACAATGTGCCGATAACCTTCTAGCATCTTTGTTTTATATTGAGCTTGATGTACTACCTGTATTTGACCGTGCTCTTTTCGTTTGTCAAGGACGCATACTTTGTCGGTTGAGTCCATCTAGCAATGGACTTCAAGTGCTTGCAGCTCGCTTAAAGGAGAGAAGAGCTAGGTTCCACCTCGACTTTCATCGTTCAGTCCTTGCAATCGATTCGGACATGGTTATAGACATTGACGCCGGAAAGCCATTTTCAAAATCTATAATCTTTAGAGCGAGGTCATTAGCGGATTTGCTTGACATTAAAATCGACGGTATAGTGTCAAGACAACGAAGCATTAGTAATTGTCCGTACGTAATTGAAACATTGATCAAAGATCAGGGATTGGATTGCGAATTTGGACGCAGAGGTATCAAGAGGAATAATGACTTCCGGAATGAACAGTTCCCAAAAAGAATAAGGCGTCTGGAGTAGACCAGTCTAATGTTAAATGGTTAATTATTTGTTCGGACTTTAGCATAATCGAAAAGACTTCTTAAACTTTGCCTTCCTTGAGACTCAATAAATCATGTGATCCATCGTCAAAAAACGATACCAAAATCGTCGTGACTGCGTTTTTTCAGATCATTAAATTTTGAAACTAATTAATAATTTTATGCAGTGTAAGAGCTTCGGCGTTATAGTAGAGTCTTTAAGTGATGCGGTAGCGGCAGTGATAGTTGAGAATGTAGCTATAGATCAAGTATCACGACAGCATGACAGATGCAGAGAGGGAAGTTGTAAGATCTTCACTCAATTTGATATATACAGGAACTTGTGACTTATAATCCAGATTGCCCTGTGAATTACACTCTCCACACTAAATCTAAAGCCCGTGCAAGATATTGCGTTTCTTCAAGATCTCAACTAACGTCCGTCCCTGCGTAGCGAGACGCACCCTGTCACGAGACAAATCTACAGTTTTGGAATCATAAATCTTTTCTTAGTGATTCTCGAAAGTTACTATTAATATATCACTTTTTATCACTATTTTTCTATAAGAAAACCACCTAATCACAAGAAAAAGACAATAGTTGATTGTACTATCGATCATTTTATCGATACCACTGATCGCTGCTTCAGCCGTTCCCCCCTGTTTAATCGTGAATATTAGAGTCTCCTTCAAATTCGGAGCATTTGGGAAAAAGCCCTATGTTCAAAGAATATAGCTTCCAGATTCCGAAGATACTGAATGATCAAAATAATATAGTCCGAGAGTTACTCCGATATGAAAAGACTTCCTCATGTTTTGTTGCTTAATAATGTATATTAGCCGAGTTCAAATTTACTAAGTTCACTCCCGGCCTCACTATATCTTACCAAGCCATAATTCTCAAGTTGTAGCACGTGTGTGGCGTAAGTGCAGGCTTCTCTAACGCTCTATCTGTAGGTGATAGCACCCTTGCAACTTTCACAGATTCTGTCATCGAATCATCAAGTCATCACGGAATTCGGTAACGATCTATCCACCACTCCAAAGGCGGAATTCCTTTTGACTTCAGGACTGATTGTTGAGAAGACTCGTTATTCGAAAGGAAACTGCTTGATTATAAGGGCACTATTAAGGCATAAATAAAAGAATAATATGAAAAATATTATACCGTCTCTCCCTGCATAGCGAGACACCCTGTGTGCCGAGACAGACCAATGAAATTGGATGAATTTCGAGATAAATATATTGCTACATTAAGAGAAATAATGTGAAGAACACAATACCAAGTCTGAATATGAACATTTTTTACTGTTGTTGGTTTTAAAGAGATATTAGGAAGACAAAATTATAATCTTTGCGATTTCATTGGTCGGTCTCGGCACACAGGGTGTCTCGCTACGCAGGGAGGGACGTTACTATTCATCAATACTAAAATTAATGTTGCTTTCATCTTCGTCGGCATTGATCATCAGCACCTTGGTTGAAATTGGCCGATAGCTTAGTAAGCTTCTATTATTCGATGCTAGCAAGAAGAAGAATGGCTGTACAGGATTATTACAACATCAATTGATTCTGGATCAGAATTTAAAGAGAAATCTGATCTAGTGTCTGTATTTACATCAATACCTGTAAGTAATGGCAGAACCATGAAAAAGAAGCCCTTGTGACTTATCTAATATTCAGTCGCCTTCCCAGCTTACGAATTTTCTGCTTCAAAGACTTCGAATTTGCTACTTTAGGGACTGTAAACTCATTTCGACCTATATTCATCTCAGTAGATGCGACTTGTAACGCTTGAAGCCGATCTTCAACTTGCTTAGACCATTCCGAAGAAGGCCCTTGGACGGTTGTGTATCCAGACAATGCTCGAATATACATTGCCTTTGCCATATCTTTCCGGTCGGTTTGCGAGAAGAGGTCTCCAAAGGCGAACATAGTATGCAATGCCGGTAGATATGATGAGGCAAGTTCAAGACCAAGTGCTTTCTCGTAGCCTTCCAGTGCTCGACGATACATCACCTCTGCCTCTGCTAGCTTGCCTTGATTTTTGTAGAGGACGCCTAGGTTGTTGACTGTATCGAGTGTTGATGTGTGATCTGGTCCAAGTGCTTTCTCTTTGCCTTCCAGCGCTCGACGATACATCACCTCTGCCTCTACTAGCTTGCCTTGATCAGAGTAGAGAATGCCTAGGTTGTGAAACTCCCAATATAGTTCGTCTATATCTACCTTGGCGTCTTCTATAAAGAAGTCCTGTCGTATTGCGTGTTGAAGGAGCCGCCGCTGTGTGAGCCACCAGTATTTTTCATCTGTGTTAGGAATCTTTGAGGCCACACAGCTTAAAGCCACATGTGCAAGACTTTTGTCCCATTCCTTGTTAAGCACAAACACTATCCACGAGTGAACACAACTATGCACACTATACCCTCTAGCCACAACCTGCTGCTGAAGAGACCTGTCTTGATCAACCAGTCCAAAGGTACATAGTAGAGTGACAGCTTCATTAAAATTCAGTTCATCCTCCGTAAGCTTCTGTATCCATTCATTGTCTACAGACTTTGCATGCCGAAGGAGATCAAACCACAGATCCTCTCGATGAAAATATGCCCATAACCTGAGTAGTTGTACTGATGCTGCATTCTGCTGTTGGATGCGATCGCAAGTGATCTGCCACGTTGTATATAGCGTACGATCCTCATAGGAATCCAACAGGGGACTTGTTGTCTGAAGCTTCAACCATGATGTCTTATAAAGCCGAAGATAATCCGAGAAGCTGGTCGTCACGTGTTCGAGATATACCCCTGCCGTAGACAGAGCAAGTGGTAGGCCGTCAAGTTCCTTGACAAGTGCTATAGCATCAAGATCTGACTTGTCAGTATTGTTTTTGCTCCCATTATTCATTATATCAACATACCATTTTCAATGTTCTTACGTCCTGACATATTAGATACAATCTCAAGACCTTCCCTGAGATCTAGTAGTTTCTGGACATGAATTCGTTTACCCTGTTTGATTTGCGACGATCGTGTAGTGATGATGATCGAGCCATGATCAGACCAAGGAAGGAACTGAAGTATATCAACAGCTAACTTGTCGGGATTATTAGGCGTCTTAGGATTATCGTAATTATCGTAGATCATCAGCCATTTTGTGTTCCGTGAAGAGTCAAGCCATTCCTTGACAGCACTGACAACTTGATCGAGGTCTTCATCTTGATATACAGTGGATAACACCGTAGTAGAAGGATGATGTCTCAGCACCTGCTGAGCAATATCTCGAAAGCTCAACTTGAGTGAGTCTTCGTCATTAGCATTCAGCCAGAAGATCGCTGTATATTTCTCTTGATGTCGTTTGGCATATGTGATAGCTAATTGAGTCTTTCCCATACCCCCAAGACCATGCAGAGTAACACAGGATCGACCACTGTGATCTTGAAGCACTTTGTGCATTTCCGACAGCTCCTTCTCTCTAGCAACAAACTGTGTAGCTTCAGGAAATGATGCGAGGTTCAGCCTGACAGCAAATTTCTCAAAATCAGCCCCTGTGCTTGTCAGCTTCATTGCTTCAATTTCAATGCATTAATTACTACATCTCTAAGAACATATTATAAAACTGACCCTTGTACATCCTGTGAATCTCATCCTCTAATCGCCTGAATGCCTGATCCTTTTCTTCACCGTAATTCGGCACCATAGATACGCCGAAGATCCCAATCAAACAATAGGCTCCATCCTCCTCAATAGTAGTATTACGGCACTCTGCCCAGGACTTTCGCTCTTTGATACTGAAATTTGATAATGCATCACCTCGAAGAGCTTCTTTTGTAATACCAGTAATTTCGCATATCTTAGACTCAAGCGATAACTTGCTCCCAAGTCGTTCACCATCCGAGCTAAAGAAGTCAACCAGCCTTGGTGCAATAAGCTCTTGAAGTGTCCAGCCTCGAGTGAACCAGCGGCTCTTTTTGAAAGCTTCCTCCCATACCCTCTGATCATCGACCCCAGTGTCGGACTGAGAGACATCCGAAAGGTAAACGTAGCAGCGCGTCGCATTCTGATACCATCGAAACATAGAATTGATCGCTGCACCAAGCTCGACTGCATTCTTCTTGTCGATGCAGCAGGTATCCACCCAGAAGTATTCCAATCCGTCTACTGCGGCTTGCTTCGCACAGAATTGTATCTTCTTCCACCCAGCTTTGTTCACAGCCTTGCTCTTGTCCTTGCCATTCTCCAAGTCTTGATAGACGACCTCCTCTTCTCCCCAGGTATGAGAGAGTATTGCGTAGGCAGGGACATTGCCGCTGGTCGGTTCGCGAAAGACGATCTCGCCATTAGGTTTACGCTGCAAGAGGCGTATAAGAGACATGTTGTAGGTTTGCAAGCGACTTTATAGTAAGTGCGATTGTATCATTAATTCAACATATTGATATAAGCATTTTGATTTGAAGATCAGGACTTCAAAGAACAAAATGTTAAAGAACTGAGTGTAAGGATATACAATTGTAGTTGTAAGCGCTGCTGACGAGGCTGTATCGTGGCGTAACCTGGTTAGCCACTCCCATGACGAAAGAAGATAAAACAAAAAAGATACCTCATTTTGTAAAAACCTTTATTCAATATAATCCGGATTTTGAGTGAACTTTTCTTTTTGTTGTTGAGATACCAGCTGCTTTGCTTCGAGATCAAAAAGCAATGAAGTACTACAGGTAGAGATCAAAAGGTCGAAACAATTATGAACGTATCTAAAGTTACAGATGACTCCACACAAGCCACTTTTTCTTCTATTTATAGGATACCGGTAAGCGGGATTCTCCGGCGAGATTATATCCAGCCACAAACATTACTATCACGTGCTACGCCGTTACAGATTTCATTACAATTTTATCAAGATTACTACAACTACACCATCGCTGATTAAGATCCTCAATTACTTCGTCGGAGAAATATCATCTCTGTGACGACCCTATATGATATAGCATGCTCTGGCCCACCACAAGACTGGCACTGACTTCCTAGCATCGCGATAAGACTTGAAAGTTCATATCTAATTGTTGTATAAATTCAAAATGGAAAAAGAGCTTAATAATAGTGATGCGGGTGGAGAGGTCCTATTGTGCTGAAGTAAGAGCATGTCTTTGATCCAGACGAGCGGCGACAACACAATGAGAATTTTCGGAAGTAAGACATTAGAAGTATTCTAAAGAAGCATGTAAGACATCTAGAATGATAATTTATAAATTATTTGATATTTTCATGGATTTAGAGCCGCTTGAATTCGAAGTACCTGTGATTTGTCTCGTGACGGGGTGCGTCTCGCTACGCAGGGACGGACGTTAAGCCCAAGTACAGAACAGCCAACCTGCATGTAGGCAGTTAGAGAGTAGAATTGCCAATTGACGTAGAAACTCACGATCAAATCCAATCTTCTCCATCTTGATTTTGGTTCCTCCTTATAAGAGGATCGGGCTCAGAGTATTGAGCACCTTTTCCTTGTTGCACGTCAAGGAGTATATTTTCAAACTTTTGTGCACTTAGTGTGGTTTGCTTGAAAAAAGCTTTTGCAGCAACATTTATCCTTCGGTACCGACGAAGTCGGTCCCTGCCAACTTGTATATCATGCCGCAGCGATTGATTTTCCTTTCGAAGCATTTCATTTTCTATTTCTAACGAAGAAACCAAAGCCGAGCCAGGAGTCAAGGGAAGTGGTTTACTGACTGGTCTTTCGTCCGCCTTCACGAAGGTTAGCGGTTGAAGCAGATATTTGTTCATATTTAGGGGATGTTTGAATTTTCAGGCTGAGGTTGCAGATATACACAGTACGGGTAGGCCTAATCTTTAATAAGTGGCTTACAATCACAATCCCGGTTTTGGTATCCTGGATAGGTCTACCCCGCATCTTGGAACCGAGAAATTCCCCCCCCCCCACATTCCACGCGCACGTTCAATTCAGCCCTAGGGAGAAGGTTTCTACTAGCAAAACTCTCATTATTCCAGGCTCTGTTCAAGGAAAAATATCTATTGGTAGACTTCTATTAGTAGATTTCTATTGAAAGATTTCTGCTCTTTTACTAGATTCCGAATTCTGTGAACAATATTTCGAGAAAAATATCTATTGATAGACTTTTATTGATAGATTTCTACTGAAAGATTTCTGCTATCAAAACTTTTACTAGATTCCGAATCCTGTGAACAATATTTCGAGAAAAATATCTATTGATAGACTTTTATTGATAGATTTCTACTGAAAGATTTCTGCTATCAAAACTTTTACTAGATTCCGAATCCTGTAAACAATATTTTGAGAAAAATATCTATTGATAGACTTTTATTGATAGATTTCTACTGAAAGATTTCTGCTATCAAAACTTTTACTAGATTCCGAATCCTGTAAACAATATTTTGAGAAAAATATCTATTGGTAGATTTCTATTAGTAGATTTCTATTGAAAGCTTTCTGCTATCAAAACTTTTACTAGGCTCCAAATCCTGTTAATAATATTTCGAGAAAAATATTTGTTGGTAGATTTCTATTACTAGAAACCTTCGTAAAACAATCTAATTCGAAGTTCCGTTTGAGGAACTCCTGCCAAGATCTCCACTAAAAGATTTCTGCCCAGAGATATCGGATAACTACTAGAAAGCCTTATTATGTGTCGTACTTGAACATATTAAATCTATCGGCAAAAATATTTCAGTAAAAATCTTCCAATTCTACACGGAATTTGGAACTCGGAATTTGGAATTTCTCTTCAGATCAATTCTACTACAAGATCTCTACTACAATTAGTCTCAAGCATACGCAAGAATTATGTCACGAGTAAAGAGGCAAGAAAACCCCAATAATGGAGAATTGGTGTTGATCGGAACCGCAAAAGTCGGTGTCTTCTGCTCTAAAGCTGAAGGGAGCGAAAAAGTGAGCCGAGGAATCGTGGAAGGATTGAAACGAACATATCGCGAACAAAATTATAAAGAGTACGATAGCTCCAGTTACATTCCAGTTCTATTAAACGAAACAGAATTGAAGACGATTTCAGAATCTGGCAGCAAAGATTTCCAGCAGCTCAACAATTTAACGATTCATGCAAGATACTCCGATGGTGAAGTGTATTGTAACGTCAGAAACAGCCAGAAATTGAATGACGAGAAAGGGATCGCGGACTGGAAAGAAAAGCTAACCCATTGCAAGAGAATCAGTTTGGACCAATTGCTTAAACGTGAAGATATCACGGAACTACTCGACCACCTTCTGTCAATACCTGGTCTCTGGGAAGGTTTGGAGTTGGGAAATATTCAGAAGAATTTAGCCTTACGCTGTGATGAGGAAATTGCGAGATATTTAGAACATATTCTGTCGGTCTGGGAGAAATTAACTCTGAGTGATGGAACGATTCAAAGGGCGGCAGATGTGAAGACAGTCCGACTCTTGCAACTTCGGGTCCCTTCTTTGAGTCGCAGTGACAGGGAATTTATCAAATCCGAAATGGCATCCGGCAAACTGTTTCCCAATATATTTGACCCCAAAGCAAGGAAAGATATATTAGAGGCCATACTGAAGGTGGACTGTTTGATTCCAAGTCTCAAAACTATGCATGAGAACCTCAAATACTTGGAAGTTGGTGCAAAAATATTGAAGACTCTTCTCATCGCGAAGAGTCCACGCCTCACCATACACAGTGCCCTACGTTCGGCCTGGACCTATAATAGTGAGGTGCTTGTTGATAATAAGGATAAAAAAGCATGCCTCAAAACAACCCATTCGGATGAATCCGCATGGGACATTATTTACAAGCAAGTTTGGATTTCTGCACTGAGAAATTTCTCTGAGTTAGGAGGACGCGCGCCCAGAAAGGAAAATAGACTACCACCATACCAGCCCACAGTGGACCCGGTACTACAATATGAATTTGTAAAGTTTGCCAAGGACTCGGGGATCAATACAAGGAAGATTGAGAGTAGACTACAGAGCGATCCTAGACACAAAACATTGCTGGCATCGATCGGCAAATTATACCCCTTTCATACGCAGGACAAAATTGAAAGCGTAACCGCTAGCTTTGTGAAAGATCTACCAATCATCAACTCGAATGGTTTCTTCTCAACTAAAACTGAAGAGCCTTGCAACAGGGTTGATTTATCATCACCAATAGACTTGAGTCGTCGATGGGGTGTTCCTTTTGAAAAACATTATGCCGCGGGGAAGGAAGATTTCTTCCTTCACAATCTTTCGAAGACATCATGCGCAAAAGAAGATATGCCTAACCATTCGTTCATTTTAAGTGATTTCATCTCCTCATTCTTTGGAAGAACACCTCATTTTGAAGCAGGTCAGATGCTGAACTCTAACAAGCAGGCAACTTACGATTCAAAGGCTCAAATTAATACCGTCAAAAGCTCGTCTTTCTCTTCGATTCATAAAAATGATGATCGTACATCTCTTTCCGTCGCCCCCGTGGATCAAAGAATCCTTCAATCTACCACATCTCCCAAGACATCTCAATCAAAAAATGCAAGTCCAAATGACGGACTGGATGTATTTGACTCCACTGTATCTTCTGGTGGACCACAAGATACCGTAACGGACCAAAATCGATTCCAAATCGAGTTAATGAACAAAAGTTTAAACTCAGAAATAGACCCAAACCTCATATCAGCAATAAATAAAGAGCTACTGGGCCATCTTGAGCAGATCAAAGCAAGTAGTGATAACCAACTTAGTATCCAAGAAACCGATATTCATGAGGATGAAAGCGATTTCATGAGAAAATCTTCACTTGTTCAAATACCAAGGGCGAATCTGCCGGAAGCAATGGAACAGGAAAATATTAAAGGGAAAGGAAAGGAAATATTTGATTCACAGAGTTTGGCGGTGGCCACAGAGAGATTTCAAAGATATAGATCGCCAGTCATATCAATGGCATCGGAAACATCTTCATCAGACATTGATAGTATAACCTCCAAGCATAGATTAACTTCTGGTGATAGAACCCCCAATCTAGACATTGGAAGCATCACATGGAAGCCGGAAGAGAGCCCTACTTCAAATTTAAGATCACCAGGACCATCGGACGTCTTACCAGTCGCATCATCACTCGGAAATGTAGTTAGCCCCAGCTATAATCAATCAGCGCCCCAGTCAGACGCTCGCAATCAAGATATGGAGGACATAGCATTGTTGACGTCGGAAAGAGCTCGGTCACCCGCATTATCAATAGCTCCACCCAGTCTATCTCCGAACCATAAGATAGGTTACCCATACCAACCACTGGAGAAGAGATCCGGTCAGCAAACCGTTATCATGCAACCAAGACTACAAGGTTCCCCTCTAGCAAAGGAACACGATCATGCCGCCAATTTTTCCAGGCAGAAAACAAGCTCGGCAGTTTCTCATACTGCCAAAATTGAACAGAAAGCCATCACCTATGATGAATGGAGGCCTGAAACTCCACAGCGATCACCAATAGTGTCAATGATAGGCACTGAACCAATTTTGTGGCAAGACAATATAGTTTCCAAGAGGCTCGCTACGATGCAGCCAGCAGTGTCTACGACAGGAGAAGGGATCACCATCGGCCCTCAAAACATGAAAAATCTTACACAAGATCCAAGCAATAGATCTGAGCCTTTGGCTTTGCGATCTCCTGTGCAGCTAGTTAATTATACAACACAACAATACGAAGGCCTTATAGAGTTTGCCAATTCGAACACATCAGAGACAAGCCTTTTAGCTAAGCCCCAAGAAGACGACCAGGCGATGGACTTTGAACCAACAAATAGCCTAGTTTTATCATCACGGTCAAATCGAGTACCTAACATGACTGATGAAGATGAGAACATGGAAGATATATCATCAGTTGGTTTGGAAATGGAACTTCCCAAAGAACCAAGGAGATCAATTCCAATAGCTGCAACAGTCAGTGAGGCAGAGGATGAACCTATGGAGGACCCAAAACCAGGTAATCTGTCTGTCACTGTTGAAGAAGAGGCGATAGTACAAGAAACATCAACAGTTCTTTTGGCAATAGAACTTCCAAAAGAACCTAGAAGATCAATGCCTATCCCTCTCCCTCCAGAAATGACACCAACTGCAATCGTCGACGCGAAAAATAACAATTCAGATGAGAATACTTCAGTAAGTATGATAACCTTAATATGTAATCCGGTTTACTAACTTCCACAGGAACGGACAGGAGACAAAATTGCGAATAAGGCTTTGTTGACTCCAGCAATATCACTCCCAGTTAACAAAAGGGCGCTGGCTATTTTGGATGCCCCAGTTCAAGGAGTCGCCGAGGATGTAGAAGACAGCCCAGTCTCAGGTTTTTCAAACAACAGCTCAATCCCTTCTCAATTGTGGATCAAAATAAATGAGTTTAATGGAATGAGAAGTCAGCTACGGACTTTCGAGACGATGACGGACGTTGAGCTTTATCTTAATAGGCGTCATGATTGGGCATTATTGATTGACACCCCTAATTCTAGAGGCTGGAAAACCATATCCGCTAAGCATTTTCTCAAACATATCAAAACAAGAAGCACTGCTCGTGATACGTACTATTGTTTCCAACGTCGACATTACGAAAAGATAAAAAGCCGATCAAGAGGTAAAGGGTTCAAGCATTCAGGAAGAACAGAGTCTAGCAAGGAAAAATCTGAAAAGATGAAGACAGAGAGAGAGGTCTTTCTGGATAGAAGAAAGGATTCATACAAGATCATTAGAAAGAAAGAGCAGCCAGTAAGGTGGGCGAAAACAAGTCAGTCATCAAGAGTTCAAATACAGTCTGAGGAAAACAAGGATCCTGAGCAATCAGAAGATGTGAATTCCCTAGAAGAAAAAAATAAGCAGGAAGAAAAAGAAAAGATGCATTCAGAAGAAAGGAAACAAGATGAAATTATCTCTGCACATATAGTAGGAGAATTGGGACAAACGGAAAATGCAGAACCGGCCTTCATAAACTCAAAGGGAAAAGAGTGTTCAGAGCCACTAGAAATAAGTTCAATTAGCTCTGAAGAGTTATTGAAGACAGTTTACACACTGGCAGAAAAAAAGCAATCAAATGAAAAAGAGACGCCAGACGACGTAAAACCAACTGTTATCCGATCTGACGGATTTGATCATTCAGAGCCATCAGAGACGCCAGATATTGCCAGGAATGGCAAGAGGAAACATTCTCCAGCTCTCGATCATATAAAAAATGGTATAAGAAACAGGGAACTTCCGGAATCTAGAATTTCGAAGATGAGGAGACTTTCAGAAGATCACGATACAAAGAAAAGGAGACCTCGAACACCTGGCGTAAGGGAGCCTGCAACACAACCTAGGATAATAAAGCCTCGTCCTAGTCCTATTTTTCTAAAGAGAACAACTACAAATGAAAGATCACAAGAACTGGTGAGCATAAATGAAATAGAGAGTGGAGGACCTCGAGGGTCACCAGAGCTATTTCCGGTCGAAGATTGAGGACTGACTTGAATCTTAAGAATTCTTTCGGCTTAGGCACACAGCCATCTCTATATCAATATTTTGTTGCCTTAGTTTTTCATGTTAATCTTTCAATTGTGAATAGCAAGAATTTACTTTAGACGTACTCAGTAAACAAACGAACAAAAAGTACCCCTACTCTCTGTTCCCCACGCTCCATACCACCGTCCTTTTCTTCACCTTTTCCTATACTATCCTGTTCTCACAGTTGTTCCTTCTTTACGAAAACCTCTTTGGTATTGAAGATTTTGATACCAAATTTCTCAAGATCTCAGGATATTGGTCTTGAATAGCGGCATAGGCTTCTGGGTTGGAAAAAAGAGTAATGTAGCATATCTCTGGGGTTGCTCCCTTTTGGAGTTTTAGTACACCTGTCATGGGGCTTATTAGCGCCAAAATCAATTGCTATCATAATTAAAATACCAGTGCTTCAAGTATTGCCTTTTCGTTTGCAAGTTTTTTTCTGTGTCAGGGATGACATTTGACTATATAACTAGAAAGAAAATTATGATGCTCTTAGATTGAGTGTAAACTACAAAAATCAGTGAGTAAATTAGATAACCTGACCTTAAACCCCAGCCAACGAATAATTGTTGGTCACTGTTTTGATCCCAAATGCGCCCCGAATACCTACCATATTTTCGATAGTCCTTAAAACACTCTCTATCGAAACACAACATACTACAACCCGTGAAATAATTAAAGGTGAACCCTAGATCCTGACGACGATCTTTCACGCGATGACCTGAACTCCGGTATTTCTCTCATGAAAGATCTTGAGATCATTTCATCTTTGATTCGGGAGATGCTTCGGCGGGGGTTCGAGTAGCCGGTTTCACTCGAATATTTTCTGGGCCTTGACATCCTTTCCGAACCTTCTTCATCATCATTTGGAACATCATATGGGTTTAAAATCGTCCTCCCTCGGTCCAGTGCCGAATTTGTCCGTTTGATACCTCGAGTATAACTAGAAGAGCTAACAGGCATTGGAGGCGAGCTCATGGTGGAGGGTGCTGAGTTAGTAACTGGAGGCGAGGCTGCGGCAGGTAAAAATGGAGTTGCGGATTGTGCATTGGAAGGTGGGGGAGTATATCGTGTAGACGGAGTAAGCCCTGTTGCCATGGCTTCGTTGTGTGTTCTGTAATCACCAGGGCCTGTACTTATGACATTCTAAATATGTTGTTAGCGCAAAATTTTATTTCATAACATGGAATCAAATGGCGTACATCATTGCCTGAGAGAACAGGCAGGGAGGAAGACTCTTCGGAACTGTAGATACACGTCTGTTCGTCGTTTTGAACAATCACCCAGACCCTAGTACCTGGACACAACACAGCTAGCTCATCCCCTTTCTTCATGACAGTTTGAGTTCGGTCGTGGCAAGCCCGCTTTCGTCTACGTTCATCACCAACAATTGGCGTCAATTTTCTGGTATATTTGGTCATTCTGGACGCGTGAAAAGAATTGGTATTTTTCTGAGAAGCAGAGAGTCAATAAACTGATTTCGAAAGTTCGAAGAATTGGCTTTCGAATATCCGAAATACCGTTCGACTCTTTAAATGTAATCAAGTGTTGTTGGTAGTCAAAAATAGAGTTTGTAAAGCCGCGCGCGTCATGACATGACTAACCATGGAGTTGCAGGCAGGCGCTTATGCAGCCCATCACTTGTTTCCGAAAGCCGACCTTCAAGATACGGGAGTTGGTTGAACCATCATCATGACTGCTGCTAGATCTTTGCTTCGGGATTTACCCATGGTCCCTTTCGAGTTTCAAGAAAAAAACACTTATAACCTCATTTCATGGAAGGTTATCTTAATCACCTAAACAAAAAATTATCATCATCATTTCATTTCAAAATTATGAACTTGACACAGTGGTACGCAATCTCTTTGGCCGCGACAGTAGTTCTCCTAATCATTTACCGAATTGGCTACATCGGTTCTACCTTCCTTATGGCACGGTTCCAGGTGCTAGCTTTGAGGCATTTCATATACCCCTTACTTGTTCAACGTAGATATTGGACTGGTGTCACAAGATTGCAAGGCTTACTCGTCGGGGGATATCTGGGTATCAATGGCTTTTGTATGGGCCTTGGTGTAAAGACTATGTCCGACGTTATCTCTCGTGCGGGGATCATGGCCTCGGTCAATATTGTGCCGCTATTTTTGGGCGGTCGGACCAACACGTTGGCTAATTTTATCGGTATCTCCATCCATTCTTATTATATAGCACATCACTGGATCGGTCGGGTTGTCATTGTTCAAAGTCTTTTGCATGTTGGCTTTGCCATAGCTGCTGGTCAGCCATGGACCTTCAATTCATCTCAAATTTCTGGAATTTCTGTGAGTAAATATAGTATTGCATGTCCCTCTCTCTAATACAATCACAGGCTGCATCTGCATTATCCCTCTTGCTAATTACATCGTTGTTCTTTTTGCGGAGATTGATGTTTGAAGTATTCCTCAAGATCCATTTTCTGTTAGCTTTTGTCGTAATTATTGCCCTAATGGAACACGTGGTACACCTTGGTTTAACTCGCAGCATGTTTCCGATAATTGCCCTGTCCTTGTGGTCTTTGAATGCCATAATGCGGTGGGGAAAGACGTTTTACGATAACGTCGGTGGTGTCGGTAGTTCTTCAATACCGCAAGCAGATATTTTTCACTATTATGACGACTCGAAAACGAGAACTGTCAGTGCAATAAGACTGACGGTCCTACTTAAAAGGCCTATGAAAATACACCCAGGCCAATACATGTATCTGTTCCTGTCGGATATGGGTGTTCGTCGACGTTTCCAAGCACATCCATTCGTGATTGCATGGTGGGACGATTCCATGAAGGCTACTAAGCTTTCATTTTTGATCAAGCCTAGCAATGGCTTGACCTCAGATTTGATTGGACGGGGCTCAATACGTAGGGTTGTGATGGATGGGCCTTACGGAAAAGATCTGAGATTGGAGGATTTCGAAAATGTTATCCTTGTAGCAAAGGGAATCGGAATCGCTGGAATAATTCCATACGTTAGAAGTTTAACCTATCGTAGGGTAAACAAGGATAAAAGTCACGAGTCATACAGACGAGGTCTTCTTACAAGAAAAATCGATCTGTATTGGATCCTTGAAGATAATTGTCAGCAAGACTGGATATCAGATTGGCTTGTGGATCTACAAATGAGAGACTCGGAGAAGGTGCGTCACCTTGGGCTGATGTATGATGAAATGAGTGCTGACTTACTGTTGCAGATATTCCTTAATTGCACTTGTTTTTATCCACACAGGATGCTGAAACCTCCACCTATCGTGGAAGATGCTCATTGGAGATTTGTAGAGCAACAACAACCAATCCCAATAATTGAAGGATTCATAACCAAACAAGTTCAGAGATCTGCTGGGAGGTCTAAAGTCGCTGGTATGCCTAATAATTCACCCCTATTCATCATGAAGCCAAACTCAATCTAATATAGTTTGTGGAACATCTGGATTCACTCATGTACTCCGCAACATAGTGATCGAAACCCTGAAGGAGTATGATGATGTTGAGTTTGCTGAAGTTGAGTATCAACCACATGGAGTGCACCACGTTCACTCGGGAGTCACTTCTAAATCATGGGATCAAATTGAATTGGAGGCCATAAAATTTCCTACACGATTCAATACTAGAGGAAGACGTCTACAGCGATCACAACTTGAGTACACAAATAATCATACACGCTCCAGAAAAAGATCTGCAAGAAGATCTTCAAGGAACGACAGATTGATCGAATGGAGATCAGGAGCATCAGATCAACTCGAAACTTTGGAAGAGGCAGATGAGAGAGCAGATGATGAGGTTCAAGATTGGAAAAAAATGGATGTGAGGGAAATTGTTTAACTGTACAACCAAAGATGACCGACTCTGGTGTCTAGATTCATCCAATTAAGAGTCCTATTTAATTTAAAATGAATAACGAAAATAGTAACAAAATAAATGTTCCACAATTCCTGATTTACTCCACCACAACTTGATTAATGCCATGGTTGAACGTCCAATCACCAGCTATTTCCAGATACCGAAGGTGTTATTTTTGATAGTTTGATTGGTCAATCTATTAATCTTCGGCTGAAAAGGTTTCCATTTTCCAAGCTTCCCATCCTTGTCATATAGATTAGTATTATCTAACTTGATACAGATGACTGATTTACGGTAATCCGTTTACCGTTCACGGTATTTTGTTTCCGGTATGGCTTACCATATTATATAAAAAGATGCATGGCCATAAGAAGATTGAAATGTTAAAAACCCAAGCATTACACAATAACAAAGACAGAATACACAAGAAACCTTGATACATACGTGAGTACAGTCTTTTCTGTCATTCCGATATTCATTTGACAAAAACCAATAGAAATATGTGCCTTTTCCCATTTTTCTCTTTCAGAAAGGCAGACAAGGTCATCTACCATGATGACTTGCCAGCATATCGGCCCATCGATCAAGAACCAAGCCCTCCTCCTACAACTCGATCATATAAATATACATTTGACATTCCATCACCTGGAACGATGAATATCACTGCAAGAAACGATGGGACTTTGATCTTTCACCATATCCCTACCGCAAAGAGTGGTTTCTCACACGGAGGTATTGCGGGAGGGCTTAATGGTGGGGACAATGTCACTGGTCTGACTGCTGAAGCGAGACAAGAGAAGCTGGAGCAAACAAAGTTGAGACTTCAAGAAGCAAGAGCCAATTTCCAAGAGTCAATGAACCGCCTAAACCAAGAATTAACTCTTGTGAGGGATGATGACTCTGTGACTCTTTTAGACAACGAGGACGTGGGGAGTCCGATGAGGGATGAAATGTCTTTTGAGGACAATGATTGTAAGGAACTGGTCAAGATTTAAGATACTTGGCTTCCGCAGTGCATTTAGAAATGGCATAGTTTGACGAAATTTTATTATAATAATGATCCCATCACATTATTTCTTTTCAAAATATGTTCGTACTCCCAACTATCAAATTCCAAAGTTGAACATTCCATGATTACAATCTGAAATTTTTGGTACTGCTCAGCTACCTGTTTTGTTTCTCCTTGATCTTACACATTCAATCGGTTTCATCCACCACTTTGTTTTAATGCCACTCACATCTTGATTTCACTGGCGGTCTCTCCATCATCTACCAATCTATTTTCAGTTTCTACCTTGCCATCACTTAACGAATTGCTCTCATCCACCATCTTAGTACCATCTGCCCGTCTACTTTCATTCCTAACCTTGCCATCACTTAACGAATTGCTCTCATCCACCATCTTAACATCATCTGCCCTTCTACTCTTATCCACCTCTTTATCATCAGTACCCAACCTGCTTCTATCCACCATCACACTATCTTTCAGCTGTCCGGTCTCTTCCAAAGTCTTGATATCATTCATCATTGTAAGTCCATGCGATGCCTCATTGTTATGTGTTTTGGTTTTGTCAGATTTTTCAACCAAAAGCTTCTCTAGCCATTCCTCTGCATTATCAAAGGCTCCCTTGGATTCTCTTATCCATTTAAGAAGATACTTTTGTACCGCAGAATGTCTGACCTTCATTCCATCGAGAAGCTTTCCAAATTTCTCTCCATGTTCAAGATTTTCAGAGGCTAATTCTGTAAATTCCGTTTCTGGGTTGGTATACGCGTGGAACATGCTTGTCGCCTGCTCCTTGTCAATGTGCTTGAATTTGACAATTTCATCCACTCGACCTTCACGAAGTAGTTCCGGAGAGAAATCATGAAGTTCTTGGAAATAGTTGGTTGTCATGATAATGATGTTCCCCTCAGGAGATATCAGACCATCAAGTATATTCAAAAAGGTTGACAATGGGAATCCTTCGTTCGATTCGGGTTTATACTCTCGAAAAGTACTCGGCTTGATGTCTTCGAAAACGATCATTGATGACTTAGGAACACGCTGCAATATTATCTTTAGATCTTCCTCATCCTGTTTCTGCAGGTTGACCCAACACAGATTAGAACCATAACGATGAGCCAAACTCGTAATGACACTTGTTTTTCCTGTACCTGACTCTCCTTCCAGCATATAAACAAGTTTGTGCTTGGATCCTAGCTCTTCGAATAGCTTCTTGTCCTCGTTTTTCTCCGAGTAGAAAGTGTCAAAATTGTGGACAATTCTCTCCTTGACATTCTCATCCATAAATACATACTTGAGGGGGCGACTAGGAATTCTGTTTGTTGACTTCCAATGTTCATCGCGAAAACGACGTGACCATGCGTCCGATGGTTCGAAGATTCGAATCTCTTTGCGTTTTGAGTTAAGTACCGAATCATCAAGGATAGACATAACGATAGAATGGCAGATGAGGTCGTGTATTCCTTTTTTGGAGAAGATCCCATAGCAATCGATGTTCATAATTCTTTGGCTTCCTTGCGATTGATTGTTAAATCTGCTGCCGGGGTCACTTGGAGCGCTTGACCCAGTGTAGGTCACCCGATAAATCCAAATTTTGTATCCAAGCCAAAAGCAGCCGTTTCCGACATGGTAATCGATCTTTGGCTCCAGGTCCAAGTTATCTCTGGCAGATAACTTATTATCAAGTAATGACATCGTGATATCATAGGAGTTTAATGTATAGTTTTTGAGAAACCACACAGAGACTGGTCTGAACAGGTCGTCTCCGTCCTCAATTCGACCTGTACAGTATGGCGGGTAGGTATAAAGAATAGCAACACATATGCCCAGCATAGCAGATATCAGAACTACATGCTCAATTGGCAACCATTGTGAGATAAATTGATACAGAAATGAAGCAATATCGACGTAAACATAAAATTTTGATTGAAACGTTCGAAGGAGGAGCGGGAGAGAGGTTGTGAGAATTTGTAACGATTCGAAGGGGTTTGAATCAGACATGGTTTATCAATGAAAATCAGGAAAGCTTGAGTTGGATAATGAATTTCTCAGTGTCTATATGAGAGACGGTAGAATCGCGTAGCCAAAATTGTCGAAGAGATCTGTAAGAACAAAGTAATAGTTCGCTATGGATAGGATAATCTTATGTCTAAGAATTCTACATGTTCCTCCCGAGGAAAAAGGCAATGAATTAGAAAAGTCGAACATCGCTACGTGGTTGCGTTGTGCCTACCAGCCCCCGGACCCACAGGTATATTAAGCGACACTATCGAGCTCAAAATTGACATTAATTTAACCCATGCATCCTCTTTCCTTTATTTTGATCTAGTCTTATTCAAGTAATATCGATGTACCAGTCCAAATTCGATTTGTGTATCATTTTCCGTACAGTCACCGAAACCGAAAGCGAGCAGGACCCGGAAACGATCCGATATTCGACATCGATAGATTAAAGTGGCTCTTATCCTTTCATATATCTAGTTGTCTAAGTTAGACGACAATACATCGTATAAACTATTTTTATCGTCAAAGGAAGTCCTCTACCAACGAGCTTTTGGAGAATACTTCGTCCCGTAAGTTCTTTATGAAGTTTTTTGATTAATCTGACTGACGATCGAATAGAGACATGGCATTCTCTGAGCTTCGCGAATATCCTGCTCCGATGGCATTTCGTTGCCTTGATTCCGTCCCCATAGGACAGGAACGTAAACGGACCATATACGAGGCTAAGAACGAAACGAACAAAGTTAAATTTGTTTTGTTCAATAGTTATCCCGAGTCATACAACGATTATAAGAAGGGTCTACACGGCTGGGTCTGCTACCCATGCGACGGTGAATGGGCAACACTTAAACACACAAACTTCAAGTGTAGTGAGAAAGATGGTGCCTTGGTGGCACATCTTACTCAAGCATTCAGCTACGCATTGCGCGACACCCAAATGGAGACTTCAGAACGATGGAAATGTAGGCAATGGAACACACTCATCAAGGAATGGATGGCAGATTGGTCAACGAACGTGGATGCTTGGTATCCTGGCGAAAAAAAGCTTTCGCATTTGGCAAAATCCTGGCAACCGACCGCGGACGAAGATTGGGATGTGGTTAAGGGTTACAAATGGTAGGATATCAAAGGGGAGAAGTCAATTATCTCTTTGCAGTAGGCATCATTCTTTGGTGGAAATGTAAAGGAAATTCTCATAACTAACTGTGTCTACCGAGTGCCTGTTTTGATTTTGAGATATTAAAAACTTACCTCGTCGAATGAATTTCTTTACGAAATGTTAATTGCCTATCCAATGACGCTCTACACCAGAAGACTGAAAATAGTTTCCACAGGGAGTAGAATTTTTAATGAATATATATTGATTAATGATATGCCCATTAGTCTTGGATTTCTTGAAACCCTTGTCTGAACGAAACGAGAAAATGGAAACTAAAAGAAATAATAGTTAATCCCTTAGTCTAACATTTGAGCTAGTGACTGCGCTAGGTCTAATATTTCGTGTTAGTTTCCGTCGTTTGCGCTGGAGAAAACGGAGCAAACAGACTGGTTATGAGATCTATTTAACTGTTAGTCTTTCCCTGAGAATCTGCAAAAGTTGGAATCATGACCACTGCATCTAAATATTTTTCTTAGAATGCAAGAATGTGTTTGATCGAGCGTGAGATTCAATGGTGCGGACATCAAAGACTCAAAGTAAATGAGTGGTGTGACATCTTTTTGGCCACACATGAAAGAAGTCGATGCCATGATACGATTCAATGTTTCACTGGGTAACTGTCACCTCCTCCAATGCTTTCAGTTTTCTTCCTAACAATGTCACCTATAGTCTTCGACTCAAAGTTATTTGTTACGAGTGTGGTTAGTTCATTCGAAGTCAAAGCAAGGATTACACACTAAAGCCATGTAAACTTTAGAATTGAGAAAGAAAATAAAAAGACAAAGGAGGTCTGTAGTAATCTCTACATCTATGTCACAGCAAGTTACTCATTCAAGGGGCGAGGGAATCTATGCTGATAAAATTAGTCCCCTATTTTAGTTTTGAATGTATTCGAATTAGAAGTAGACATTGGCATGACACAAATCCACCACAGAAGACCCTCAAATCATGGTTCGTTCAATCGTTATCATCAAGTTGCAGCATAGCCTGTATCCAGGGAGCTTTTATTCCATGTAAATGGAAGGCGATAGCGGTGTATCAAGTCCCCAACACAACGTGTGAAATTTAGTCCGAATACATACAGCTGCAGAATCAATATAACAAGCTCTAACCAGCATTCGTGGATCTATTTTGATAGCCAATAGGCCAACCGTGAGCGCTATGCATTATGTTATTGTATCGTGGATTATGCTCCAATCAGTCGTAGCATATGACAATAGTGCAATAATTCGCGTATTTGGAAGCATACTCTAAGGTGTCTAACCAGGCCACAGATCTTCGATCCTTGACAGAAAATGTAATATCCAGGGTCCTGCAGCTTGCTAGGTACTTTTCTAACGACGACTAAACTATTTTGGTAAACCCTTCGCAGATATGACGGAAAATGCGTCATGCTTAAAGAATGCGGAGATTGTAAGGATCATGCAGCTCATGCTCGATTGGCCAAACCATTTCCGCAAACTTGTCGCGAACGTAGTTAACTAAACCATTTTGGTAAACTAGTTGCAAATGTGACAGAAAGTGCGTCGCGTGTCGCGCTTAATGAATATTGAGATTGTGAGAGTCATGCAATTCGGACTCAATCAACTAAACCATATTCGTAAACTCTTTGCAAATTTGACGAGAAGTGCAAGTTGTCTTTTAAATTTTTACATCAAATCAAGAAGCCCTTGATGAACGGCAGACTTTTGGCTTGCAAGATTTATGGTGACAGAGGTACAAAATGTCCTCGATGCAAGTCATTACCCTCCGCACCAAGTGCCTCTCTTTCACTCTTTCATCTTTCTCGCCATGAGCACCAGAATCACTTTTCTCGGAGACACGAATGTTGGAAAGACTTCCATGGCTTCTCGTATCCTTCAACTAGATTACCTTGTGGGTACACACTCTTCCATCATCATTCGCAATTTGCTTGTGAACTAACATTCAAAAAGTCAATTGGTTCCCATCCCTTGTATGAGAGTATCCAAGAAATTTCAAGCATTGTACAACTTGATAGGCTTCTCAAGAAAGGACCTGATGATCGGTCTGATTGTCTGGTGATGGTGTACAACATCGGCTCGCTGGAAACATTTCACATTGGAACGAATCTCTTCACGCATGCCTTGGGATATCGAACTCCCCGACTCGCAATAATGGTTGCAATCGTGGATGATGCACACGAAAGAATTGTGAATCAGAACGATGTTGAGCAATTTATGGAAGAGTACAAAGGTTTTACCTGGCACTTCATCGAAACATCAATTAGAGACTCCCAGCACTTCTTCCGCCCCCCCATTCCGGTCACAACAGAAAATACCAAATCTTCAAACTACTCGATGATAAACACAATAGAACCTTTTGCAGCACAAGGATTGATACGGGTGCTCTTGGAGACATTCTTAACAGAGGCTATCGCTGCGAGTTGGTATAACGTAGTGGAAAGCTATATAGTTGAAGAAGATGCGAAAGAGTCGACTGTAGATAAGGTAGTGGATGGGGATCACCTGGTAAAAGCGTTTCATCCACCTCATACGATTCACTTTCATTCCAATGATGTGATTCAAGACCCACCTGAGCAAGAGGCGCCTCAGTTAAAGTCTACACCCTCTTTCGAGATTATTCTAGGATGTGCTGTTAAAATCATGCAATTGAAGAGCTGGACGTCAAGAAATACCAATTCAAACAGCGCCCAGGGTTCTGAGAGTTTCTTTTTGGAGGAGAATACTTTGGAGAATATTGGAGGACGTTTGAGAGTTAAGCTTCGGTGGCTGCAGGATTTACTTTGTTGTTCATGAATATTTGCGACGATATTTCGGTTTTAATCATGTCTCTCCTTACTTGAAATCTTGTCACAAGTTTGATATAAAAGGTCAAGAATATACATTTGCACCACCATTGAAATCATCCTGTGTTTCCATCGAATGAACTGCTGTAGAAGAATTCCCCTTGCTTTTGACAGCGCCCCAGCTCTCCGAGTAACCGACTAAGGAGAGAGTGAAGGTAGATTAGGAAGAGTTTTGGAAAATACACTCGACATGATAAAATATAAGAAGGATCCTGGGTACAATCCTATGAGATATGATAAGATTGCTCAGGTCTTGGATAGCTTTCGAGTAACTCAACATGAAGTTCTAGATCTTATTCGATATTGGGAATCTGAAGTGTCGGTCAATATGTTAGAGCTAGGGTATCTGATTGGTAGCCTCGAATCTATGAGATTGTTTTTATCAAGTCGATTGGATAATTGAATTGGTTGGGATCGTGATCACGGGTCTCAGAGAAGCACCATTCGATATTTCTCCGTGTTCTCATTATTTTCTGCTTCTCTCCTTTCTGAGATTTTTGCTTATAAAATTACAGAAAATGCCTTCTTGCCTACAGATGAAATAATATTTACCACTCTCTACACTTTTTGACTGAGGCTCAACAGTATAAGCCTCCCATTTTTCGTTCAGAATGACTACGCTCAATCTTCATCACATTTTTAAACCTCTTCCGTTCATTGTTTCTTCCAACAACACCGACAGAACTCTACCAGCTTTACCCAACGTCCCTTCCATCAACACCAACACAACTCTACCAATTTTACCCAGAATTCCTTCCATCGACACCAACATAACTCTACCAGCTCTACGCAGCAATCATCTCATCAACAGAGCTCTGCCACCTCCTTCATTCACTCGATTTCCCACACCATCCAACACTACACAGTTTCATACCCGCAAGCATCACCTGTTTGAACCTACAAAACATATGTGCCAACAATGCAGCAAGGTTTTTCAAACCTCTCGACATCTGAGGAAACACGCAGTAATACACCAAAATCATCGTTCAAAGAACTACAAGTGTCAACTTTGCAGTAAACATTATTATACAAAACACGGGTTAAGTAATCACCAGGCAATGCGCCCAGATTGTGCATCGTTGGAACACATATGTAGTTGGTGCGGGAAGGGCTTTGCTGCATTTAAAAGTTTCAACAGGCACGAATTAGCACACCAAATCTATGCATCAGAGAAATACAAGTGCAACTTTTGCGGGACGCCTTTCAAGGCAAGTTCTGAACTGATTCGCCACACATGCTATGCAATACCACCAACCGCCATCAACAAGAAGAAATTTTCTTGCGATTTATGTTACATGTCTACAAACCACCAGCACGCTTTGTCCAGACATGAACTGACTTCATGCCCTGCGCGTATAAACAAGGATTTCCAATTGAAAATGTGAAAAATAGGGCTCTAGGTAGGGTGTCTCTTTCACTATTGGCCAAGCCTAGGGAAACCATGTACAGTACATATCAGATAAGGGAATTGGTTCAATATTCAACACCTTTTTGACTTTACATTTCAGTTTATACCTTTTAATAAGATTTTACAGTAATAAATGAATTTATTTAAACATTGATGAGCAGTGAAAAGCCTCGTTTTCGGTTGCTGACAACTCATTTACATGTTCTATCTCAAAGATTTTGTGATTGCTAGTCTTACAAATTGCATGGGGGTTTTGAGCATCTCACAGGGTGGCTGTAGGGGTATAGCCGATTGGCAAATATTAAATCTTAGCCTCCGTGTTCGCTTGCAGTACGGCTATTTTAATTTAAAATCCCAACCACTTCTTTCCCCATCAGATGAACCATATCTCTCAAAAAATCTCGCATGTTCATCCACGACACTATCAGTGTCTCTTCTTCCCAACATTATGTTCAATTCTACTGCTACAAATTCTTCCAATGCGTGTATAACTCTTCCACCACTTTTGAATTTGGTGTCACCTTTTACCTCTTCATATCAAAACACAAGCCTTCCACCGCTTCCTGACGTGCTGTCAAATCCTACTACTGCAGTTCTCTTGCCCAATACATCTAGTACAACCCTGTGTCTCACAAGACGCAACTGCCATAACACATTTGAACATACTCAGAGTCTGGAGTCAAAGGGAGACAAGATTTCTTTGCCATCAGTTTCAGAGATCACCACTGGTAAGAACCCGAGTATACATCACATTATATGTATCATAAATTTGAGTTTTGCGAGAAGCTTGGTTTGCTACTAGCGCTAAGATACATCCAGGTACATTCCTTGAGTACAATGGTATTAGTCAGAAGTATAGTACGACAACGCATCCGTTTCAATGCACAAATTGTAGCAGAAGATTCAGATGGGAGTATCATTTGACGGCACATTCCAGAACTCATCAGGCAGATCCAAAAAGATATTGCTGTCTTAACTGCCCAGCTGGAAAAATATTCGCTAGCAAGAAAGGTCTAGCTCAACATTTGAATACAAAACTACACAACTCTAAATATTCAACCCAATTACGAATGAAGAACATGAAATGCTCTGTCAGTACATGCATGAAAGCTTTTTCAACAAAGAGGGACTTGGAAAGTCATAGAAAATCCCATGATAAACATATCTCATCAATTGAAATGTAATAGGTCATGAATTGAGTAAGTATCTCCAAGTGTCTTAGATCAAAGAAAATGCTTACTGAATTATAATATAAGATGACAATTATGATGATTCATACTCACTAGCAGTCAAATAATGGTCATTTTCTTCAACACAACACGAAAGGATTTCATTGGATGCAGCGGTTTGTTTCCGGGTGATTTTTGGAAGGTGTTTTGGTTTGGCTTCCTTGTGTTTTCAAAGGTCTTATTTTCTTGACATGTGGCAAGGAAAAAATAATTCAGAAATGCTTCTTTATGGTTTTCAATATTATAAAATTATTTGTGTGTATAAACTAACGAACTCTGAAGTAACATAACAATCAACCGTTTCTCATAAACTCATCATTGTACACACTCAAAATCTCTGCCGGACTTTCTCCCATCGAAATCTGATCTTCTTTCTCGTGATACTTCATATGTGCATTGAATCCTGCTTGAGTCTTGAATGGACAAATATTTCGATGCAATTTGCAGTCGTGCCTAGCACACAGGAGATGATCTCGGTTTATACGAGTATGAGTGCTCATATGCGCCTTTAAAGTCCTTCTGGATGCAAGTGGCCTGATGTGACGTGGACAAGTAGTATGTGGGCACAACAAGGAAGTCGTAGAAGAACCTTCATTCGTTTCAGATAAACGACTATTATTTATGCTGGATGAAAACTTTTCAATTGTGTTTGGATGATCTTCGAGAAGAAAAATGTCGGGAAAATCCACTGTTGGTAACAAATCGCCAGTGATGGGATCCGGAAGATGAAAGTCCTGAAAGTCCAGCATCGGTGACGAGGCCTCAGTCATACTGAACATAGGATCGTGTGTCATAGTTGGCTTTTGACACTCCTTCTCGTTGTGACGGAAGAGCTCCCATTGACATCGAAATGGGATAGAAGAGCGTTTGCAACTCGGGTTCTGGCAGCGATAATTTGATACATCTTTTCCCATGCTCTGACACAATTCTTGTAAATTTCTTACCAATTCTGACCTAGGGAGTAAATCGTTTTCCTTGCCATAAAGCATACCAACTATGTTTGCCCTCAACGTTGGCATAAATCTCGTTCCCATTATCTGTTCAAAATGCATTTCCGGTGCATGTTTTTTGACCACTTCCCTTCTTATGTTGCATAGTCTCTTAACTTCACTTTTTATCTTCAAATCACAGCCCTCTAGTCGTGCGTCTTCAATCCGCTTTTTCGCAGCAGTTATCTCAGGGTCCTTGGCAACAACCTTAACGAATTCCTTGGTTATTAGACCCAGTGGTGTACCACGATTTGAGTTTAGGCTACGAGCAAAGTTGATTTGCTGTGTCCGTTGCTCTTGCCCAACAGTTAGACTTTGTAAATCGACACCGGAATGAGACGCAAGATAGCTGTTTTGAAAAACTTGATCATTTGAATGTCCAAGTATTTTGCCCCTTTCTGCTGAAGTAACATGTTCTACTCAAGTCAGAATGGGAATAATAAATTGAAAGTGAATATAGAACACTCACGATTCAAAACGTTGGCTGAAGTACGTCTTATCACGTAAGATGTAAAATCATCCTTGAATCCTGCACGCTGTGCGATTTTCCTCAATGAGTGGTTGAACGCTTGATAAGTCAACGCTTCAGCATGATGAGATGCATCCATTGATCGATTACTCCGGAATAGAGGTTTGTTCAAAACACTCTCCTTGAATTGTATATCGATGTACTTTGCAGAACATATGCTTGGATCATATAGCTCCTCAATACTGTTTACTGTTGCAAAAGCATCATCAGCAAAAGCTAGAGCAAGAAACAGCGTAATTGGACACATATGCCTGGATGTTAGATCCTCAAACAGCTGTTGCTTATAACTAAAGAATACATCAGAAAATATACTTCAAGAAGAGAATCTTACTTACACCTCTCCTTCATCATCCCGCTCGTTTTTCCTGAGGTTAAATGTGAACAAAATACTCATCAACGGGCGGCCACCGTTCGGATTTTGCTGCAAAGTGAGTTTTATATCCTTCAAAACCAAGTCAGTTGTTAATGTCCCCTTCAAAATTACATCTCATCGTACCTTATATCGCATAGCTTGACCAGTCATATAATAAGCATGTGACTCAATAACCGCACCTGGACGTGATGCTGTGTATACAAGCATTAAGATCAATAAAGCGATCTGAACTCTAGCTCGCTCATACAGGAAGTTGAGAGGATCGTTCATCCAAAGATAGCCGATTATGTCCTTCAAATCGTTGAGACTAGCGATAGGCTTCGGACGGGTTTTGGTACTCAAACCCAGGCTCCTTGCCAGACTAGTCTTTATGAACTAACAAATATCAACAAAACAATGATCTGAAATATGATTTGGCTTAACTTACAGTGCGGAGCTCTTGCATTGAATCAAGCTCTTCATTATGCTTCCGCTCATACACTGATTTGAAACGGATTGCATATTGAATCAGTGTTTTTACAGAAAGGCGTTTGCCTAACAAGCCTGTCCGTTCCTTTGCAAGCATAGTAAAGAATCCTTTAAGAACTCTTAGAGTTGGTTTCACATCTGTATTATTAAGTCGTGTAAGGTAGCTTGATATGAGATGTCAGCAAGTGACTTTGAAGGGGATCGGTATGTATAACCTACTTCTCCCAAAGTTTCCAGATCATATTATAGCCACGTAATGTTGGAGGAACGAATGATAGTGGCGCTCTTTCAAAGTTCTCAGCTTCGAAATCTGCGAGTAGATCCTCGAGTGAAAGAGCGTCTGTCATTATCACAATATCCCTCGAGAAAGAGAATAAGAATAATCAAGGGAAATTTAGTTGAGAAGAATCAATGTGATGTTGTGTTGTGATGAAAATTGTGAATTCGAAAACGAAAAGGAGAAAAGGGAAATGTTTAAATAGATGTAGTATACGGGATACCATGTTGAAAATTCCAATTTCCAACATGATTAGAATAGAAAGTAGTTGATCGTCATCTTACCAAAAAAAGGGAATTCTATTTTCAGATCCTGAATTATGTCAGGAAGAGAAAAAAATATTTTTACAAAATCTGTAACACGAAAGTGAAGATATAATATGTTCGTTTACGGAAAACGGTTTACGAAAAACGATTTCAAAAGCAGCGGTTATCGGGTGTACATATACTTTTTTACCGACACCAAAGTATCAAAAAAACGGGCTTGTGGTTTAGTGGTATAATGTTCCCTTAGCATGGGAGAGGTCCGGCGTTCGATTCGCCGCTAGTCCAATAACATACTTTGTATTAAGACATCCTTTTATTGGTTGGAAGTCGAGGAGGTTGACTTTGTTTTTGAATGTTTCAACGGGCACTTCAACGGAGACGTTTGTGCGAGTGGAGTGAGAAAATGGCTTGCCTAAGCGAAGTCTGTGCGTCAGGGCTTGTAGTGGATCCAATTTAATCTCGGTGTCTTGAACAGATTTTTCTTTCCTCGGGGTGGGGTTGAGATCGAGTCGGGTGTGGATCAAGCTATGTTCCCCAGAACAAACGGTTTGCCGGCGAAAGCCAACGCTTATGTTTCTATGAGGTCGGGAGCATTGGGAATCGGTTTGTGAGCAGCTGTATTCGAACCCGGGCGGATCGGTACTTCGAGAGGCCATCTCAAATCGCCTACTCCAACTTTCCAAGAATCTTTTCAGAAACTCAGCAGAACGAGACTTATCTTCGTTGAATCTGCTAAATGACGCCTATCATTGAATTGTGTATTTGTCTGCTAGCTTCAACTAGAATTGTTACTTTTTATGATGGACAGATTCTGGTTTCCATATGAAATTCATGAGTGACTTCCGACAACAATGTATATACCCCGGAAACCCCCAACTCAACTTACTTCATGCAAGAGTTGAACTACTACTGAAATCTGAGATACTTATACTAAATTATAGCAATAGTCAAGAGTAATCTGACTGAAGCCAACGACTTTGTTGCATATCAGAGAATCGTAAAGTTCATCCAGTTTGAACAAATTCGGCACTGCAGATCAAAGAATCACAAGTACGATACATTCCACATCGCATGTGGCAATCGCTACTTGCAATTTGCACACTCTTGTTCATAAGAGATGAACGTTTATTTTTATTTTTGTGGCCTTTGTTGAGAGACGAGAGCACAAAAGCGAAACCCTCCCCCTATTGCCTATGATATCTCCTCCATTCGTGAGTACTACTCATATATATTTCCAAGTGAATGATCCTACAGTATTTCATTCATCCCGAATCAAAATCCAAAGCCTAGTCCTCCCGAGACCAATATCAGAATAGAGATTTGATGACATCCGAATTTGCTGACCTCTCGTCTGAAGAATACTCAACATGTATATCAGTATTGCTGCCGATATCTGCCGTTGACCCAGTGAATCTTATATAGAAATGAATGATTCAGGTTCATCTTTTAAGGCCCGGTATTTCCCTCTCTGCGTATAAGTAAACAAGTAAAAAATAGAATTCTACATCACTATGTTGTAGTGAGGTGGAGTTCACACTATTGAAAACTATGCGGCACACTAGACGAAACTATTGAATTTCAGACGTGCAACAAAACAAACACAATTGGAAAAATGAAAGCCATTGGTTACTAGTAGACAGCAATCGGCCTTAGCCAGTGGAAGGCAATAATAGTTTTGGCTTGCAATGTAATGACAGTTGACTGGGCCGTTCGAATGCGGTACAAATTTCTTGTATACGCTATTTGAGAGCGTTCCCATGATGGAAACTGTGGCATTGTGTACAAGAGTTGTATGGTTCAAGAAGACTCTTGATTGAACTTTTGTAATATGAGGAAACTATGAGAAACTCACTGTTCAGAATCAAAATACAGAAATCATTGTTCGTGGCGGAATAGAGCTGCTCACTTGGAACTCGAGTCGATGAGACGAAGTGGGGTAATTCCGAATCCGGTATAATGGTGCATTCGCAAGGATATCAAAAACACTGGATAAATGCAATCGCAGTCTTTCTTTGATCTTGACATGTAATCGTCGTACTGTAAAAATCATAGGCAAAGGCTGCATGTATAGTTGATTTAAGCCTCGAAATGTAGGTTGTAGTCGGTCATGACTCCGTGGAAGATGTTACTTTGCCACTCGTCCCTATTAGGTTCGGGCTTCCGGACAAAGCGACACACATTCCCAATTTATGGACTTCACACACCAAAATTGAGATCCTCTTCTTCGTCTTGACTCTCAAGAAACTTAAAGACCCTCGATGAGATGAAACTGTTCAACAAAAAGCTTACTGAGTGGGGAGAAACACAAGGAGAGCCAAAAACAAGCCAACGATTTTTGCGGTGATGTTGGAGATAAAAAACAGCAAAATTTAGATGGACTAGCGGCGAATCGAACGCCGGACCTCTCCCATGCTAAGGGAACATTATACCACTAAACCACAAGCCCGTTTTTTGAAATTTTTATGTCAATAAAAAAGTATATGACCACCCGATAACCGCTGCTTTTGAAATCGTTTTTCGTAAACCGTTTTCCGTAAACAAACATATTATATCTTCACTTTCGTATTACGGATTTTTGTAAAAATGTTTTTTTCCCTCTCTGACATAATTCAGGATCTGGAAATAGAATTCCCTTTTTTTTTTTGGTAAGATGACGACCAACTACTTTCTATTCTAATCATATTGGAAATTGGAATTTTCAATATGGTATCCCGTATACTACATTTATTTAAACATTTCCCTTTCCCCCTTTTCGTTTTCAAATTCACGATTTTCATCACACCACAACATCACATTGATTCTTCTCGACGAAATTTCCCTTGATTTTTTTATTCTCTTTCTCAAGTGATATTGTGAAAATGACACACGCTCTTTCACTCGAGGATCTACTCGCAGATGTCGAAGCTGAGAACTTTGAAAGAGCGCCACTATCATTCGTTCCTCCAACATTACGTGGCTATAATATGATCTGGAAACTTTGGGAGAAGTAGGTTATACATACTGTTGAAAGTCGGCTGGCAAAGTCGATATCTCAGCCTGTACGTGGCGCCGGCTACGAACCTTTAATCTTTGATTGGAGAGCTGATGAGATTAAAGCGCATTCGATGGAGCTGGGTGGTGATTATACACTAACTTGAGGCCGTACTGGGAGTGAAGGTACGTGCAGCGGAGGGTTAAATCCCCTTGCGATAGGCCCGGAACAGAGGACTACCATCAAAACGGTTTTGAAAACCATCCGACAATCGAAAATATATATGAAGAGTTCGAAGCGGTGCCGGCCCTTACGAGTCTGTTGTGGGAAGCAGAGCCTGCGGATGTCTCGCATTTAGTGAGCTCCAAAGCGGAACCAGCCCTTACGAGTCTGTGTGGGAAACAGAGCCTGAGGAGGAAGCATATATAGTAGGAGATGGACAGGACACCTCTGGGATGATATCATACGAATCACGATATCAACAACGCGTACGTCGGCGCTCGATGGAAGTTCATAGATGGTGAGGGGAGTGGTGGTGAAATCTCTTCATGTGGGGTAATTTCTGGGGTTTGGAAAGAGGGACGCTTTTAGGGGTCGTTTGGTTGTACAAATCCGCTCCGAATCCGTCGAATAATCCGCTCTTTTTCAGAGCGGATTCTGAATTGACGTTTGGACGTCAAAACGCGGATTCCGTCAAATAATCCGCTCTTCAATGAATTTAGCGTATTTAGCGTATTTTGCAGTGGGGAGGAGGTGGATCACTCTCAAAATGACGCTAAACAATCCGCGTTTTCTGATGAATTTGTATGGGAAAATGAAAGCGCGGATTGAAAACGAGGACCAGAAAAAGCAGTCCTCGTTTTTAATCCGTCAAATAATCCGCGCTTTTATAGGCTATTATAGGCCTTCAACCCTATATTCATTTAGTATTATAGTGATGTTAGTGTTTCAAAGGCCTGAAATTATAGAGTGTTTTCACTTCTTAACAAATCGTCTCTGATTTCGAATTAGATTACTTTGCGTTTCTATTCCCTACCTACTAGGATATATATCGATTAGTCCAAAAGTTTATTCTTCAGTATCCTCTCTTTCATTGACTTAGATTCGAAACCATCTCATTCTTTAGTTACTTATCATAAGCGTCATTATGCGCGACGACGAGGTCGATGAATCTCATCAGTTTATTCCTATATTGATATATAATATAGTGGCTGTTATTGGCTCTTTTTATTCTATTCCAATTTTAAAAAAGAGAACTGGTACGCCTGGTGAATTTAAAACACAATCTATTCTTGATTCTAAACACCCTCAACGCTGTCAAGAACAGTTTCGTATGCCTCTTCGAACTTTTCGACTTCTAATTCAATTGTGTCACGAAAAAACAAAGCTCCAACACTCTCAACATGCCTCGATTGATTAAAAGCTTTATATATTTCTCTATATTGTAGGACAGCGTGGATCCGTTCGTGGTACAGCTGAAGCTTTTTCTCATTCTGAAGAAACAATCCATAGGTATTTCATTCGAATCTACTTATTGTACTATTCTAACTGATTTTAAGATGGTTTTATGAAGTTTTAGATGCTATCATGATATTATATCCATTCGTAGTAAAGTTACCGGATCCAACTATACAATCAGCTTTACCTAGAGTGAAAGAGAATGAAAAATATCGTCAATATTTTGCGAATTGTCTAGGCGCTCTCGATGGGATCTTTATTCCAGCGACAGTACCCTTCGAAGATCGATCTGCCTACTTCAATCGAAAGGGAGTCACTTCACAAAACGTTTCTTTTCCGATTCTAAACACGTTTTCAAAACTATTACTCTATGAAAAGATTTTACATGGTTCTTGGAATTAAATATGGGTTTTTAATATCGAATTGAAGTTTAAATTAAGATATCTATAGAAATGACGGATTATTCAACGGATTTGACATCCAAACGACAAAAGCACGGATTGACAATCCGCTCTTTTTGGAGCGAATTGCTGCCACCGCGGAATCCGTGGTGGCAGTAAAGAGCGGATTATTCGACGGATTCGGAGCGGATTTGTACAACCAAACGACCCCTTAGCACCTTATTTGATTGAAGGAAAGAGGGTTATACATATAAAAGATTGGAGGGACATATTAGCACTTTGTCTTATGAGTGTGTGGGAGCGTAGCATGGCGGCGGAGGAACCCTCGAATGAGCGGGACGCTTTTGGCAAGCTTCGCTCTGACAGGAGCACTGATTAGACAACACGGCGATGGATGAGCTCCGGCAGAGGCCGCCTTTTGATATATATAATACTACGAACTTTGGCAGATATTACGGCGGCGGACGAACTCGAGCAGATGCTATTTCTCAACTCAGATCTTGCTGAACATAAGGGATTCATTTACATTACGAACTATACATTGGGAGGGTGGATTCGGAAGATATTGTTTTGGTTAGTGGGTTGGAAACACTAGTATTATACTGCTTGGCTAAGGGCATAATACTAGCAGAGCCTGCTAGACACGGTCGGCCTTATAGGGGAGGAGAGATCCGATAAGGTAACGCGAAACAGCAATCATACGCTGCGGGGCGTGGTGTATAATGGCAGCGACGGTGACACTGTCTATATAGCCCGAGAGGACGGACGCGCGTGTCGGTCTACAATAGGGTATTAGGCAGATGGCAATGAGATACCGGGTAGGCTTATGGAGCAAACAGAAGTAGAGGCGTGGAGCGATGGTTTTGGTCCTGGCCGGAACTTCCGAAGGTAAACACGCTGGAGATGGTTTAATGTAGTCAGAGGATTCTACAGGAGCCTAGTACTAGTGGCTCTATCATAGTGTGCCGGGAAAGCGTCTGTAGGTGTAGCGAACCTACTTTGTATTACAAGATATTCTAGAAAGTAGTTGTAATATAATCTATTCCTGCCCATATGTATGCCACCGCCCTACGCGCTGCTCTAAATGCAGCGATTTAATCGCTAAGCATGCCGATGGGAAGATCCACGATCAATGTCGAAACGACGCTCAGTGCGCGGGGTGCCTCGGACCTTTCCGATCCGCACACAGCAATTGCCCAGCAGCGCCGCGATCAGTCAATGGCAAACTAGTCAGACTCACACACCGGCAGGTGAGAGAAGTCAGAACCGCAGGTCGAAGGGAGACCCAGGCAGTACGCAAGGAAAAGGTGCCTGCTACGACGCCAAGTAGACAACCTCAAGTGGTCATCCCCAGACCACCTGCGCCGGGAGCCCGCGTCACTACCTATGAGAATGAGTGGCAACTGGTGGACCGATCACCTAAGCGGGCCCGACCAGAGGAGGGACCCTCCAACAGTCCGATCCACACCCCGGGCCGGAACCCCCCGCGCCGCGCCAACAAAGGGGTAAACTACAATTTAGCAGCTATAGCTGAAAAAGCCTTCTCACCTCCCGACTCTGAAATGAGCGAGGGAAATGAGTCAAACGCCGACGAAGCCGCTACCACCTCCGCATGAGTCGCACAACCTGTGCGAACTCAGCGGGGGGGAGGGCGCTCACGATTGCGTGGGCGAATGTGGGGCGCGGACACTCCAATCATATCACTCTCCTACAGGTTGCTGGAGAGGCTGGTATGGACATTATCTGTGTACAAGAGCCCCGACTTTACGAAAACTCAGCAACCCAAAATCATGCTGCATACGACCGGTTTCAGCCGATCGACACCTGGGGAGCGACTGATGGCCCCGAGCGTGGGCCACGGGTCATTACCTACGTACGGAAAGGGGGCAACCTGAAGGTCAGGCAGATGAGACAGACCGGAAGCAGGGACCTACTCTGGGTCAATATTAACGGGTACTCGATCCTCAATGCCTACCGCGCCCCGCTTGAGCCGCGTACAATGGAATACATACTCGGACTAGAGATCGCCCCGGGGACCGGTACGGTCGTTGGAGGTGACTTCAATGCCAAGTACGACCTGTGGGAGCCCGGCGTACCAACTGCCGGTCAAGGTGACGCGCTGGCGCAATGGGCCTCCGACCAGGGAATGGAATATATCGGGACCCCTGGTGCACCTACGCACGCGAGGGGACACGTTCTAGACCTGACCTTCTCCAACCTGGCTACCGCTACGACGGTGATCGATGATGATCTGCACAGCGGCTCCGACCATGTCACTCAAGTCACTACCATCTCAGACAGAGGAATTTCCGAATATGAGCAAGCGCACATCCGGATACGCGACTCAGATTTACCCTGCCTAGCAGGCATCATGGCCAACCGCTTAGCGAACCTCCAGAACCCGGACCTCCGGACCACCTACGACATCGACACACTCATCTCCGGACTCACAAACGCACTGAGCGCATCTGTAGAAGCTGTAGGGCAGAAAGACCATAAACCCTACCGATCATCCCCGTGGTGGACCGACGAGTGTAGGGAGGCACACCGGGCACATACGCAAGCCAGGAGAACCGGAACTACTGACGAAATGGTAACTGCCCAGCATGATCTACAAAGGGTTGTGAGAGCATCGAAACGAGCCTACTGGACCAAGCGCCTGGACGGTGTACAGGACGATCAGGAGCTATACAAAGTCATGAACTGGCACAAGTTGACCCCAGAAGCAGCCCTCAAGGCTCCACCTCTGGTGATCGAAGGCCAAGAGATCACCGATACCAGGGAAAAAGCCGAAGCACTCTTTACAGCGGTTCTCGACCGCTTCAAAGCATCGGACGATCTACAGCACGACCCTCTTCAGGAACAGGACGACCAGGCGACCTTGCCATGGAAAAGAACGATCACCGCAGAAGAAGTGGAAAAACATGTAATAGGAGTCAGGAGCACGTCACCCGGAGTCGATCGGGCAACCGTTCGCCTCCTCAAGGCGTGCTGGCCTAGCATTAAGAGTGCAATACATGAGATTTTCGCGGCCTGCCTCAGGCTCAGCTACTACCCCAACGAGTGGAAACTTGCTGAAGTAGTCATGCTGCCCAAGGTTGGTAAGAAAGACAGGACGTCTCCGAGATCGTGGAGGCCGATTGCGCTGATATCGTGTATCGGAAAAGGGCTAGAAAGGTATATCGCCAGTCAAATTGCATGGACGGCTATGAGATACAACGTTATCAGCCCTCAGCACTGCGGGGCGCTGCCGAAAAGAGCCGGTACTGATCTCACAGCTGCCTTCGCTCATGACGCTGAGCTCGCTTTGGCAGCCGGTAAAGTAGTCACGCTGGTAACGATGGATGTACAAGGCGCCTACGATGCGCTCCTCAAAAGACGGCTCCTACAACGTATGAAGAAACAGGGTTGGCCTATGGCGCTCTTGCGACTCGTTGATTCATTCCTGACTGAGAGACGCGTGCGTGTAAGGCTTGAGGGGATCACAACGCGGGACTTTCCGGTTGCATGCGGCACCCCCCAGGGATCGCCGCTCTCCCCGATCCTATACACCCTCTACCTCGCTGAGCTTCTCAATCAGGACAGAGTACAACGCTTCGAATATGCTGATGATGTAGCTATATATCACACGTCTAAAGACCTATCCACGAATGTACGCATGCTCCGCCGAACCGTTCGACGCATCCTACGATGGGGAGATCAGAATAAGGTCTTTTTCGCCCCGGAAAAGTTTGAGTTGCTTCACATATCGAGGAAGCATGAAACTGCGAACCCGGCTATGAGAATAAGTCGGGACCTAGTCATCACGCCGACCCCCCTGGGGCTCACCGGCGGAGTATAACCAACCTTACGCTGGCTCGGCGTCTTTTTCGATCGGCGCCTAACGTTCTTACAGCATGTCAAAACGCGCATTGCGAAAGCTATGCGCGTTGCTTCTCACATCCGATCAATAGCCCACACAGCCCACGGACCATCTGCAGTCTGCCTGCGAAAAGCGATCATCACCTGTGTACTCCCCGTTGCCCTCTTCGGCTCCGAGGTGTGGTTCGACGGGCTATACAAACAACGCCCAAATGCAGGCCATGCTCCGGTCGGCACCGGGATCAAGAAACACGTCGACCTGGTCAGCAAGACGATTCACAATGCGGCTCGGGGAGCTTTACCCGTCTACAAAACTACCCCGACGACCGCACTCCTTGTAGAAGCTGGCCTCCCGGCTGGAATTGTCGCACTGGAGCAAGCAAGACTCAGATTCGCCTTCAGGCTTCAGACAGTGGATGCACAACATCTGCTCGTGGACCGATTGAAGCCGTGCACCAGGAAAAGAGGACGAGGCACAGGCACACTGAGAGGCCCCATCACCAAATTGCAGAGAATGGGACGAGCAATCCCTGCGACCGAGCGCCCCAGACTCCTACGGCCGCACTTCTCTCCCGAGTGCCGCACTGACCCAACTAATGGCATGAGCAAAGAGGACGCCGCGAAAGCGTTCAAAGACTGGTGGGACCTAATCCCCCGAGAAGACTACTCTGTGTTCTCAGATGGGTCCGAACAATACGATGAACGCGGCCACCGCGTGGGATACGGCTTTGCGATCTACCGCGGTAAGCAACAGGTCGACAGCGGCTACGGCCGCGTACGCGAACAGTCGCACGTCTTTGATGCCGAGGCGATCGGCGCGTGGCGGGGACTAGAGCGCCTCCTGAGCACCATCGAGCGCCCTCATCGGGGCCGAATATGGCTATGCATTGATAGCACCTCGGTGATCTGGGGAATGCGAGGGAGCGCCGCCGACTCCTCCCAATGGGCCTACCATAAGTGCCATCAAGCGATGCGACACTATGATATCGCAGTCAAGTGGTCCCCTGGGCATACTGAGATAGAGGGCAACGAGGCAGCCGATCGCCTTGCCGATCAGGGTACGACTGGACCATTTGATCCTGGCCCATCGTGCCTTCCTATAGTTAGCAACTCCCGCTCTGTCCTGCGCGCCAAATGTCGGCACTCAGAGAGCAGGTGGTGGAATGCGAAAAGAGGCCTGATCTCCGAAACATACGACGCATGGAAGCCGGCATATGACACCTCGGAGCCGAGGAGCCTCAAACTCCCCCGCGGGGCACTACACAGACTCATAGCGATGCGAACTGGGCACGGTGACTTCGCAGCCTATCATATCAGGTTCAATCATGAAAACAGCATTAACACCTGTACATGCGGGAGTGAGAAAAGCCCGCTACACTTCTTTCAATGCCCAATCAATGGTCAGACGCGCGCTGACTGGCCGCTTGCACCGAACCGATTTCGATCCGAATGGGATGCGATAGCATATGTCAACCGCGTCCTACAGTCACAATGCGGCTTCACTAATCTCCTTACCAGATCCGGGTTCTATACCAGAATATGCCCCAACTACATGTAATGACGCAATACTAACCCGCTCCATCACCCCGAGGATGAGCTCTCCACCCCAAACAACCTAAAACCCGTACCGAATAGTCATAAGCGCTACGAGCGCTCTCCCGATCGACAGCGATCAGCCCAGTCACCCACCGACACCCGGATGACACACGAAACAAAGCCCTCTAAAATAGGGCTACAAACCTTTAGACACTACAGCCGCAGGATCGCAATGAGCGGTATCGAGCGGGTGAATACCGAGGGCAACAAGCCCTTGATTAGCTAACATTACACTACTATGAGCGGCTGGGGCGCTAGCGGCCCGTAGGCCCGCTCCTTAGTACGTCTAGAATACCCCTAGGGAGGTCAGATATTAGACGTTAATTACTATAAATAAATAAAAATTTGCTAATCGGAAGGGCTTATTCTTAAATACTTATAGTACTTCAAGAATTATATGCAAATTGTATATGGAATCAGTCTTCGATTTTGATATTATTGGATAAGGTACTAGGGATCGATGTTACAACTTGAAAAGGATGTCAGGGTTCTAGCCCATTCCCCCCACCCCCCCCCACTCTCTTTCATGTATATAAGCAGGAGGTCTCCTCGACCTTCTTCCATCCTTAGTTCACAGTCTTGAATATAATACGATTCGACCTTGCTCAATTGTATCCCTTGACAAAGGATCAATAATATATTGGAATGGTTGATGAATAACTTGATTAGGGGTTTTGACTATAAATATATGAGTAATCCTCTTAGTATAGCTGTGTTATCCTGTAATTCAAGCACCTGTAACTTATAATCTGTTTGTTACAATTTTCTTTTTACAGTATTACGATTCTATTTGCTCTTTCGTCATGTTTGTCTAGCGACTATATATATACAGTTCTTACTTTTGAGTTAATATAGAAAGAATCATCGGAAAATTCATATCTGTACTAACGTAACTTGACTAGAAGTAGGTCATGTCATGATATGAGTCAAAATCACCCCCTCATTTCATTGATTGATTGATTGATTTAATTAACGTCCTTTTCTCAGTCCAAGACTATTTAGGACGGCTAGGCTTTAAGAGCCTAACAACTGCTAGTGGATATCTACAGTAGATATATTCAATTTGGGGGAGTAAAAACGAATGCTGGGGTGCTATGCCCGATCTCTAT